AAGTATTTATAGTATTAAATCTAAAGAGAGTATATAATTTTATCTATATTAAAAAACAATATAAATAGAAAACTGCCTTTTAAATTAAATTCAAACTTTATAAATATCTTATTATACCCTTTAAACTTATAAATATACTAGCTACATTTTAATAAATAATTAATAATATACTATATAAGTATCTAGATATATTTATTATATATTACCTAAATAATATTCTAATCTTCTCTAACTTAAAAGAAGAATATATAAAATATATCTATAAGATATTATAAGTATTTTAAGATATAAAACTACTAGTTAAACTAGAGAAAAGTAACTTCTATATATTAGAAGTAGAGTTTCTTAAATATATTATCTTATATAATAAGATTAAAATAGATTTAAAGAAAATTACTATAATTAGTAAATAGAAGAAACTAAAGAATATTAAGAAAGTATAATTCTTCCTTAAATTTGCTAACTACTATTAAAGATTTATTAAGAACTTTAATAATTACACTATACTATTTATAAAACTTACTTAAAAAGAAGTAGAATTTTAAATAGATACTACTATAATAAAAATATTTAATACTATTAAAAATCTCATCTTAAGCAAGCTAGTATTAGTAATCTTTAATTTTAAATAAGAAATTAAACTTAAGATAGATTTATTAAATTTTATATAAAATACTTAAATTAGTTAAAAAGATAATAATAGCTTATTATACCCTATTACTTTCTTCTTATATAAGATATATAATATTAAACTTAACTACCCTATTTATAATAAAGAATTTCTTGTAATTATTAACTTATTTAAGAAATTTTAATACTACCTCCTAGAAAGTAAGTATAAAATTAAAATCTATATAAATTATAAGAATATATCTTACTTTACAACTATATAAAAACTTAGCAGATAATAACTATAATATACTAAATACCTTTTAAATTTAACTATATAATTATCTATAGAAAGAAATTAGAAAATAAATAAGCTAATACTATTAGTTAATAAGCTAACTTTAATACTAACAAAATTAAAATAAATAAATAGATTCTTAACTTTAATACTAAAGAATATCTTAAGTAGAAGTATATTATAACTATATAAAAAACCCAACCCCAAGCTAAAGCTAAATATCTAAATATAATCTAAAAATCAAACCCAATATAAAGATTTATAAAATAAGCCCCAGAATAAGATAGAAATATTAAATATACCAAGAGATATATTACTATCCCTTATAAGAATTAATATAAGATTATATAAGATTTATATAAGAATGGACCTTATAATAGAAGTATAGATATACTATACCAGCTTATTGCCGAAATATATAATATATATAGCCTCTAGAATACACTCTAATATATAATTAATAATTACTTAGAATACTTAGAAAAAATAAAAATAAAAACCCTAGAAAGTATTTATATTATTATAAATAATAATAAATTCTATAACTGGATTTAATAATATAATAATAAGCTATCTCTAGATGAAAAAATAAATAAGCTATAAATTCTCAAAAAACTATAATACTAGCTTATATGGGAAATATATAAATTTCTACTATATAAATATTAAAGAGTTAATAAAACTCTTAATAGAATTAGAATAATATATTAATTCCCTAAGATAAAAATAATAGTAAGAAAAATCACTAAATAATACCTATTATACAAAAAAACTAAAGCTTAATACTATAAATTATATAGAGAATTGCAGTCCCTACTAGTTACTAAGTAATTATAAAATTTAATTACTATAAATTTTATTATAAAACTACCCCTATTAGAAGACCCTATAACTAAAGTTATATATAATAGCATTCTTATTATTATAGATAGACTTATAAAATTTTCCTATTTTATATTCTACTAGAAATTAATAGATATAGAGTAATTTACTTATATCTTCTTATAAAATATTATTAGTATTTATAGACTCCTAATAGAGATTCTCTTTAATTAAGAATAACTATTTACTTTTAAATTTTAATAAAGTTTAATAAATTATATAAGATTAAATTACTAACTTACTATAGTATTCTAAGTATAAGTTAATAATAAATAGAATAAATAAATTAGATACTAAAGTAATACCTTTAATATTATATTAACTATAAATAAAATAATTAGTTAAGAAGCTTTAACTATATAGCTAAGCTATAATATATTAATATATAAAAGTATAAACTTACTTAGTATATACTAACTTTAAATTTACCCAATATCTATAGAATAAGCTAAGATAGATTAATTATTCTAAAAGCTATTCTTATAATAGAAAAATTAAAAATCTATATAAAGAAATAAAAACTAAACTTAAATTTATTAGAAACTAAATAAAAAAATACTATAACTAGAAAAGAATAAAGAGACTATTCTTCTAGAAGGAGATATAATTCTTCTTATAATAAAAAATATTAAAATAAAATAATAAAATAAAAAACTAAATTATAAATATATTAAACTTTATAAAATTCTTAAAAAAATCTCAGAAAATAACTACTATTTAAACTTATTACTAAAAATTAGATTTACTTTATCTTCTATATCTTACTACTTAAATATAAAAGGAAATATTATAGCTAAGTTTAGCAATAAATATAAAATAAAATTAAAGCCCTAAAAAATATAAAGTTAAGAAGATTCTTAAATATAAAAAGTTAATAATAAAATAAGTATTTATTAAATAGAAAAACTACTCTAAGAGTAATAACTAATAGAAACCTATAAAAAACATTACTTATATATAATACCTCCTAAAGAATTTCTATTAATAATATTAAAAAAGAAATAAAACTAAAAAAACCCTAAAAATAAAAGGCTAGTTAATTATATCTACAGCCCTAATAACTAGGCCTCCCAATAGCCTATACTTATAATAATACCTTCTTTAGAAATATATCCCATTAACTTTATCTATCTTATATAAGCCTATAAAAATAGTACTAAACTCTACTTATAAAGGGAATAATACTAAGTATATAGATAGGCCAGTCTAGCTAGTATTTTAGCTAATAGACTCTTATTACTTAATATCTACCTTAAGCTTCTATTAGGCCTTAAGTTTTAGAATATTTAAGGAAATATTATAAAACCCCTAATAAAAAAGATATATATAACTTATAGAAAGAAGTAATATTTAAATTATTATATAAACCCCGCAACAAATATATTTACTATAATAAAATAACTTCTTAATATATAATAAATCTTATAGTTATTAAAATAATAGAAATAGAATATAATAACTTTATAACCCTCCTAATTAATAATATATATAAAAAGAGAATACTATAAAGCTTTAATAGATTTTTAATATACTTAATATAAAATTAGTATATAAAAATAATTAAAAAAGCAAGTTAAACCTATAAAATATAATAAGAATATAAAATCTATAATATAATCTTAAAATAAGGCTAATAAAAAGAGAGATATTATATTATAGCTTAGGTTGGAATTAGACAGTCTTAAATAGTAAAATTATAATACCCTATTTTATTCTTCTTTAATTAATAAAAATTACTTAAATTACTCTTATAATCTTACAATCCCCGATATAAGAACTAATTAAGTAAAGAATTACTTAGACTACTACTATAATCCTTATAATCCAGGATAATAGCTTATTGGGATTACTACTACAATCTCTATAATCCACTATAATATATATATATATTTACTTAGTACTTTTATAAATAGATAGCCTTATTAGCTATTAATATACTTAGTTATATTAAATTTACTATTCTACTATTACTAGACTGTAACTTATATTACTTACTATAACATCCTAATCTACTTAATTATATACTATATGCCTCGGATTTATTCTATACCCCTAGGTTAGATCCGACTGTTACAGCTAGACTATAAATTTAATATATCTTATTAAGGTTAGCTAGTAAGAAAGCTAAATAGCTATTATTAAAAAGTAAGAATTAAAATATTAAATTAAAGTTAAGAGATTAGTTATATTAAATTAAATTAGAGTATTATTATATAAAGTTAGTAAATAGTTAATATAGAAAAGAGTAAAAAAAGAAACTAAGCCTGAATTAAAATCTTCTTTAAAAAGCTAGAGAATAGTTATAGTAAGTAAGAGTGCTACTATCTATTATTACTTTAAACTTGCTATAAATTAGTATATATCAGTCCTCTCAGCTCGGGTAGCTGAATTACTCCCGAGGCTATTTATACTAGACCTACTAGAGCTTGAGTGAGTTCGGTAATAATTTTATTAGCAAGGCCTTTAATAGCAGCTGTCCCCAAGCAATAGCCGTAACCTTTAGAGCCGAGTAGGCCGAAGCCAGGGTGTTTAGGCCCCACTCGACGAGAGGGTCCTGTGTTAATTTGCCCTATTTACCAGCCTCACCAGGCCGCCACTGTGTGTCCTGTAGATGAAGCAGGCCGCAAGTATACGGGGGTCGCCCACTTGATGCCATAGCCAAGCAAGAGAGCGTAGCGTTGTTCCAAGATATGCCCGGTCCGCGGGAAGGTCCCAAAGAAGATAAATGCCCCCAAAAGACGATCACATCTCCTAGCGGAGACTACGCAGATTGAATCTAAGGATGCTGACCTCTTTTGGGGGAGACGGTGATCCCGGATCTTGAGCAATGCAGGCAGGAGTCGGGTACAAGATATCGTCGGGTGATCATCAAGAGTCGATGAAATGCCCCGGGAGTTAAGAAATAGAAATCGGAATACTGGATCTCGGAATACTGTTGTCAAGACCGGCGCCGTTCACGGCAGCTTGAACAAGACGATCCGATCGCTTCACCTTTCAAGGCTTTGATGAGTCCAAAGGGGCGATAACATCCACCCGTTACCCAGCCGGACTGGACCCCTCCGTCTGATAATATGCATCAGTGTTCCAACATAGTCCCATTCAATAGAGCTAGCCTAGAAAGAAGACACACAATACACACCAATTACGGGCAAAGTTAAATCAGTGCCACCCCAGCTTTCCGACAACAGGCACCATTTAGACTATACAAATAGTCGGCATTAAAGCAGCCCCTGTGTTCTGACAGTATCGGGAGGAAAGGCTGAAAAAATTGGGTCCAGGCATGCTGCGGCGTTTGCGGCTGGATATCGATAATTTCTCTAACAGTAAGCGACATTATATGATAAAACATAAAAGTCCGCATGCGTGCCTGATTTCTTAGTTTACTTCTTGGTTTTCTTTGGGCCCCCTCCCCCCTTCCCGCCTTCCGGTTTCCTTCTTGTTTGTTTCTGGATATTATCCTCGGTAATTAATGGTCACCATATTATTTGCGACGCCTCATTCTCGCGATCAATCCTCTCACACTCTCGTGTCAAATAGAGCCACCCATAGATTTGGCAACCTTGGAGAGTATGACCTGACTTGGATGGAAGCCCTAAGACATATGGCAAGGGTCTATCTACGCGGCGCAAAATGAGAGAACATCTTTGGTCTGAATCGAAGAAGCCCTGCACATAAAGGGTATATGCTAAGACGCTAAGTCAATTCTCGCAACCGAGCCCTGGCTTGAATTACCAATGGCCAGTGCTCCCGTGACGTAAAGCTGTTGACTCGAGTTTGCGAAAGAGGCTGCCACAGATGAAGAGGAGCCGAGGAATGGCGACGTAGCTCTGATGCGCTTGGCCTTCTTCAGGATGTCGACCTCAAAGATTTCCATCGGGCCATTCGTGGCTATCCAGGCTCGTGTTCCACACGGGGACAGAGCGAAATCGTCTTGAAAGGTGATATTCGTAGCAAGAATCTCGGCAGGACCGGTGGCAAGGCCCGCAGGGGAAATTGGAATGGACGCGAAAACCTTCTGGTCCAAGTTGGTGAAAAACAGCTTACTCCCCAGAGTGCGTATCCCGTTGACACCTATACCAAGACCAGAAGACAGGGGTTGCATGGTCGGGTCATTCAGAATGACTTCAGCAAGGCCAGTGCGGACGTTGAGTTTCGTAATGGTCCCGTTGGCTGAATCGGAAAGAAGAAGATGATCGGCATCGCTCGGACTCAAACGCGTCATGCCATTTAATTGTTCGGCCGAGGCAAAATCGGCAACATGACTGATTCGAGCGGTAGAGTTGCTGCCCGAGCGTGGCTCTGCTCCGTCACGCAGATCAACCTGCCACACTGCGTTCGAATAACTCGTTTCTGTGAGGTTGGATGCAACAACATAGAATATGTCCTTCTCCATCTCGGCTATCCCAAGTAACCCTGTGTAGCCAGGAATCTCACCAATAGCGAGTGGCGAGTAAAGGTTCGAGGGCGAGACCTGGAAGAGCGTGGAACTTCTGGTGGAAGTGACGAGTATGTCTCCGGTGTCGCGAATAAAAAGATTTTCGAGGCTGGGGGCGTCCGATACAAGACCGACGAGAGACACTTTGGCAGAAGCCTGCTGCTCACATACGGCGACCGGTATGGCGAAAACAGACATGTCCCAAAGGACAAGTGGAAATAGCAGCGCAGAGCGGGAAAAGGTGGTGAAAATCATTGTATTTAGGGGGAAAGACAGTGATGTTTAGAGAAATAGCCAGTTGAGTGGCTGCAGCTAAGGAAGCTTTTTGTAGTCCGAAGGAAAAGGAAGCGACGATGTTAATCGTACCTATGTGTGTTATCCATAAAACTTTGCTCGGAGCAGGCTAAGTTGGCAAACTGCGTAACTCCATTAAACCCGGACTTTAAGACCACTAGCTCAACACAGAAGACCGTAAATTCTCCACCCATAAAAGCCGTATTCAGTGCATTTTTCATAAAACTCATTATCTTGTTGGACTCATCAACTGTACTTTGTCCTTAATTGTTTAAAAACTACGTTCCAACAACCCACGAACTCAGACTGAAATTTCCTCGATTCGTCTGGAAACATCTCAATCACATCATGACCGATCGCTATATTACCGTCCACAAGTCTCCCAAGGGGCCGGGCGACTCTCGTCCCACAGCTCTTCAAATCATCAAGGATGAAGGCCTTGAAGGGAAGTTGGGAGGCCAGGTAGCCTTGGTCACCGGGTGCTCCTCTGGAATCGGGATCGACACAGCCCGCGCCTTGCACGCAGCTGGCGTCACGCTTTACCTGACCGCGAGAAATCTCAACAAAGCCAGGGCGGCTTTAGGTGATTTAGTCAATGATGAACGGGTCAACCTCCTGGAGCTAGACCTTGAGTCATTTGATAGCGTCAGGTCGTGCGCTGCAGAGTTTCTCTCAAAGTCCAAGACTCTGAACATCCTCATTTGCAGTGCTGGGGTTATGAGACCACCTGAAGGTCGAACTAAAGATGGATTTGAGACTCAATTCGGTACCAACCATCTAGCACACTTTCTGCTCTTCCGTCTTCTTGAGAAAGCCTTGCTTACTGGCGCAACATCTGAAAAATCTTCCCGAGTGGTGATTGTCTCATCCATGGCCCACCGCTCCGGAACGGTGAAGTTTGAGAACATCAATTTTGAAGGTTGCTACGACGCCTTGGCAGCTTATGCCCAGAGCAAGACTGCAAACATATGGACGGCCAACGAAATCGAACGACGTTACGGGGCTCAAGGCATTCATGCTTGGAGTGTCCACCCTGGTTTCGTCCTAACGGATCTTTTACGCCACGCGTCGGATGAACGCAAGGAGGGGATCAACAAAGATGAGGCGCTGGCATTGATGTTCAAGAATTCGGCACAAGGGGCCGCTACGAGCGTATGGGCCGCTACTTCTGCATCATTGGAGGGCAAGGGAGGGAAATACCTCGACGACTGTCAGATCGCGGAACTTTGGAATGTTTCGCACGGCGCTCGTGCTCCGGGTTATGAACACCATGCGTACGACGAGGAGGCGGCGATCCGGTTGTGGGAGGAGTCCATTAAATGGGTTGGCCTGTGAGCAAGAACCACGGCTTTAGTCTGGCCTTGACCGGCACTAACGATGTGATTTTTTTTATTCTGCTTCCGTCTCAACATATCCAGTCCTTGTATGACAGGCCTTTCCTTTCACCTAGCTCTTCTATGAATGTCAGACGCACAGATACTACGTAGTATATTGCGAGGTCCGTACTACGTCTTCCGCGGATATTCCTACGCTCAGTCGCCGTACCACACCGGTTATCGTGGCACAAAGTCAGTCGGCCAGTCTCTTCTGCATCATGAAAGAAAAAGGGGGTTGGGGTGGGGATAAGAAAAGGACCAAGCTAGCTTGTCGAGGTTCGTGCAGATTTGAGTTGCGGCGATAACAGTAAATCCGGTGAGTAGCATATTTAACATCGACGTCACACCACAAAAACAAAATCTGCTGTTATCTCCTAAATCCATGGACATGTCCGAATTTTCCCAATTTTCAACAGGGATCCAACAAACCTTTTTCATACGCACGTCATCGTCAATTCTTTGACATCATGGCACAGACCAATTGTTGCCTCAATGCCTTCGCATGGGACGGCAGTCCATGTGGAACTGAGGGTAAGCTCGCCAATAACGACTCGTACATTACTGGCCAAAACCCAGAGCTTGCGATATTGCTCATTCACGATGCATTTGGTTGGAAGTATGCGAATATTCGCTTGCTAGCAGATCACTATGCTCGCGAGATCAACGCGACTGTCTATGTCCCCGACTTCTTCGGAGTCGGATCGCTTCCATTCGAGCCCATGTTCGAAGGTCGATTCGACCAGATGGACCTTGTTCAGTTCAACATTGACAATGCCCGACACAAGCGCGAACCAGAAGTTTTAGCCTGCGCAAAGGCCTTGCGACAGAAACACAAGCATCTCGCCGCCGTCGGATTTTGCTATGGTGGTTGGGGCTGCTTCTTCCTTGGTGCGAAGAAACACGAAATGAGCGACGGCCGCCCCCTGGTAGATTGTATATCTGTTGGGCACCCGTCATACCTGACTACAGATGATATCGACAACGTAATTGTTCCTGTACAATTGCTTATTCCTGAATTTGAGCCTGCGTATTCTCCAGCTTTGCAAGCCCACACTTTTGCAACCCTGCCCAAGCTAGGTTTATCATGGGATTTTCAGTATTTCCCGGGTGTGGAGCATGGGGCACTTAGTCGCGGGAACGAGAACAAGATTGGAGAGAGACGGGCTATGGCAAGGGCTAAAACAGCTGTGGTTGGGTGGGTGAAGACATTTGCTTCGGAGTAAGAGATGCCAGGCCTTGAGCATCGGTCTAACGTGTAGGGTCAGGGTTCAGACGATGTTGGCCGAGTCAATCAAATTATCACATCGCATGATCAAGGCTGCTGCTAGACTAGCATCGACAAAGATCCCTGGATTTAATCAGTAGGCACTCCAACCCATATCTAGCGATGTAGCTACCTCAGAATGTTGATCCAGGGTCTGAAAGCATGCTACTCTGAACCGATTTCCCCGTCCTCCACCATTGCCAGAGTAACTGCCTCTACGATGTAACACCCCCTTACTAGCAACGCCAATTCATCTCCTGCGAAGCTAATTTGCATCTGAGCCCTATGATCTGCAGGGCTAGGGCAGAGGTAGAAGAAATCTCTAACAATCAAGCCGACGACGCAGCCGACGACACTGTAGCCGCGGAAACACCATGGAAAAGATCGCCTCTTAGTAAAAAGAAATCACCGATACCTTCAGCCAATTTTGTATCTGGCCAGAAATAGATACACCAGGTGAAACATTTCATCCTGACTTTAAGCATCGTATATGATATTTTAGGAATAACAGGTTCAGTATATGCACTCTCCAACTCTTATAGTAAATTTAGTGTGGACTGTGGAATTGGAGGAAGGTGGGTTTCAGCTACAAATTGGGTTGCAAATAACGCGAGGATGGTCGCTGCCTCAACTCCAGTCCTTCACGTCCTTATTCGACGAGTCCGCTCGTCTGCCGAACAATACGACCAACCCGACGAGGGAACCGACTCTAGACGGAAAAACCTACATCACATGGTAGCTGCTAAGGCGAGGAAGCATAGTTAGGGCGACGACCGGAGTTATAAGAGTATTCTTGACGAGGAGACGTTTCCAACCAGTATGCAACCGATCTAACGAGGCATCCTAAAGCCAAACCAAAAGCTGCATTCTTCTCTATTTGCGTCGCCAGATGCTCCACAGATCCTTGAAGTAGCCAACCCACCCCTTGACCTTCTCGGCGTAGTTTAGAAGCATAATATACCGCTTGATAAACGCGTCAACCTCGTCGTAGTCGGAGCCGTACATCTCCCAGACAGCCCTGCCATGGCCGTCGTTCTCGTTGTCCTCGACAATCATAAAGGCGTCCTCGTCCTCGACGACCTTGACGCTGCCGGTCTTCAGCTTAGGGCCCACGGCGAGTGCGCGTCCAGCAACTTCATGGTCGGCGATGAGACGGGTTGCAGCGTCGACGCAGTCCTCGAACTGCGCTCCGCCTGCGGTACCGGAGAGAAAGATGGCCTCGACCTTGGGCCGGAGCATGTTGCTCTTGGAGATGTAGTAAGGAGCAATCATGTTGACACGGACACCGCGGGTGAAGGCCGTGGAGCGCAGGGTGCGGAACAGACCGAGAATGGCGTGCTTGCTCATGGTGTACTGGCACTGGCCTGGGAAGGGAACGACAGATGAGAGCGAGCCGATGAGCAGGAGGCAGCGGTCACCGGAGTCATTCTCAGGGAGGTAGTAAAGCGCGAGATGAGTGGTGTAAATAGCGCCCGTGATATTGACGTCGAAAGTCTTAGTGTTCGGCTTCGGGACACGGCCGTTGACCAGCTTGGGAGCCTCAAACTTTACGGCCTGGCCAGGGAGGATGATGCCGGCGTTGGGCACCACGATGTCGATGCCGCCATGAGGACTGACGCGTACGGCTGTTTCAAACAGGCTGCACTGGGAGTCCCAGTCGGTGACATCGCAGTGCTGGAAGACAAAGGCGGACTTTGGGTAGGTGGTCTTCAGAGAAGCAACGAGCTCCTCGCCGGCAGCATCAGCGAGGTCACCGATGATAATGTGGGCGCCATGAGAGGCCCAGTGACGGACGAGATGGGCGCCGAGGCCGTTGGCGCCGCCAGTGATGAGGATCGTCTTGCCCTTGAGGGTAGACGGGTCGTATGGTTTGCGAATGTCGACGGGCGGTGACTGGCGGATGAGGCCTCGGACATCGTGGATGTTGGGGTCGGTGGGCATCTTGAAGAATCGCTTTGACTTGGCCCTGGCCGGCAATTGACAGATCGCGAACAGCAATGCGGTTGAGACAGGGTCTTGTCTTGGGTACGTGTGAAACGCTTTTGCCAACTGCCAGCTCAAGCCTGTCAGTTGTCAAAGTCGCCTGTTTAAACAAAAATATTCTCGAGGGGAATCCACTTCAGACTCGAACTAAATAAAGAGTCCAAAATTGTAAGCTGAACTATTACGGCACGTACGGAGTACATAAGGTATATTGTCAGCTCTGTATTGTGGAGCGTTCCCTTTTGACCTAGCGTAACATGAACTGTACAGGGTATATTGCGTCAAGAAAACTTAAATACTTCTTGACCTAATAACGGGCACGAGCGGAACTACACCTTAATCCTTTCTTGTATCAGTCTAGCAAGGCTTCAGGGAAATAAGGACAAGCTACGGCGCAACCCTGGCAGAGCGAGAGATTGAGGTGGGTATATTTGATAGGGTATCACCAGCTATGATTGGTCATGCACTAACAATGTGTTAGGTTCACCGCCGGTAATTAGGCCTCGCCAGATTTAACCATGAGAAGTTAATGCTGGCAGTTACACTTAGTAGTTACACTTCACAGCCTGACTGTAAGGGGACCCGCGCCAATAGGGCGTAATGCCTGAGGCTCGTTTACGGGACCAACTTCCGGCATCAGGATTGTTGCTGCTTTTCTGGGCGTTCTCCATCGGCACCAGGCACCTTAACCCCGTATAAAATCCGGTATTGAGTCATTTGTGTCTCTCGAGCAAGTAGGCAAGTAGCGGGTTCCACTTTGAGCGTCATATCGGACTTAAAAAGAGAACCCACCCACGAGCACGAAGCTATAATAGTGGAGCGAATTATTCCGCTTCAGACTATATATACTCCAAATAATACAAGATCTTCACTCCTCTTTCTCATACTTCCTTTGCATTATCCTGAAGCGTTACATCACCTCCCTCATTCTCTTAAACAGACCCGGTATCATGGAATCCTTTACACTCCTCCTCCCGAATGGAGGAACAGTCGCGGGCATTCACAACATACCTCCACGCTCCGAATCTCCCATTTAATGGCGCCCTCTGGTTGTAGGCCTCCATGGTGGTGGTTATGAATGCCATTACTTTGATGCCGATTCCAAACACACCGCATCCACTTCGAGCAACGCCTACAGTGTGCCGTTCATATCCATCGATCGCCCCTGCTACGGAGGAACCAGTTCCTTTCTCCCTGTCCCGGAAGGATCAAATTTTATAACGGAGACCGGAATCTGGTTGCACAAATACATCCTGCCGACGCTTTGGTCCAAGTTCGGTATTCCGAATCAATGCAATTGCCTGGTGCTCTTTTGCCACAGTCTGGGCGCAATGCATGGGACTGCGGCGGCAGCGATGCATGGCCAGGATGAGAGGCCATCATATCCATTGGGAGGGCTTATATGTTCTGGCATCGGTGATGTTTGGCGGCCTCAGATGTATGGGAACTCGGTGAGCGAGCCATATGACCCTCTGGGTTCAAGCTCGTTTACTCTCGAGGTGAAGGATGCTCTTATGTTCCGGCCGGGAACTGTGCACCAGGATATCCTCAGGCTCACGGAGCGGCTCGGTTCTCCTGCCCCGCTGGCCGAACTTGCGAGTTTGCCAGCTTCGTGGTTACCTAGTTGGAAAGAAGAGTGGGCAGTGCATGTCAAGGCGCCGGTCATGTTCGCCTTGGTGGAACAGGAGCCATTCTTCATGGTTTCAGAGGAGCGAGCGAAAGCATGTGGAGAGGCATTTTCCAGTAGCTTGCGCGTCGACAGCAGCTTCATTATGGGCGCACCGCACTGCATGGAGTTGAGTTACTGGGCACAAGGGTGGTACGCAAGGGCTTTTGGTTTTGCAATGGAATGCTCGGCGCATGTGGGACTGCAAAGTGAATGCGAATAAAGGGCACATCAACGTAGTCTCGAAAGTATTTAGCCTCAGAAAGTTAAATAGATGATATGTGAGCTCGCAAGGGATGCTTGAAATCGGTGTGTCGACATGTATGACTTGAATTGTGGTTGCAATCTTTTACTAGTGTAAGCTAATTACAATTTGTCAAGCCTTCGTGTCTGCAATCCGATATACATATTTAACACCATGTGCCTTTCCCTCAAGAAGTTTTGCTAGCCCAACTGGGAGCCCGTTTAGCCCACCCTGCACTACATCATGTGGATGGGGCTTTAACCATCCCTCTTCAAGCCCCAGTTCGATATATCGGTAAAAGATGTAACCAAAATGCCTAGGCGCGTTATGGACGGTGCCCACAGCCGTCCAAAAACCCTCCACACCCTCCGGTACACCCTCCAATGCCGGTTTGACGTATCCGTCGGGAAATAAGACCCCGGGCTTCTTGGGAATCTTTACCCCGTCCTTAGGGAGAGTCATAGTAATCCTTCCTGATTCTGGGTGAAGAAAAGCCCCGAGGATTTTGTCGCTTCCGTAGTCAGCCACCGCGTCGAAAGCATAAAGCACTGGCTTCCCTCCCAGAGCCTTCTTGATTTCGGCCAAGACAGTTTCGGGACCTAGTCGGTAATCAATTACCACGTCGCCCTTGCTAGAGTCAATGAGGGTTTCGACATGGTCCTTCGACTGCCCAGCCACGCAAATTATAGGATGCACCTCGCTTTTCCTCGCGAATTGCACGGCGAAGCTCCCAACCGCAGCCCCTGCGCCATAAATGACGAGAGGGCCGGTCTCTGGACGGTCTTCGTCCGTCGTCCAGGGAAGGGGGAGCCTCAAGTTACTATATAACCCAAGGGCCGCCGTCATGCTAGTCAGGGGTACCGTGGCAGCCTCCTCAAAGGAAATATTAGCTGGCAGGCGAAATGTTGTGTGGGCCCATGCAATGGCGTATTCGGCAAAGGCCCCATGGGGTGTAAACATTTCGTGAAAGGCAGCGACGCGGTCATTGGGGCGAAACTCCAGGACGCCGTCCCCCACGGACTCGACATAACCAGCTATATCGTCTCCAAAGTTGGAGGGCGGAAGCCAGAATGTAGATTTGACACCTTTTGGATTTGAACCAGCCACAACTCGGATAAGAACCTGGCCTTTTTGTGGAACAGGGATGGGACTGTCAATAATCTTGACTTCGGGTCCTAGGAAAATCAGATACGGTTATGTTGCATGATTTTGACGGCGTTACCTTGAGAAACAATTGCTTCCTTCATTCTTGGTATGTGGCCAGAAATGACTGTTGAGGTTACCTTGGAGTTCAAGTATTAGCCTCTGGAGCAGTAGGCTGGTCATGTCATGGCTTGTATGCTTCCCTTATTTTACTCAACGGGAGTAATGAAGGACCCATGACCGTTATAGACTAGTATCTCGGAGTCTACGAAAGTCCGTCTGGTAAAAAAAGAGTCTATTGACTGAAGTACACAGTAGGGCCGGATACAATTGATCACCGCCATAGGTCTATCGCAGCTTCTCCACAGTGATCGGTTAGTAGACCAGGGAAGTCTGGAAAAAGCTGCCCCATCACATTTGTCTTGTGAAGTGAGCAGTCGTTCACCTGGACTCGGCCAACTCTGGAGGTTTTCCCGTGCCCGACTCGAAAGTCTCCGAGGTCTGCACCATGTCGGTAACTCGGGAAAGCTTACCCCTAATGAAGATGGCGTGCTGAGCTGTCACCGTCATCTCGGTGCATGTAACTCTGGATACCGCTTAAATCTGAAAACGCTATTGAACCTAAAGTCGACGGTAGTGATAATGCCTATCTATCTCTCGGCTCGCTTATTTCTCAGGTCGAAGGACAATATTGAAGAATTACGATTCAGGAGCGGGCAAGTATAACTCTCCATACCGCATGGACTGCACAAGTCACCCTTTTGAGAGAGGAGGTATGTAGATATGCTGTATATAACATAGAATACATAAGAAGTAATTTTACGCCCGGGAAGTGAGGAATGTTGCCGCAGGAAAGAAATAGGCATCTACACCTCTCGCTACTCTTCATTATCTACATGTGATCAAAAGTGTAGTGCACACTCCGTAACTACCGCCGTAAGGAGGTGCTCATGATAGCGTATCCCTATACAGTATATTCCTGGCCACTTGATAAAATTGGGATCAAATGTGGCCCCAGATAGGTCTCGGCTGATACAACTCCTCAAGATACCGCTCTTCCTCATCGCTCAGGACTCTCCCATTACTTCCAACCGCCTCGTCAATCCTTTTCACACTGCTGCACCCAATAATGGGGCTTGTGACCCTCTTGTTGATCCAGGCGAGTGCTACATGAGCCATCGGCCATTCCCGTTTCTCAGCGAGCTCCGCCACCCGGCCGATGATCTTGAGGTCGACTTCGGATGTACCATGCCCTCCACTTGTGAGATCAGACTCGGTCGAGGCTCTCGCCGTCGAGTCAGAAGGGGGCCGGGCGAGGTGTCCACGGCACAAAGGAGCCCAAGGAATAAGCCCAACGCCAGTTTCGTTACAAAATCGAATCATCTCGCGCTCCTCCTCGCGATAAAGAAGGTTGTACTGGTCTTGCATGCTCACGAATTTAGTCCAGCCGTTCTTTTCAGCGCAAAACTGAAGCTGGGCGAACTGGGTTGCCCACATGCTGCTCGCGCCGATATAACGGACCTTGCCTGATTGAACAAGGTCGTGGAGAGCTTTCAAGGTCTCCTCAATAGGTACCGAACTGTCGAATCTGTGAATTTGCAACAAATCGATATACGTAGTCCCAAGTCGCTTCAAAGAGGCTTCGACCTGGTTGAAGATTGCAGTGCGCGAGAGACCGAACTGATTTTGATAGTCCTTGGATCTATCAAACTCTGAGTAAAAGGCAAATTGTTGCTCCTCTGTGATAATTATTAGAAGGTGCACCGGAAATCAATAATTGAACATACCTGGCGTTTCTCCGACGGCAAAGTTACATTTCGTAAGAATGACCAGCTTCTCGCGAGGGATATCATAGTGCTTGATAGCCTTGCCAATGATCGCCTCAGAGATGCCATTTGAGTACGAATTGGCTGTATCCCAGGTATTGAGGCCCCGGTCGTAGGCTGCCTTGAGCAACGGCAGCGCCTATAATTTGAATCTTGCTTAGTAGCTGCAAATCGTGTTCTAGCGGGACCGCATGTACCTTGTCTTCCCCAATTGCCCATGGAATGGCCTGAGGATCACCAAAACTCATGCATCCAAGAATGGGCACGGAAACACGAAGTCCGGATTTTCCAAGTTGACGATACTGCACTTTTGTCTCTTCCAAAGACTGCCTGAGTCGACTAGGGAGTTGAAGAGTGGCCATGTTGACTGACAAGATAACAAACGGCGGTAGTAGGTTGAATGAGGTGGAGGATACGCGTTGAAGAACTGCTTGACTGACTGTAAAAGCAAGCTAGAATAGCGACAAGTATCTATACTCCTTTCGTCTCGGAGACTTTTGTGGAATAATTGGCCCGACCGCCGCGTTGCCGGACAATGTGGACGACTTAGACGCCCACTTGCGTCCCCAGACGCCGTATCCTTCGCACTCGTGGTCTGAAGAAGGAGCGTGCCAATAAGACGGCCAATTTTTATGGCACTTGCTCGGCGGGATACATACATACTACGTAGTAGATACGAGAAGCAAGGGGTACCCTATAAACTCAAATGCAGGTGCGGCAGTCCGTCTCGATGCGGTGGATTCCCCGAAATGCAGTCGGAGGATTATCGAGCCCGAAAGAGTCGGGCCCTGGGCCCCCTGCTTAGCGGGAAAAAGAGGGGTGCTACTAAATTAGCCCGCTCGGAAAGTAGGCATCTTGATTGGCTCGGTAGTTAATAGACTCCGTCTCCCTTAATCTTCCTTGAGCTAGTTAGAGTGGAGTCTGAGGCTTAAACTATCGCTGAGTAAGGATGCATTTCGGCAGGGGTAGTCACAACTGCACCGCCGGCGGTGCAGGTATTACTACCGTTTCAGCAAGGAATGGAGCAAACTATCATCGTGAGCAGAGCGACTTGACTTTAGCTGTGTAGTTGGAGATGCGATATGGCTGGAATGGGACAGGATGGATGGTGCTGGGTCTCGTGAGTGAGGAGGACGGAGCTGAATGATGCAAGATGAAGATAGCAATTGGTCAAGCGTCGGTCCGACTAGAAGTGTAGTTCGCAAGGGCATTGCAGATAGACGGCACTTGTGACAGCAGAGATCAAGGGTTATCGTCACATCCATGAAAGGGCGGTCGGGTGCCGGGTACACCGACCTGTTAACTTTCGATCTGATTGAAGTCCTGATGACTGAACTAATAGAAAGTCAAAGCAGCCATAGCCAGTGTGTTAGTTGGCAAAGCAAGTGAACGCAGTTTGAAGATTTGGACTGCCCCCAAGATTCAGAGCGCTGGCTGACATTGGTCTTTATTACTTTGCAGATGGGGTTATTAGTGATTGTGGTAGCCTATGAGATAACCCGTATGAACATGTGTTTCCTGATCCGTTGTCATGACAGACCGGCAATCCGCCTAAATGCCTCGTTCTCCAATACCCTCGAACCGCCATGTAGCGTTGTGATGCCATGGCCTTCGGCTACTAAAGCACCATCATGCTTACCCATAGCCATCTCAACAAGGAACTGGCCAAAAGGTTCACTCGGACTATGCATCCACTTGGCAAGCAGCCTGATGGGCGGTGCTACGAGAGGCGTCATAAAGTTGTACAAGAAACCCGGGTCAGGTATATAAGGCTTAATAGCGGCGTGCTGAGTGGCGTCGACGTAGCCAGCCCGGACTGTCTCTGTTTGCAAATGAGGATATGCATCTCGTAGTTTCGAGAGCGATAACTCAGCCTCGCCTTTAACGCCCGCGTAGTACGGGCTGAAAAGGCCAGGCTTCTGAGTAGCTAGTCCAGTGGATATATAGATAAAGCGGAAGGGTTCGTTGTTGGGGGTCAGGTCAGCGAAAGCCTTGGCCGCGGCAAGGGGATAATCTTTAGTGATTGTGACGTAGTCCCTAGTGAGAGATTAGAAGAGATACTTGAGGAGAAGGGTATATCTTTGGGGAAAATGCACTCTTTGGAGGCCTTTGTCTGGCTGATACCGAGGGCCCAGACAGCACCGCTTGCACCTTCGAGCTTTCTTAGAACTTCGGGGCTGTAAGTGGTGAAGTCGTTGAGAATTAATACGTCGACTCTTGGGTCTTGGGACTGTTCGGCCATAGGAACTGGTCTTCTGCTAAGAATGGATATTTTGGTGACATCCCTCATTTTGAGCATAGCATGGAGTGCGCTGGAACCCACCAGGCCGGTTGCGCCAGTCAGGATTAGGTGCATGATTGATTGAAAAGTTTTCTAGTGACAAGTGGGAAGTCATTAGAAATGTTAACGAATCAGTTGGTAACCAGAAACGAACGTGGCGTGTTGGAACGAGGGCAGGAATGGGGGATGTAGCAGTCTACAAGCCCTTGTTGGATCCTTGGCTTAGTACCTTCTTCAGTAGCTCTATTCAAGCAACTCTTCTGCCTTCACCCCTTATTGCACACTTCGCCTTCCGGTATAGTGGGATTGGTAGCTAAGCAACTGCCTCTAAGAGTGCAAATGGCCGGGATGCTTAAGATGGGAGCTTCGGCGACTTTTTCAATCGGACACGGAGGAACTTTGCAAACCGACGCGGCGCTTGAACCGATATGGCCAAGTCTCGAAACTTAATGGTCCAGACAATTGTCAAAGAAAGTACTGCATATTCGGTCATGCATTGGGTTATTGTACCGGCTTCGTGTAATTTAGGTTTTCGCAGGGGACGGAGCCTAAAAGTATCCGTTCCCGTGGAACTAAATCGTAAAGAGAGTCTAGTGATTAATCACAAGACAGTGCCCAGTTTCAAGGAGACCCTGCAGGGAGAACCTTGGATCTGCTCGCATTTTTTGGTTCCGGTACCTCGAACAAGAACTTGTTGCTCCGTGTCCGCCTGCGAAAATTCGCCGAGAGTTGCCCATGCCTGGCGAGATATGCTCCACACTAACCCATCCCCATCAAGAGCGGACATAACGTGCAGTCATCCTATCTCCGAGCGTAGCCAGCACAAGCCCAACGACCTGAATGGCAACCAGTCATGACACCATGTCCGCAATTTCCAACCGATGGTGTGGACTCGTTTAAGATCACTTCGCTGTCCCAACTTACCATGCACTTAATCCTACTTCAATTCTCTTCTTCAGCTATCATTTTATCCAAATCACATTAAGATGAGCGCCCTAGTTACTGAATTCGGCTATTTCATAACTAAGCCTGGGGTGGAGGCTTGGGATGGGAACAGCGTCCACAACAAAGCCCTGGCCAAGGCCGCTACTTTTGCACACAGTCAACCCGGTGCTCAGAGAGCATACCTCTCGGAAGAGCTAGAGGACCCTCACCGGGTGTGGATATTCCTTGATTGGGATACAGTTGATGACCATCTTAAATACGTCACGACACAGTATGATACTTGAATTTCTTTTTTCTTTTCTCTGTGATTTATTGGATACCATAAGCACTTAACTCCATCCCAATCCATCATAATTTGGCGCCCAGATGGACAAATTCCGATTCTGTTCAACCATTTTATGGATGAGAGGTTTCTGAGCTGATGAGCTGACGGTGAATTATTGTAGGGGTCACAAGAACAAGGCTACCCTCGAAAACACTATCGACTTTACCAAGGGTGGCTTTCTTCACGTCGTTGGGGAAGGACGCCCTCTAACTTTGGCGCTGAGCAACACGCCTTCTTCCGTGGCCCAAGCCCTTAGAGCCTACTTTCCATCCGACATTGGCCCAGATGCAAGGCAGGCGGCGTCTCTGGAGGTTGAGGAGTTTATGAAAGCCACTCTGAGCACCTTTCAGGATTCCGAGGAGGCAATTTACGGCTGGAGTGTTGAGAATGATGTTCCAGTGATCGGGGAAGAGAGCAAGACAGGCAAGGTGCTGGTGGTATTTATTAGGTGGTCCAGTGTCGGTGCCTCCAATGAGGCTTTGGAAAGTCAATTGTTCCAAGATAACTTGGGGACGATCCGGAACCTACCAGGCCTAATAGAAATGGATATGTTTCATGTGAGATCCAGGTTGACGCTCGAAGGGCACAGTGCTGGCGTTTTAAAATAGCAGGAATCCTATAGACGTAGACCAATACATTTCGACAGCAATTTGCGTATAATGTCCTCCCCGTTCCATTATTCTTGCATGCCGAAGCCTGTTTCAGACAATTTTCTATGTTGCCCATTGGACCGATATCTGACCCTCCCAGACTGATTATGTCTAAGGCTGGGAGAGACGTTCTTCAGAGAGCTGAAGACTGTTTTAATATTGAAGTTTATTTCCTCCGCTTGCAGAGTTGCAGACTTGTCGCGATCCAGGTCCTTGGGCGACCTGCTCTGTGGAATAGGTCGTTTCATGCCGCTGTATTTAGGAAGTGTAGGTTGATGAGACGTCTATACCTTTAGTATTCCTACTACAAATGGAACACCCTCAGCCCTCCGTTCTCTCATTTATCTTCCTGATACTCTCGCCGGCTCATCTTACGATTAGCTATTTGCTCTGAAGATGGCCTCTAACACCCGAAATGCCCATCATCTCTTATTTCTTCCGTTAGGTGAACGACTGAGCATCATGGTTCAAGTCACTATGGCGGGCGACGCCTCCTGTAAGACACTCTGAATTTTGCCACTTGCTTTGCGACCCCCAACATTGTACAGCGATCGCTCGTGTGGTGATGGATGCCATACTGGCAAAGCAGAAGCATCAGTTCACTTCACTTTCCAGCCAGGTTAGTGTTAAATCCAACTTTCCGATCGATTCACTCACGATTTGAAGAATATTGAAAGGGAAGATACCGACAGCATCTGTCACACATCAAGATACCAGATTTCAATGGCTATTGCGGAATTGAAGTTTTTCTTTTCATCATCATCAAAGGTGTGTCCATCGCCACCTGCCTCGACATCAGCTTCGTCATTGACCTAGCCCTAGCCCCAGCTTTTCCTTGATTTTATCAATAGCTAGTCAACAACTAGATGAAGCCCAAGACTCCGAAGCATCCGGAGCCTCTCGGCTGTCCGAGTTCATCATCAGTCTCTTCGTCTATAAGACTGACCTGACCCACTAGACAGGAAGAAAACCAAGAGCTTCTCGCACACATGCTCATTTCCATCTGCTCAATGCAACAGAAAAGGGCACTAAATTTTCTACCAATGAGTTCATGACAAAAAGAAACAAGACTTCGTAAATCATCAATATTTCTATATTTCCTATCGTCAGGGTTCGATACCCACAATCACGCAATGACCCGCCAATTGATGAATCATGATATGATGGCTGACTTTATGAACCAGCTCAGATTAAAATGTAGAATGTTGTGACGCTCGATTCGCTGAAACTAATTTGGCAATAAAGAATCCGTTTTAACTTCACCATTTGCCCCTCTGATGAAATAGACAGAATTGCCAGCCTCGACCTTTACCCACCCTCCTTCCTTTGGCATGCCAAACCACACGCCCCCTCCCGCATTCTTCTGATATGCGCGGTCACACTGAGTCCAATGAACCACTTGACCGGCACCATTGATGGCTCCCTCGTTTTCCTCCAATGTGGCCTTATTGAACGCCTCTTGATTGAATGGATGGACCTCCTTGAATATTGTTAGTCAGGCTGGATTGTTATTAAATGAGTTGGTAGTACCATGAGGAAGTCTGGTTTAGTAAATTAGACTCGGTAGGTGTTAAATTTCCTATAAAACTCGGTGGTTGGACGTTGTGTCGTGTATCGTGCTCTGCCTGCAAATCACCACACTTCGTTGACTGGCTTGAAAATGAAGTTTCTTACCTCGTGTCTCTACTCTGTGCACACAAATTGTCCATGAATAATACGATCATGTGACTAATCACGTGGCCTTCTCTGAAAAATAATTTTTATTGACTCTAGGGTAGGGGCATCCCAAATCTCAGGACATAATTAACGGTAGTTTGATACTCAAAGTCGCTGCTGAGTCGTTCGGGTCGGCCTTTAGAGAGAATATGTTGCCTTCTGACAGATAGATAACTGATAGGAGCTTAAAGGGATGCAAAATCCGGTGGGAGCGCTAATAATAGCGTGTCTACCGCGCATAGATGCTTCAAGATGTGATCAGATAACATCGCAAATGTACCAGACTGGAGTCTAAAGTCTACCCTTATAGTCGCGCGTTGCTTTCTTTTCTTGCCATGTTTTCCTTCTCTCTGAGATGGCGTCGAAGAATCTTCCCCGTTGGGTTCTTTGGAATCGCATTTATGAATTCGACGCTCCCAACCAGCTATTTATACTTAGCCTTGTGCTTCTCGACGTGCTCACAGATAGCCTGCGCCATCTCGGACTCTGTCTTCCCAAGCGACTCTTTTGATCTCACGATAAAGGCCTTGGGAACTTCACCGGACCGTTTATGGTGAGTTTGGATGACGGCGCAGTCTGATGCGTATGGATGCGTGAGGAGGTATGCTTCTAGTTCTGCAGGGGCAACCTGCATTCCCTGTTTCCACGGCTATTAACTATATCGGACTCTCTGGGCTATGGGGGCTGCTTACCTTAACTTTAATGAGCTTCTTGATCCTGTTGATAATAATGTAGTGATTATGTCCCTGTGGAGACTTTTGAATAATAGCTTTATTGCCTGTCCTAATCTAATAACTGTTATCGGCCCAGATAAAAGTTTCTGCAGTAGCCTTTTTATTATTCAGATACCCCAACGTGACTGAAGGTCCCTGGACGAACAGCTTGCCGGGAATCTTATATACTGTTACTTCATTCCTATCTATATCTATAATCTTGGCGCTTATAGAAGGCAGAAGAGAACCGGAAGATCTATAAAGGATATCGGATTCGCTGGTCGATATAATCATAACAGCAGTCTCGGTCATACCTAGATTTAAACATTAGTAAGGCGAGATACTAGATACAGATAACTTACCGTAGACTTGACCAATATGCCAGTGCGGATACAGTATAAAGAGACTGTTAATAGTCTCGCTTCCTAAAGGAGCACTACCGGTATAAACATAGCGGACACTGTTAAGGTTAAACTTGCTGTATTTCTTCTGGTTGGCAATCATCTGGACTAGGATTGGAGGGATAATATTAAGTTGCTTAATTTTAAACTGCTAAATTGCTATAAGAAATATATCGAGTTGGAATTCTGGTAGAATAATAACCTCATCACCGCGATAGGGGGCGACGTATACTATAATAATAAGGCTGTAGGCATGACTGAAAGGCAACAATCCGAGTAGTACCTGTGAGTTGATACCTTGGCTTTTCCGATAGATGCTCTCAAATGTCATGAGCTGAATGACATTTGCGATGACGTTAAAATGCGAGATTATAACAGCTTTCTATGTACTGATAAGTAACACATACCGGCAAGTTGTTCCAAAGAAGGGTTTATCTCACAGGAAGCCCAGATGTTCTACTAGAGAAACATAGATATGCGACTTGCCTTGCACCCTGACCCTTGGACCAGTTTATTAGTTCGAGTTCAGGCAGAGCCTTTCCTTCCTCAATGAGATTATAGATGGTAGTGAACTGGTCAATTTTATCTTCATTCTGTATTAGGAGAATGAATATGCGCTCTTTTAGAATCCCCTTTGCTTGAGCTGCTTTAAGGGCAACTGGTAAGAGGCGACTGCATGTGAACAGGGCAACTAAGCCGGACGCCCTAAGTTGCTGCTCAAGCTCAACAGCAGTTGCAGCTGGGTTAACTGGCGAGACAATTCCAGAAACGCGATGGATGGCATGTGTCAGAGGTATGTAGTCAATCTACAACGAGTGAGTAGAAGCAGAAACTTGACCTAGTTGCGTCACTGACCGTGTTAAGAGAGAAGAGGGCAACGACTCGATCCCATTCAGATCCTTCGTGAGTGAAACCCAATCTCTTCTTGATTGCTTGGGCTAAGCATGTCTCGCGGTCGACTACTTCAGCTGCGGTGTACGCTTGCCCTGTGACGCCGCATACGAAAGGGGATCTCGCTTTTGCGAGCGGATACCGTCCATATTTGTCGTTGCTCATGAACTCGGCTATGCTAATTGAATCGGGAGGATCTTTGCTCAAGTTAACATACTATGTCATAAACTGAAAGTAAAACGTTTGCATCGAGACATACCCATGGGAAACTGGGGCACCCAGGACGGAGGTGAGAATACCATGTTGGTGACCTTCGTGATTGTGATGAATGCAAAATGGGAGGCTCTAAAAGACTTGAGCAGGAGGATACAGAAGTATAAAGCTAAGGTACAAACGAGGACTACATTCTAGTTATATTTATTCTCTAATATCACCAAGTATGGCCGCATATTGGGGAGACAGCAGATGGCACTCCGCACTTGCACCTCGGCACAGCTACAAGTGAGACTTTTTGATCTAAGTGAATAGCCAGCTTGAATCGCTACTGACATGCAATACGATTGGGTCGTTACCCTTGGGATAAGATCTACCAGCCGTAAAAATATCCCGAGAAAGCCGAGTTAGACGAAGGAGCCGAGCTTGCGACTCCCGGCCCCGCATCCGGCTCGACGCGGGCTTCTACACTCTGACACGACGATCTATAATGGAGACATAGATACCAAATGCGATGATCTGGAGACTTTACAATTAGGTGAAGTGGAGTATCAGAGAGCAGCTTTAGGTTGTCCAAATCTCGGCGCCCTTTCTACAGCACAAACACTGGGCTTCTCGTGTAGTGGCGAACTACGCTTTGAGTATGCCACGGAATAACGAAAAATCCGCGTTACCAAGATCACGCATCTTTGAGCGTAAGTGAAACTAAATGACATCTTAGTGTGTGCTATTTACCATAACTCATCGGCATAGGATGCAAGGGGAAATCGGAGAGAGAGGTGGCCAGAGTCGGAGAGACGTCTCGCTAGTCGGTTCTGGATTGTCCGATGGACTCCACTAGACGCCGAGCTCCTCACTCCGGTTACTCCGACTCGCTCGTGATAGACCTAGTCTACGCCCCCTCTTCGCCCTACAGCCTTGTTGCATCAAAGGGCGAAATGAACAAAACCGAGAAGACACGTCTTCACATCATCCGATCTTCATTTCGGATGTAAAAGTTTACGCCATAGGTCCTACGGTTGCCTGGTTCGTGATGGCAGTCGCGAGATATTTAACAGAGCTTATCCAGGTAATATATATAACCGGTGTTCTTCTATCAGATTTGCCCAGGCAGTGAAGCGAAAGGCTTTATCTGACGATCATGGGTTGCCGATTTTACCGAATTTGCCGGAACCCCCGCCATCCGATTCAGCGTTAGTTCCAGAAGCTGTTCTTCTCCTCAAGTCAGGCAAGAAAACTTTGGGCCAACCGGCGTCTTCCCAACAGTTAGCCCCTTTGCAAGTGATTTTACCCCACAGTTGATCAATACAATACAACTACCCCGGATTCTACCCTTCTCCATGCGGCTTCCCTCCACCTCTAGAGTGGAACATCACCTCTTGCCCCGTAATTGAACACTTCACCTTTGCAACGACATCCACCTCCATCAACATCACGCCCGAGCCGGTTTGGATTCACAACACAAAGCATTGCAAAAAATACACCATCAGCCAAGAGCGAAGAAAGCTCGTCAAACCAACATGGATTCTGTCGAAGCCCACGCAGAACCCCTGCCCCCATATGTACTGCCTGAGCAGAAACCCAACGTGGCAGCTGCTGCTCTTGATCCAGAGACCACTCAGCAGGAAGACCCTTCATTCTTTGAGAGGCCCGGTCCTGTTTTACACGAATCTGAAGAAACAAGACTGCCCGAAAATCACGCAAGCATCCATGACATCCCACCGGAAGCTCCCTGTGAGGGATCTCAGAGGCAGTTGCTGAGATCGCCAGGTCCACCACCAGGCCCTGCTGACAGTAAGCGTTCGAATAATGGATGTTTTCTATTGTGTTAACTAACCAACGCTGTCAGGTTCTGAAAACAAATCTTCGGTAGATGACCTGTCCGCATTTCTGCTTGGGCTCAACTATACCCCTACAAGCTTCCACAATCAATGGGGTACCTTGGCTAATGGCCCAGCATCATCCGAAATTTTGTACTGCTGCTATCCGTTCCTGGGAATCTCAAACATTCATCAGATTCCCCAAAATAACGCTAGGTTTCTTGAAAATCAAGGCTGTCTACGGGTGCCAATACGCCCTTTCCTAGATGACTTGGTCCAACACTACTTCCTCTACATTCACCCATTTTTACCTCTGATCAATGAAGGCGACTTTTGGGAGCTGTATTGTGATAAGAGTTGCAATCCACCTAAAAGGCCTATGTCACTCTTGTTGTTTCAAGCTATGCTTTTCGCGGCATGTACATTCATCTCTGAATCTACAATTACGGCCCTTGGATATACTGACATTCGGACCATGCGCGCCACGTTTCTTCGACGAACCAAGTTGCTTTACGACCTTGAATGCGAGTCGTCTCCCCTCGTTATGGCTTAAGCATCGATACTTCTCTCGTTCACATCACTATCAGCATCAAAAAGGCCAAACACAACATGGCTAAGCCTTGCTATTGAAAATGCAAAGCTGGCGGAAGCTCATCTTTATGCCATGAAGACTTCAATTTTCGGCTCCAAGCATCAGAACGTCTTGAAAAGGCTGTGGTGGAGTTGCATTATCCGAGACCGCTCTATGAGCTTACTCATGAGACGTCGAATCTACATCACCAACGAGCAGTTCGACTTCAGCAATGATCCACTTACCTCGGAAGATTTAGTGGATGAGTTTCAGCGGTCTAAGGTGTACGATTTTTCGACCAAGGAAAAGTTAGCCGACATTCTCTCCCAGTCAATCACACTGTGCATTACACTTACAGACACCCTGCTGCTCATCTTCCCGCCAAATGGTTTACAAGGTCCTCTGGAGAACGACCATGATAAGGACATCCATAAACTTCAGGAGTGCAGGACATCTTTGAGAAGATGGCATGAATTTGCTGCGATAAAAATGCCAAAGCGTTCAAGTTGCACTCGCCCCTCAACAACACCTCAAACAAACCAAGGCATTGGCGAAGCTTCAATCATCTTATACGCAAATCTTGTGTATATGTACTATCATACAGCTCGCATTGTCATTTGCCATTACGAAGCTCTTCACCTGAATGTGCTCTCGGGTGGCGCCAATGGAAACTACTCTCTCATTGAGGATTTGTCGACTATCTTTAAGACTAGGCGCGAGTTACAAGACGCTACCTCGGACATCGCTGAGTGTCATAAGAAAATACTACTTCTTGGTCTTGCCCAATTTCTCCCCAACTCCGGGATCGGTTTGATTGTTCTGCCGCTTGTACTTAATATCTTGGATGTCAAACTGTGCCCTCCAATTGCACATGCCATGCATCAGACTTCAGCAACCACGCAACACCAACTCAACATTCTTATTCAATTCGTCAGGGCATATTGGACGCGATATGATGGTATCGATTGGGTTACTGAGATTGTCCGTCATATAATTGGCCTTGCCCGGCTGGATGAGTCCAGACTCGAGAGGAAGTTCTCAACCATCAACTGGGCCGACATCTTTTCTTTCTAACCAAGGTCATATCTTCGCCTCGTACTGGCGGTTGATTTAAGTCTAAGTACAGGTCGTTTGCCGCAGGATGGAGACTTTCCAGTGAAGCTCAGAGGGTTGTTCTCTACGGGTGTCAATCCTCTTAGAGAACTTATTGAGGGCCATCACCAAAACGCCGTGGAAGATCACAACAGTGCCAGCGCCCCATCTCTACAGAATAACCCCCATATATCCACCAAGAGTTCATTCGATGGTAGATTACACCAAACCATTCTCGGGCTCGACGAGTGCCTAGTCACAATCTTGGAAAGTGGGATTAACTTCCTTGAGCCCGAACAAGTGGCAAATACCAACATCAGTCAATCTCAAGGCGAAGAAGCGGATAATGGAGGTGGCTCAGGAGATCAAAGCTCTTCAAGCTCGTTCGATGACAGTGAGGGCTCCTCAGCTTCTTCCGGAAAAGCCAAAGATAAGGGGGGGAATGATGGGTCTCAGCACTGGGCGGACGTAGAATGCCAGGCTATATCTGGCTTCGAAACAGGGATCATGTCGGGTGAAAATATAGAGAAGTCTCTTTTTGAAGCAATTCTTGAGGCATCTGTCTCATCCGACCGGGGAATGTCGCATTCTGTCTCACTAACTCATCAGACCAAAAGTGGAATGCACACTCCAACAGGAGGCGCTGATAAGTTGTGTATATGAGAGATGCATATTATGTAACAGGGAACAGTTCTCTAATACAGCCATGTAACCCACAAACCTTTCGCACTAATTAATCTCACTTCTGTCTAGTCCCTCAAGGTGAGTAAGTTGCCGGCACAAGGTAAAAACACATTTTTTTTATACAATTCAAGCATTTCCTACCCAATGCTTCCACGATGACCAAATATCAAGCTTTTCGGCGTGACACACCAGACAAATGGGGATACGCTTACCTATCCCTAGCCAGCCAGAGCCGCCTACACATCGCAGTCCGATCGCCTTGAATCAATCAGGACAAAGTATCTTCTTCAAGAATACTTTACTCCCTTTGGAGAAATCATCAAACTAAAGGCATTTGCTCGCTCTTTCCAGGCAACTTGTCTTGGGCTCCAGATGACCGCTCGTTCACGATAGGCGACAAGACATTCTGGTCCCAGTTGATGCCATTAGTCGGCCGCAGTCCCGTGACCTCCTCGCCCCGACCCAGCTGGCATTCGGTGACGTGGACGAGGACGAGCAGCAATTCTTCGAACTTCCTTACCAGCCTCAGATACTTTCGGATGCCTGACCATTTCCACTCACCTTGCCGGTGTAAGAAGTCCTGCTTCTGCGGCCCTGCAATGGAATCTTCAAGCAACTCCGCCTCTTTCTCGTCAGGCCGTTGCTAGGGATAAAGGATCGGCCCCGGGTTAGGTCGTCGATGCTGACCAGCGGGATGACGAACCGGACATCGGCGCCCCGCTTGAACATTAACGAATGTCGCAATTGCCGGCTACGGCAAAAGTGGAATAAACACTCCGCTAATGCGTAGTGCAATGATAGCATACTGAATGTGCCAACGAGCCCCACAGCCGGTCCTCCGCATCGGCCGTCGTGTCATCGCCGCGATCATGGCCCGTAGGCCGTCCATAGGGATGGGCGTGCCCATGAAGTACATGGCCTCGCCTTGCTTGCTCCATGACACCATGAGGCGGCTGCCAGTCTCCTGGGCAATCATCTAGCCGTGGAGCAGCAGGCTCAGTGTATACCCCATGGGCGTGTAAGTCGCCTTGCATAGCCATTCGTTCCGAACACAGGCGAAGCCCTCTTGCCAATCCAGGAACCGCAAGGCCAACCCTACCCCGAATTTCACCATTGATATAACTGCGCTACAATAGGACCCTGAACACTTGGAGAAATTGGCCTTCGAGCAGGCCTGTCACACAGAGTCAAGCGAGGGACGCTCTAGGCCCGGGTAACGACCTAGATGAAATAAGCAACAGCGCAAACCGATATAGGGAAGTGAAAGCCGAGACAGCCCACTAGAAAGCAAAAGAAAACAACCAATTTACCAAGTTTCTATTTTCATCGTCTTTAAAGTTTCAGTCAATTTTGAATCATATGTTCGCGTTGACAAGTGGACTGCATTGTGTGAACAGGCCAGATTTGTTGTATTTGAATTAAATTACATGCAGCCCTTGTTAAATTAGTAGTAGGCCACGAGAGGAAGGACTTGCGTAATGCTGATCACAAGTGAAATGAATTCTTGACTCTGTCCCGCATATAACCGCAGCGGAAACTTTTGCCTCTGTTACATGAGCAAATGAGAGACGCAGTGGATGATTTAGAAAGGTGGTTGGACGTATGGTGGCTTGGTTAGGGGACTGGCTCCAAAATTTACTTCGGGCCACAAAGTATATAATCCCCCAACTGGTAATCGAGAAGTTTGGAGAAATTTCATCTTAGAGTTTGAGCTGAATTTTAAAATATTACCCCACCTAAGCACTTTAGGCGTTCTCGAGCAGTATATAGAGTGTCCTTCCCGCCTGGATCCAGAGTATGTCTCCAGCTACCATTCAACTACCGATAGAGCTGCAGCATAGGCTGATAGGCTGACTGTACGTTCTCTGTTAAATATTCCGGGAATTTTATTTCTGCCAACGACTCTGCAGCCAGTCTAGCATCCATCGTCCTTTTAACGTCGTTCATTATACACTCTATATTATCTCATTCACTTGAACTTCAAAATGAAGGTCTTCTTCGTCGCCGCCCTCGTTTCAGCTCCCGTTCTAGCGCAGGATCTTACTAGCCTACCTGCCTGCGCTGTAAGTATATCTTCACCACCACAATCAACGTCATTTGGTAACTGCTGACACAACTCGCAGCAAACTTGCGCTTTGAATGCTATCTCCAGCACCGGCTGCGCGCCCACCGACGCCAAGTGTATCTGCGAGTCAACCAGCTTTCTAAGTAGCGTAGAAAGCTGTATTAGCACTGCGTGTAACGCAACTGATCAGCAGGGTACGTTACATCATATATACATCTCCCTAAAGGGCGCTGAATATCTAACATCTCATCCTTTTTAGCTACCTTAACATTCGCCCAGCAATTTTGCAGCTCCGCTGGCGTCACTTATCACGCAGCGACTCAAGCCACCACCCAGACTACGACTGGAAGTTCCACAGCGCCGATTCCCACCACACTGATCACAACCACCGACTCCTCTGGAAATGTCTTCACCGTAACTGGCGAGGTCCTCGTATTAGGTAACAGCAGCACCACCGTCCCTTGCCGCACCGTCATTACGACCAACGCTGCAGGAGTAACGGTGACAGCGACTGAGACAGGCTTATCTGTTGTATGTTGTTCCACTTCTTTACTGAAACTCATGGCTGACTAGAGTGTGTGAAGTTACCTATAGAGTTACAAGGACAAAACTCAAGCTCGCAGACTTCAACTGCATCTACGGCAGCATCGTCGAGTTTAACAGCGTTACCATCGATAGCCACTTCAACTGCAGGAGCAGGAATGCTAAGTTGGTTAAATGCAGTTCTGGTATCAGTTGCGCTATCAGGTATCTCGGTAATAATCCTGTTTCTATTTGAGTAGTAAATGGTTATGTATATATAATGTATAGTAATATTTAGGATAATAATCTTTAGGTCTTTTAGCTTCTTATTTAAGTTTGAATATAAAAAGAGCTTATTTATAGTTAAGAAAAGTATAATAATACTACCTGCAGCTTATTAAAGTATTTTAAAAAATAACCAAGTAGACTAGAAACCTTAATCTGTCTGAGTAAACTATTAACTTTTAAATAGACTGAATATATAGTCTATATTATTAATACTACTATTAGAGTTTCTTTTTACTGTTAAGCTTCTAGTCCCCTCTGGGTATATATATACTAGGGCAGCCTAACCTCTTAATAATAATTATATGCATAAAATCTGAATTAAATAACAAATACCCTTACTTATATACACCAACTCAAAGCTGCCGGTACAACCTTCAGTTACAAGCTACAGACACAAGCCCAGTATAAAGGCCCTGGCTTGTAGATAGCAGCAAAAGGCAACTAACATACCCTACAGCTACAATCCCACTATAAAGACCCTGACTTACAAACAGCAGCCCGAGCCAGCTAACTCAAGCTTAAGTGATAAGCTAATTCTGAATGTTCTAACTTACACACAGCTACTCAAGCCTGCCAGCACAAGCTTGAGGCAAAAGCTGCTAAGGTCCCCCCCCCCCTCTCTCCTTTTCCTCTCCCTCAATCCCTGCATTCTCATTAGCCCGCGCCCGGTCTTCCAGTGCCATAAATTTGCAAGTAAAGCCCGCGCCGGGGGGGCTAATGAGTACTAACAGACTAACGGGTAGGGTTCCGCGGAATCAGGCACCGCGGATATGCAGGTAAATGCGTGATCAATAGCGGTGTCAAGTCAATGCATTTCGGGGTTTGGAAAATTTAATGTGACATCCTTTTGCTTGACCTCGGCTATACTGCCGCGGTTCTTGGAGAAGTGGCACGATCTCGAAGCAGACCGCGGACTCTAGTTGCTACCCTCGGAACACAATTTTTGGAGTCGGTTAGCTTCCGCGGCTTTGGAAGCGGCCATTTGTGAAGGACATAAGTAAACGAAAATTATTAATAACAACCTACAATGGAATGTATCTCTGGCTGGCTAGATTTCTCTATCAAATTTGGAACTTCATTATCTGATTACTACAACGCACGATGAAAGCAATTAAGCTCGTCTCCCCTCATCAAACTGCTCTGGTATCCAATGCACCGATACCTAAAGTTGGGGCTGATAGGATCCTCGTCAAGAACAAGGCTTTCGCACTCAACCCGGTCGACTGGAAGTTCATTGATGCAGTGCCGTACATTGGCACCACCGTTGGGTGTGACTATGCAGGCGTTGTGGAGGCCGTGGGCGAAGATCTGAAAGTCCAATTCAAGAAAGGCGACCGCATAGCTGGAATGGTCCATAGTATCAATCCGCATGAGCTTGAAAGCGGCGCATTTGCCGAGTACGTCCTCGTCAAGAGTGGATGCCAACTGAGAATCCCGGACAATTTGAGCTTTGAAGAAGCGTCTAGCTTGGGAATCGGCATCATCACTTCTGGTCAGGGATTATACGAGAGTCTCGGGCTTCCTTGGCCAGAGCAGCCAAAGGAAAGGTTTCCAGTCTTGATATATGGGGGCAGTACTGCCACTGGAACCATTTCTATCCAGCTAGCAAAACTGTAAGTGGTCAGATATCCAGTTGTGCTGATGCTGACCCAACTTGCAGATCTGGCCTTGAAGTCATAACTACTTGCTCACCTCGAAACTTTGACTTGGTCAGAGGACTTGGCGCAGACATCGTTTTCGACTACAATTCGCCAACCTGCAGTGCTGATATTCGCCACTATACGAAAGACAGACTCCACTACGCCTTTGACTGTTGGTCGGAGGGTCAATCTGGTGCAATCTGCGTCAATGCCCTGGCATCTTCTGCTGCTCCTGGGAAGAAACTACGGTATGGTAGCATCCAGCTAATGGAACTTCCCAGAAAAGATGTACAACACTTGGAAACCTGGGGTAACACCGCGTACGGAGAGGACTTTGAAGTGATGGGAACCATGAAACTCGGAAACCCTGACCGTTATGAATTTGCTACGGCATTCTTTCGGTTAGCTCAACGATTACTGGAGGAGGGCAAGCTGAAGCCGCACCCGATTCAAGTCGGAAAAGGAGGCTTAAATGGGGTGCTTGATGGACTGGACGAGCTGCGACAAGAACGGGTCAGTGCTCATAAGCTGGTATATCGCGTTGAAGATACCGAGGGACACCTGAGTAACGGACATACGCCTTGATGATGTCCTGGGAGGATTCGTGTCTGTCTGATGGTTTGGTAGACGTTAAATGTCATCTGTTTGGGAACGTTTTCATATGGGCCTTCTGAACTTGCAACCAGACCATAACATGACCGTCACGATCAACAAATAGTTGCGCAGTAGATATTCACGCCGTCTGGGCTTTGTCAATATTGCAAAGGACCTGTTCAAAACCCGTTATCTCCGTTAGTGCCTTGACTTGCTCGTATCTGGTAAGAAGCGACCTTGAGGTACGTGAAGGCTGCTAAGAGTCAAGGCTGTTAGAGGTTTTTGTGGCTTGGGTCTCGAGCCACACTTGCCTGTCAGCCACAGTTGTACTTGGGTGGATCATTTAAAGTCCGGGACCCACTCCGCGGGAGCGGTTCGTGTTGGAAGCTGAACTGCGGGACGCAAAGACCTCAATTTACAGCAGAGCAACAACCCCGATCTAATTTATGACGTCATGACCCGAGGATTTTCTGTAATTCCTAACTTCTAAGCTCCTAGAAGGCCTAGAAGGGCCACTTTTCCATGTGGTTCCGTTTGTTCCGGACGGCTTGTGATGCTGTCCATACCGGACCATTAGATGCCATCCCGTACCGCGGAGCGCCATGGGATGTGAACCAAAACCAACCAGCGTATTCGGGTTTTTTTCTTTCTTTTTTTAAATAGCATCGTCGCTTCGCATGATAGAATTTGCAGATCACAATTCTTTCAATCGAATAACCATTGACAAGATCAGACCACAACTTCATCATCACTTTCGCATTCTACAGCCCAGCAGCAACAATGTCTGTGTCTCCAGCAAAGGACGCTCCGAGAATTGAGGGAACTGTTGAAATCAACAATGAAGTTCCAATTCCGGACAACATCACCACCCGCTGGGTTGCTGTGAGCTCAGCTACCGCGAAGAGGGCCATTTATGGTGCCCACCCTGTTAAAGGCCTGTATTGGACGAAGAAGGATGTTGACCCTTCTGTCGTCTTCATGGCAACCCATTACACGGCCGACTTCTCCGAACACTATTTCGCAATCCCAATGGCCCTGCGCGGCTATGGTTTCCTCGGCTGGAACACTAGGTTCAGCTCGGCCGAGGATAAATTCGTCCTTAGTGACGCCTTGGATGACATGGCAGCTGGGACAGCATGGCTCGAGAAGAACACCAACGTCAAGAAAATCATCTTCATCGGCAACTCTGGCGGCGGGTCGTTGATGGCTGCCTTCGCAGCCAAGGTGGAGTCAGACAAAAGCTTCGCCGTCCGCGGCCCTGATGGTTTCGTCATCCTCAATTCTCATCCAGGCCGCGCAGATGTAATGACAACTTGGCTTGACCCGTCCGTGGTGGACGACAATGACCCGACGAACACGGATCCTTCTCTGGACATGTACAATCCTGTCAATGGGCCTCCCTACTCGCCAGAGTTCCAGGCCCGTTACAGAGCGGCCCAAATACAGCGCAACCACCGCATCACGCGTTGGGCCAAGGACGAGCTGAAGCGCCTCAATCAGGCCGGCACACCAGACAGGATTTTCAATCTCTTCCGCAACTTTGCCGACTTGAGATTCTTGGATGGGAACATCGACCCCTCCGAGCGTGAGATAGGAAAATGCTTTTATGGCGACCCCAAGAACGCCAACCGCGGTGTTCCACTGATCGCGCGTTCGTCAACCATTCGCACCTGGCTGGAAATGTGGAGTCTGGAGGACTCTCCGAGCAGATTTGTCAAGACCGCCCCAAACTTCAAGATTCCAGTTCTTGTCCTCCAGACTACGGGCGATATTAGCGTCTTCCCGTCTGATGCCCGAAAGCTGCACGAGCTAGTGGCGTCCAAGGATAAGGAGCTGCAATTCATCCCTGGCGCCCACTTCTTTGAAGAGAGCCAAGAGGAGCTTGATGGAGGTGCTGACGCGATTCAAACCTGGACTGACAAGAGGTTCCATTGAGGCAGCAAGTTAGCTTAGTCTTTGCAGCATAAAACTCCGTATCCCTAAGTAAAAGTCAATACAATACTGCAAGACTAAATCTGGGCTGCAATGGCGCCGTGACAATCCAAAGTCAGGTAGTTTTGAGTTATATCTATGATTTAGTTGCTGCTACTTCCTGTCTGTGTACAACCTGCTGAAATCGGTGTACTACACGTACGCTTGTGCCAGTACCTAACGCTATTGCCACCTTTCTGTAGAGAAGGAGCGGCTTCCACCTACCTAAAAGGAGGTCTTAGGCTTTAAGTCTAAACGGGAATTTAAGTTTAAGGCGAATATGAGTGTGCAACAACCTTATTATTCAGCTATTCTCTCTTCTGGTTCTGGGTGGAGGATTAAATGTTTGTCTCTATTCCTTGCAAATACTGCATGGCTTTAATCTATCTGGTGATGTTGAGTAAAGCTAAAGAAAAAGCTAAACACTTCCAAGTTCAATCCAGTATTTCCAAGTAGATATGCCTCCCATAATTCCACCGAGCCATAATCATGGCCGATTCCACGAGCCGCATGACCCTAGTCGCTTGTCGAAGCGCCCACAACATCACCACCGAGAATGATGGGAGACTTGTTGCTGAAGTTCACCACGTCCGCAATCAACTCTTGTCCCACTGGCGAAGATAGAGCCTTGTCGCACTGGTCGGCATTGTCAAACACCAAAAGTGTCTGCACGACATAAGGAGGCTGAGTTCCGTCCGGTCCCGCCTCGTATTGTGTCACCGCCCACTTCAAGAGGCCGAACGACTTGAAGCCTTCTTGGACCCTCGGCATGTGGTTGGAAAGATAGTATTTCATGTCGAATTTCGTATCATCTTCGTTTGAATACAGAATGCTTGCTCGGTACGGCATTTTGAAGAATAATGTGACGCTTTTGTGTGAAGATGTAAAGGTAGATGCAGTATGGGGTAAAAGTTGCATGTAACAAGCAGCTTGAAACAGGGAGATTGATAGTTACAGCCATAGATGTAGTTGATCAACTTATACATAATACTGCATTGTGTGCCCGCGGAAACAAATCAGCCTTCCCCGGACAGAGACTTTGACAGACCTGATGGTGCTGGTGCTCCACTAGGTACCCCGTCCAGTTCAACCCGCTCTCCGTCCCGCGGGGGAACTCGTCTGTCTGGCTTTTAACACGAAATCGGTTCAGTGACATATACCACTAGAAATCCACGAATGCCGCGGTTCAAATTGAGGCCCAAAGAGGTGTGTGTGGGTCAAAGAGGGGATTGAATTGATCTGCCCGGCGAGACCCCACCGACGATGACACGCCGGGGGCTCATGTGCTGCTACAAAACCCAAATTGCATACAAATTGGCCCTCTCCTTGATCCGCGGCCCGGGAATGCATCTAGGTCCTTGTTCCCGGGTCCTGTAAATCGTGACAAAGCGAACAGTTCTAATTGGTTTTATTAAGTCAACCTCCGCCCGAGAACACAAAAGAGTCCGATCACCACAAGTCCAACATACTTGGGAATTTCTGAACACCGAATCTATCTTCATTATCTTTAATTCGTCTCAAGTAGTGTCAAAAGATGGCAACTCCCTACAAGTTCGTGTTTGGTCCTCAAGATCTCGGCACTTTCCACAAAGGCGGATACAACGAGGCAGCTGCGAAGAAGCTCGGTGAACTGCTGCAGCAGAACATCGAAAAATGGCACATTATTTACATGGGCTTCCGACACAGTAAGAAATTCCCAGTTCTCGGCTACTATTTCCCTCTCCTCTTCCCCTCCCTCTCTGGCGGCCTCTGGCTTCGGGTGTTAATATAAAAATGTCGTTTCAGACCACATCGTTCACTGCCTCTTTTCGGCATATGCTTTAGGGGCAACGGCGGAAGAGCTCCAAGTGATCTATGACCGCGAAGAATCATACCAAGCTGCCCGATACCCTGTCAATGAACGTGATGTCAAGGCTATGGCGGACAAGGTCAAGTTCAGGACTTATGTTGGCCAACAGCCACACTATTCCAGCTTCTTGCTCTTCTTCCAGCGTGAAATCGAACGCAAGGGTGTCAAAGCGACCCTCGAGGAGCACCTATTTGCAGGAGACGACTATGCCAATGAGTTCTTGACGAGGTTCTACACCAGTTAGTAGAGGGGACCGTTTCACATCTAATCCCAGCTCTGCTGACTCTCGCGGATCACAGGCATCTTTCACCCGTATCTGCACATCGGGTATGCTTTTGAGTTCAATCAGCCCGCTATCGTGGCGGAGGCATTAGCCATGGCAAGCGTCCATGATCCTGCATGGGCCACTTTCTTGCCTTTCTATACGGAAGCTGAGGAGGCAGCGGTTTTACCTAAACTGTCAGGCGAGAAAACTCTGCGCCGGATCATGGTCGAAGCACGCCATAACGAGACTTTCCAGAAGTCAATTGATGGAGAATCCTTGATCAGAGCCTACAATGTGGTGAGTAACGCTCCAGAGGAGAGCGTAAGGGCTGCGAGCGAGTATGCCGTCTCCGAAGAGCAGCTGGACAATGTGTTGGACGAGATGATTGACACCGTTTGTAAGTGAACGTCACATAACGTGGTTTCGCCTTGATACTAAGCTTTTCTTCTTCTTTCTTCTTTTGCAGTACTTACGATCGCGACCAAACCTCAACCACTGAAGAAGAGCGATTCCTACAAAATTGACTTCTACTGTTGACAACGTCAAACTTCTTGTGTATCTCACTATGGATACAGCGCTCTGCATAGCCTGCTGGAGAGGGTTCCGTAACAGGCGATGAATCCGAGATGTAGTACTCTACAAGATCACTTTCCGACGAAAGTGTGCCCGGAGCAATGTTGCGTGGCATGACGAAGATGCCCGGCTTGGTAGGATGGCGCACAGAAACACGACCATACGCGTCCAAAACGCTAACATGTGAGGTTAGTGACTCCAATGGCGCAGGATTAGTAAGTTTGTAGATTTAAAACGTACTTGTGAAGGTGCAATATATGACTGGCCGATATCAGGGTACGAGCATAACTCTGAACAGCTGTTTCTCGTGGAGTTGCCATCGTTCGCGAGGGTTTGCGAGACGCATGAAACAATTGATAACCTTCAATTTAATCTACCAAATGATAACCGAAGATCTATTGGTCCTTGGAGCATACTCCGGACGGATATCTCTCTGTTCTTCTTAAAGAATCCGTGAGCCGTGGATTGCGTCGGCTGCCGCCTTTCGACCCGAACCGCGTTCCGCGGCACAGAATTTGAGATCGGAACGGCTTCGGACATGAATGGCGACAGGCATCTCTTGGGAAGCGGACTTGTCTAAGTGGGCCATCCGTGGGGGGCCCAAGAATGAATGGATGAAGGAGATTCATTAAGTTACGCCCGGAGGACTAACCTCATAGGGCCAAGTACGCTATGCTATTTACAATTCTATGCCATTCTGCTCGTGTCTCCCAAAAGCCCTACATTCTTCATGAGGTCGCACATTGTCGGTTGGTGTCGAACCGCGTCGAACGGAGTTTATTTAACGTGCAGGCTGACAACGCTGTGATTGATGGAATCTTCTGGTGAGAACTTGGGAACTGCTCGCCAACACTCCCCTGCTTGTGACTGACTGCATGGGTATTTCAATATGGTCGCCGATTTGAAGATTAGATGCCCGAACTGCCGAGGTGGGCCCTGTTTTGTAACAGCAGGGCCTAATTTCCAGATGGTCGCCGATGTTAAAATTAGATGCCCGAGGTAGATTCCTGGTCTTTGCCTGAATATTGTAATTAGGGTCGAAAGTAAACTCAGTATCAACTACTAAGGAGGATTCAAAACTGTCACCCCGTGTGACTCGCCCCCCCCACACGTCGAGTAGGGAAAGGGTCGTTAACTGGGAAAATAAAGATACATTAATCGCTTATTAGATTATATGGGGTAGTATGTCACTTGTTTATATCAGTACCCTGGCAATAGTGGAACGAGTCCGAGGGGGGCCGATTTTGAGGCCCCCCTGGTAGTCACATTTGCTTTCGCCCCATTCAGTGGATAATGAACATAATTCCGTACGTCCTAACGAGCATAGCTTCAGCGCATGTAGTATCATTTTAGAAACTTGCTGTAAAACTTACTGTATTATAATTTTAGACTTGCTAGCCGAGTTAAGATGGGAAAATCACATTTTGTAATGATGACACTTATACGCCAATATCAGCAGAACTTATCGTCCTGATAAAAACAACTCTCTATTGCTTATCGAGCATCTCACCTAGCAAGATGGTCTCGAAATACCATGGACTGTTTAATAATACATGCACAATAAAGGTCGCTACCAGTTCCGTCTTTTTCTTCTACCTCATCATGGCTTGCTCATGTCTTGTCGGTTCTAAGCCTGCAGGTGTCATTGTCGAAAGCTCCCGTTCTTCATCCGACACACGTCGGTAACTAGTTTGAGCAGCAGTTCCAACCAGCAGTCTTTCGTGATCTGCCACGATGACCTTTCCTCGCTTTATTTTTCGTGCGGCTAAGATATCTAGAATAGCCATCGCAATCGCGCTCACCCTAGGTATGATGACATTAGAAGTTGAATTTGTAGACGGCGAGGAAACCACTAGTTTGTGCGACCCAGATAAGGCGTTCTTGAGTTTGGAAGACTTACAAGCCAGTAGCTCCAAACGCAACCAAAACCTTGTAAAACTGACAAGATCTGACTCCACTGTTGGTAATGAAATATGTGATAGTGCATGGTACTGTGATGATGGAGGCAAGAGAGGATAGAAGGAGTCCATAACCAGCCGCCCATAGTATCGTGAGAACCGTGTTCACGATAGCGCTTATTTTTGGTATTATTCCTCGACGGTTAATCCAAACGCCCATCGCCAGATTGGCTATTATGGTGACCAGTGCAGCGCCTTGTATCTGTTGTTTGGCTATTAATCTCAGTAAAGTATTTTCTCCCACGCAAAACTTACGAAATATAACGTTGTCGGGGTGGAGCGGTGGCCGACGAGTTCCAACATGATGATGAAAACAATGCATGCCGATGTCGTCTGCGATATTTTGACAATGTACCATGGAATGAGGGGGTAAACGGAGATGTTTGGTCGTGTTCGTAGATTTGCCATCTTGAGAAGACGTAATATGGGCTAATAAAGCTCCTTGGTCAGGTGTTGCTGGCCTCTTTGTTCCTTGCAGGATAGGAATCAAAGTGATGCGGCCAGAATGCAAGAACAGCAAGCACCATTTAAATATGCATCAAGGCTGCGAATCCCGTCCCGCTTTGAGAAGTCCATTCCTCCCCCATGGTCCCAATGATGAGATCACTACGAGGAATACCCCGGGCGCGAAGACATGCTGAGATTTCAACCCCTGAATCCTCAATCCCTGAATCCTTGGAACCCTGTATCCATCGGACACCTCTTGGCAGGGTTAAAATTCGCCTAGCACGCGACCGCGACCGCTGCTGCCCGGTGGGGACTTGAGGGTGCAGTTGCTATAAGCCCTAGGACCTGAAAGGAAATCAATTCGTGGAGGGATCTAGCGGTCGGGATGTCTATCATCCTGAAAGTCCCCGATTGAGGGTCTCTTGTCCAGGCTGTCGTTGCCAAAACTGTCGCCGCCCACTTCAGTCCAGAAGTGAAGAGAGTTTAATTGCCTAACATACGTTGTTGATTGGATGGTATTACAAGCGGTGACTGAAGACTTGTGGAAGCATCCTGGGATCTGGTATTCATCAATGATGCATTCGGCTGCATTACAACTATTCGCGACAATGAAAATGGAGGAGACAGAATGAGGACCATGTTTTTTAGCCCTGTACCCTGGTTATCAAGATGGAGCCCGATGACTGAGTGGAGACTAAGGGAAACTGGCTTTCTGGCAAGATCGTGCCATTACTGAGAGCAGCTGGCAGCCTTCCAGGGCTCCCATGAGCGCCTGACGAAGACAGGTCCATCGGCCCCAACTCAGTGTACGTAGACGATTGGAATGTCCTCTTCGTTTCTAATTTGCGCAGCTAGTGCCGTGCATGGAGGTGCTTTGATGCTACAATAGTCCATTACCGTCTTGCTGGTGCGTCCTTCATGGGCCGCTGAGGTGAGCGAAGCGTATGTTGCCATTAAATCTCCCTCGAAGTTCACCCAACCTAGGCCGGCATTGTCGGCGCACTTAGGCTCGTATTCCCAGACAATGGCCATTTGCACTGGCTGAGAAAGAATCGTGAACGTCAATCTTCCCGCTGGCAACGATGCTTCTGATCTAATGTCGATCCAGTGTTCTGAACCGGTAGTCGAGCCGGGAACAGATCGGCATCCAAGGATTTTTCCTCGGGGGCCTAGCCACCAGAAGACGGGATTATGTCGATTGCGAGGAAAGATGTCGTCGACTAGTCGCCACAGACGGTCAGTGTGCCACCAATTCCAGAAGCAAATGCTGCCAACGTCCCTTTTCCGGAGTGGTAGTGCCACTATGTCCCGAGACTGTATTTTGGGGGCAGATCTAACGAGTTCGCTCATTTGACGACTACAGACTGAGGTGTAAAGAGGGCACTATGTATTTCTGAGCCTTTGTTCGCTTTTACCAACATATTGAAGCCGACGTCTTTAGATTTTGTCGTGCGTTTGCAGCCCTGGTCGAATGTGATGTCACCAGCTTAGGCGTCCCATCCACAGAATCTGAACTCATGAAGGGCTTTGAAGGGCCTCGTTCAAAGAGGTGTAGGCTCTTCTGTAAGGCCACTGCATCGCCTGGTACTTGCTCTGATTTCGTGTTGCAGGCGCTTTGGAAACGGCAACTTCCTTTGGTGACCTTTTCTAACACACTGCGCCATTCTTGACAAGAAATCTCCTGGTTTGTCGAATGCATCTTGTTGATGAAGAACCAATACGACACCCCGTAGAATAAAGAACGCATTGGCTATCTTCGTCTTGTAAGGTAGAGGCTTGACTAAACGCGGCATAACAGTAATTGCCAGCATGATGTTCTGTGCAGCTTGAGTGGGCATATAGCTACCGGGACTTCACGGGTTCTCTGGAATCATGGCGTACAGACGCCCTTGAACAAGCCTACACCTGTATGACCACTCGTAACTAAGGCCGAGATGCTGAAGGACAAGGAGGGGTAGTTTAGGAGCGGGCCCAGAATCATGAGGAGACTTTCTTACGAATGCGTACATGAATGTCTCCGGGTTGACCGAAAATAAGTCTTGTAGCCTAGGTGTTCAGCAACCGAAATCCCCACACACACGTTCTGCTGACAAACTGTTACATTATTAGGCGACGCTACAGCACGTGTTGGCGCTCTGCCGCAGGTGAATGCACTTTTGCCTCCACTCCTATAACACACTTGTCAGTTACTTGAATCTCGTAACTCTTCTGATCCCCTCTGCTTCCATATAAGAGTCTCTGCTTCAAATTATTGACGGGGGGCACGGCAATTCTATCGCAACGAAACAGATATTGACCCTCGACTGTTTACGCGCAAGAATTCTCTAACGCCAACTGGCTTTTAGGCTTCAGGTGCTGTTATTTAATTCTAGTTTTCTTCTTCCTCTCTTAAAGCAATGAAGCAGAGGTGCATGAGTCCACCTACACAGGCGTCAAAGGCTGGCCCTTCTTCTACCCAGTTTGCCTCCATTGTGTCACGTGGATCCTTCGCGAACTCGTCTCTGGCCTTACCGGACCAAATCTGGGCCACGATCTAGAGGTCGAAATACGCACGCCAGTTTTGGGTTCTGGAAACGTTATTTACAATATGTGGGTGTCCAAAATGGCCACTTAGAGCCAGCAAAATAAATCTACGCTGACGTTGGCCGTGTAGTGATAGTAGGGAACTCTGCCGGCGACAACTTAGTGGAATCTTTATCTTTGTCAATATCCTTTGAGCAGAGCCCTCGCGTCTTATTCAGGCGTGCTCTGCCACCAGAGTTTCGGTGGTTACTCTAGGTTATGCTTTATCACAGCCTCAAGATTATTTTGCTGTATGACTTGAAGCTAGCGCGCTCGCCTGAAAACCAGAGCGAACAGTCTGCCCGCATGGATAGCAAGGGCGATGGAGCAGACGTACCTGCCGCCAGGTGCTCGAAAAGACCAGATCATTGAGTTGTTGCTGACAGAGCTCTGTTTCGGGAGCTGACCTTGGCACCCGCTGTCTTATTTACTGGCAGCTTGGATTGCTTCAGAGAGGAGGGCTCTTGATATGCTAGAAACCTGAAAAAAGTGGCAAAAGGGCAAACCTCTACGAATTTAGAGGTGGTGTTTATGATATCTCCAATGAGCCTTTGAAGGGGAATCTGGCGCTTGATATCTATGAACAGTGCTGGACTAAGGTATACTGCTCTTTAAGAGATGTATTTTTGTAAATCTATTTCTGGGAGGCTTTCTGTTCACCTACTTCAAAGACACACTGGTCTCCACCAAGCCTATTATGCAACTGATTGATGTTGCGGATTGCGGCTAAAGAACACCAGCACCCAGAACATCCAGTTAGCCAAGCCAAGACAATCTGCCCTACAATCTACAAAGGATCAATATGCACTACCCACCACCTTGGAAATACGGCGTGATGAATCTTGCTGGCAAGCCGGAAACTGTCGAGCGCAACTGGACTACGGCGCCTTCACTCTCTAGGCAAATCTAACCAGGTTACACTAGTTTTACAAAGAAACCGCAGTAAAAACAAACATAGCTTACAGAATCTGCTTACAGACCTGCTTCCCCTAGCTAGGCAATACCGTGGCTATACCCGCCGGTCTGTTGGATGAAGTAACAGGGACGTGGTTTATTATGAACCGCGGCTTTGGTCACACATCTGTCTCGTTTTCCGCCACCATTCACTATCGCAAGACTCCAGCCGATACTACAAATGAAGTTATTTCACCCGCTTTACGGGGTCCCGACCCCTCATCATCGTCCAGCGAATATCATGAATAAAGCCGCAGATAGCGGTTATGGCCGGATGCACTTGGAATAAATTCCCTATCAATATTTCCCATTTCACGGTTAGTCTATTGCCGATCTTCGTTCTTATCTGCACTAGCCATAAAAATAAGCTTATCTGCGCCGTCAAACCCCCTCCAGACGTTCCTTGCCTCCAACACAGCCCACAAACCCCACCACGATGGGTCAAAAACTCGGTGACCGGGATTCTGCTTGGAGGCCGAAGAGGCAGATAGTGATTCGGTGGATACTGTCGGAAGTTATTCGGGTCTACATCTGGAACCTAAATGTCGGATAACAACAACTATTGTCCAGGTTGTCATAACGCTGACACATAAAAACAGAATCAATCCATGCCCTGGTCGGAACCACAGTTTCGATAAGCAACCCCGGTCCTTTTGGGATCAGAATGGGGCTGGAGTAGGCGCGGGGTATGGCATTTGCGAAATAGCTGATAGTGATGCGAGACGGCCATCACTTACGAAAGATGGGTGCCGACATAAAGTAGACTGTTCTGTCGGGAAAGTGAAGGATGATATTCATCCTAGATATGCCTAGCTCGTTCAGTTGGCAATCCGTTACTCATTAAAATAAGGATGTGGTCTTCGCTCAGTCTCCTGCCCTTGCTGGGAAGCTTAGGTTCTTTTTCAGAAGCAAAGCCAGTGTACCAGCCCTCAGTTACCTTCCTCTCTCCTTCGCAGATTAGTCTGGGAAGCGCCCAAAACGTTGTCGTTGAGTTCTTAGGCGACGTCAACGGCGAGCTCACGATTACGTACGGCTCATGCGACGGTGCTGCTATCATCTCGGATGCGAAGCAGCGCATCGGCGCAACGCATGTTGGCAATCACCCCCTGGCTGCTCGTCACGTCGATCATAAAGACAGGCGCCCGAGCAAGTTCGTCTGGTTGACTCCCAGCTCGAGCTCTGGGGGATGTCTTCGTGCATTTCTCGATGATGAACTCGTGGGACAATCTCAAGATCTTCGCGTCACCAAGCGCATGACTCGGCGTAGCGAGAAGAAGTCGTTTTCAGAGGTCGCTGGAGATGACAGCATGTGGTTCGACGGGGTTGCTTACTTACAGCAAAAGCAACCTGATGAAGCCTTTGTCGCAGCAACCAAGAGCAAGTCGTTTGGTATCCTAGGCGGTGGTATGTCTGGCCTCATGTCTTCTGTAAGTTCCTATTACTCTGCATCTGCTCATTTCTGCACTCATGGACTAACCCTTGCCCTCGCAGTTGATGCTAGACTCTGTTGGTATCCACAACTGGAAGATCTTGGAGTCTTCTCAACGGGTCGGCGGTCGCTTCAGGACTGTCTACCTGAATAATACCTCTCCCGAGGAGGGTCAGTATCACGAGCTTGGGCCTATGCGTTTCCCAGTCGAGATCACGGACTCTGAGACCAACGAGACCTTCCCATTCAATGATCAGCGGATAGTTTTCCAACTAGCCGATGTCCTCAACGAGCTCAACGTCGGAAACGAGGCAGTGCAAGTCAAGTTCTGGGACTGGATTCAGAGTTCTCCTAACACCCCTGTCGATACTCCCTTTCGCCGTCCTGACGGGACCTTTCCCGGCAAGACTGAGGTGGCGACTGACCCGGCGTACTATAACCCTACTGTATACCACAATGCCACCGCTGCTGCGGAGGCCATCGACGCTCTGGACAAGTTCAAGGGGCTTGACGCGGAACGTATCCGCATGTACGCCACGAACATATTCGCCGCTTACAAGCAAGCCAAGGAAGATGGCATGTTCGATTACTCCGAGGTGTCATACCTCCGAGACGTTATAAAGACCGACCTAAACACCACTGATGAAGTTACGCCGTCCCACATCTACTGGCCGATGTGGGAGTATGAAACTGTCTACTTCCTTGCTAGCAGGTGGGTTACGGTCCAGGGCGGTCTCAGCAGGCTACCCGCTGCCTTTGAGCCCTTGATCAAGGACAGAATCCAATACGGTGCCAAGGTTAACGGCATGCACTACAACGACTGCAATAAGACTCTTTCTGTCTCCTGGAAACCCACCGGTGCCGAGCCTTTTGAGACTCCTAACAACATCGAAAACTTTGACTACGTACTCAACAGTGTCCCGCTCAACTTACTAAAGTTTTGGGATATGCCGCCCTACTCGAGCTTGTTGAAGCGTGCCATCGATCGGACTCTATTCGCTAATGCTGTCAAGGTGGCTGTTCAGTTTAAGACACGGTTCTGGGAGCACCTCGAGCGGCCTATTCTTGGCGGCTGCACTCGTATTACGAAGCCCCAACTCGGCCAGGTTTGCTACCCCTCGTGGAATCTGAACGCCACTGGTCCCGGTACTCTATTAGCTTCTTACCTCTCTGACTATGAGGCTACTGTCGCGTGTGCAATGTCAGAGGGGGAGCACTTGGCCTACATTAAGCGGGCTCTCACTCAAGTTCACGGCGATGTAGTTGAGGAGAACTGGACGGGAAACTATGCCCGCCACTGCTGGGAGCAGGATGAGCACCAAGCCGGTGCTTTTACCATGCAAATATTTTCTCAGCAGGATCTTTATCTTCCGGCCTTCTACCAAACCCAGTTTAATACGATATTTATTGGTGAAGCGGCTACCTTCACCCATACCTGGACTTTCAGTGCTCTCGAGAGTGCTCTTCGAGGAACTGTTCAGTTGCTTCTGGACTTGGGCCTTGTTGACGAGGCTAAGCAAATTACCAATACCTGGATGGCACGCTTTATTAGTATATGAATAAAAAGTTATATTACTGCCTGCTCACTACGGACATTGTGGGTGACCTGCGACTCAAAGACTGAGAGTCAAGCCCAGAATATTTTGGGAAGATCTTGCCTAAAAAGGAAGAGAATCCTCGGAGGGCAAGCAAGGTACATGACTCAGAACAATGAATGCAAAGGGCAACAGAGACAGCCGATGGACAATGCCAAGACGCCTCCCCACCAGTCAGATAGGACCATATCGCCTGTAATAAACATGAAACTTCGGTTCGGTTCCTCAATATCCGAAGATAATGTGGAACTTGACTTTGAATACTCCCATAGGGGCGATGTTGAACCCACCTTGTTGGGGCTATGATATGACCCATAAGGGCAGCAAGCCCCGGAGCGGACCTAGAAGTGGGGGATGTCAGCGGAGCTGGGAACGCGGCCACTGTAATTAATAGCGGACCGCACTGCTAGTTACTGCTGAATACCACTCAAGCATCTCACTGTACATAACGCCTTTGTTAACGACCTTTCAAAGGCGAGGGGTGATACCCTATAGCTGAGCTGCGTCCTGCCACGACAGATCGCATATTCCGCGTCATGAACTGAACATTTTGCGAGATCTTGTGACATCTGCAAGTGCCTCTCAACCGTGTCAATTATCAGACGTCTGGGATTTGGGCGGACCCAAAGCAACTCTCTCAGCCCCAACGTCGGTATTGCAGATCAAACGGGAGTTGGGCTGATTGCGTATTGGCAAATTGGGCATCATCAATGTCAGGTTGACGGCAACTAAATTGGCACTTATCCAAAGCCACGTAAAATACGAGACACGAGACTCGACTCATGATCTGTTTTTCTTTTTTACCGCCAATTGAATTACAGTCCATACGGGCTCTCTCGCCCCACTTACACCGCGTGGAAATTATGCATAATCACAGCGTGCGTGGATCACCTCTTTACCTCCGAAAGTATAATCCTCTACAGTGGTGGGGTGCAAAAAGTTCTAATACCCTTTGACGTATCGACCCACTTGACGGAGGCTTTATTATTATGCTGCTTTAAGATATAGTATCAGTAAACAAACCTCTAGCAATCCAGCTTTATAGTGCGTCGGAGCGAAAAAAGAGGGATAGATATTAGGAAATATTATTTGGAACAATAGATATAGCCCTGCTGTTTCAGCTTACAGATACAAGCATTATAGCGACGGCAATAGCTCTTGCCTCAAGAAATTGTAAATGATGATGTAGGAGGGAAGATTGAACAGTAAAAGCAGCATCAATAAAGCTGACCCAATTAGGCTAGTCAAGTGGGTTGGTACGGAAGGGGTCTTCAAACTCTTTGCACCCCACTCTAGTCTTGACCTGACGTGGCGCATTGTAAGTCGGGTATTTTTTGGGGGGTTCTATGCGAGAACGAGGTGAAAGACAAGGACTTCGAGTCGTGCACGATGATCCATAGACCTAAAATTGGAGCACATAAATAACGAGAACGAGAACGAAAGTCATGTAAGAGAGGCAGTGAATTCTCAAGGTGGAGACCATGATCTCTCTTCTTGCATCAGTATAAGTTCATCTCCTTCCCGTTCACTTCGAGTCAAGCACACACAGCTATTCCAATCATACAATCGCACATTTGGAAGCCATGCATACTTTTCTTGTCTTCTTTTTTGCCACTCTAGGCTTGGCTGCTCGACCATTCCTCAATGAACCAGATACTGGGTTATTACCTCTTCGCCTAATGATGACAGACATACATCTGACTCTAAAATAGGATCGAAAGTGCACTGGAACTCCCCTCCAACGGGTCACTGCCGTCATTGAATCGCATGCTTGGACTTCCAGATTTCGACTATCTGGCAAGAGAGACACTGGACTACCCGAAATATGCATTAGTCTCCCACGGCGCCGGAAGTGAATTTTCTTATAGAAACAACTTGGAGGTGTTCGACCGATTTCGGTTTCGTCCCCGCGTCATGGTTAACATTACCAATATCGATGCGAGCTTGAAGTATGAACACCAACCTATCTCGGGTTATTTACTAACGAGCACAGGACGTCGATTCTTGGACATGAATTTGATCAGCCCTTCTTCATCAGCCCATTTGCTTCAGCGGGTGTGACCAACGCGGCTGCAGAGGGAGGCTTGGTCGGCGGGGCAGGTAAACATAATGTTCTCTACATTGTAAGAAACCCCGACGCTGCGAAAATCTGATATTGACTTCAATAGGCCTCCCAATCTTCGACACTTTCCATGGAGGATATATCGGCGTTGAAGAGTGACGGTCAGGTCATATGGCAACAGGTATGGGCACGAAGAGTTTTAACCAGGGCAGAACTAATTGCTTCGCAGATCTCTCTGAAGAACATTGGTGATGAACCACCTGTCGATCTTTTTACCAAGATTGAAGCCGCTGGTATGAAAGCTATTGTCCTGACGGTGGATTCGGCTGGTGACAGGTATGCCTACCGTCCCAAGAGATTGTTGCCAGACCCAACAATCGGCCGCGATCCTCGATACACTTTCATGAGCTGGGACTTTTACAAGGAGCTTCAGAACGCGACGTCTCTCCCAATCATCCCAAAAGGCATCCAGACGGTCGAGGATGCTCGTAAAGCGATCGAGGTTGGTGCACCAGCCATTTTCCTCTCTAACCATGGTGGCCGCGTGCTGGATGGCGCGCCTTCACCTTTGGAGGTTGCTTGGGAGATTTATCAAGAAGATCCCGATGTTTTTAAGGAGATCGAGGTATATGCCGATGGTGGAGTCCGGTATGGTACCGATGTTATGAAGCTTCTCGCGCTTGGCGTAAGAGCTGTTGGTCTTGGGCGCCCCTTCGTGTTCGCCAACCTCTATGGAGCCGATGGAGTTTCTTGGGCCATTTCTCTACTTGAAAAAGAGGTGACCAGCGTCGGGGCTAACCTTGGTCTCTCTGATATTAGAGATATTAACCCTTCTTATGTGAGTGAGACGAGTGAAATCGCAGACCGTAATGCTAACCGGAGGTTAGATCAAATTGACCTCCACGCAGTGGAATAGCTGAGGTTTCAACCTTGGTTGGCGTTTGTAATGTGATGCGTTCGGGGTTCGAGTTCGAGCCTCGGGGGGGGATCTGAGCATCGCATATTTTCCTTTCGTGTTTCTACGTGTCACTAGTCATTAGTTAGGACTTGGGTGCCGGCGCCTTCACAAGAAAGACCTGCCGGCCTGGAGCCGTAAGGTTGTAGCATCATACATAGATAGATAGTAGTGGAGCTGCGGGTATGAGTCCAGCGCTGCGAAGAAGATTTTCACAACTCTATCTTCGGGTTTGTGATGACCGCGATTAGTTCAATATATTCATCCCGAGCTATCAAACCTTCTGTAGTACAGCAGAGAGTGATCCATTGATGTTATCGTTGCGTCGCTTCAGGAGAGGGTGCACAGTCGGGTGGGTTCTGCGTTAAATGGACTGTATCGCTTCTCGGTAGGATGCGGGACGCCGGGGTGTTAGTAAACACCCCCCACAAGAGGCCTTGACAATATAGAGCTTCCGGCCATTTTTGAGCCGATCAGATCGTCGATTTCGAGAATGAATATCCAATTTCTGCGCTGCCATCTTCGGGCCAGAAGGGAGCCTTGACATGAGTAACAGAGTTTTGGTTATCATCTAATCAATCAGATGAAGCATGATAGATAAGTCTTTTCCGGCTGGTTTAAATATTACAATAGTCAAACGAGTGTCGAGTCTAGGTTCTACTTTTATTATTCAAAGCAATATCTAGCGACTATACAAGCCCAATTTGTTTACCCTCGATACTTAAATTCCTAACTGTATCAGTCGGCCATTGAATCATCTCTTTCCACGGAGAGTCAATGACGATCGGGGCGATGGATTTAAGTAGAATCCTAGCCCATCCTTCAAAGAACCAATAGTTGGCTTCTCGAGCGTGCAACAACACGCAGTAATACGAGAGAACAGCCAGCGCTACGGGGTGATGACGTCGCGTCAATGCAAGATAAGCAGCCGGTAGTCTTAAGGGCCAAGCAAACACTGCCCTGAGTTCAGGCGTTGCCAGAGTCTTTTTGCTTCCTTCCGCTTCCTCAATAACGTCCATGAGGAGAACAGTTGCTTCCACCAGGGTCTTTTTTTCTTCCCCGTCAAGCTCGGGTGCCTCCTCCAGCAGTACTATCAACCTTTGTAGTTTGGTGGCCATGTCGTGGATTTGGGGTTTCAGCGGTGTTAAAAGGCAGTCACAGTCCCTGAAGAGTCCCCGTAGAGGCCCATGACGAAGTAGAGTGTCGGAGGACTCGAAGATGACGCTCATCCCGCCAGCCAACACAAAGATATCCACGAGGCTGCTGATTGGCTCAAACATGGCATTGTTTTTCTCGCAGCTTGGAAAAATCCCAAAGGCGCTAATAATGACAAATATTGAGCTCGCATACAAAGCATGACAGCTATTCGATGCCAATGGGTCTTTGAGGAGTTCCCTTGTGCCGGAAATGGCTGTGCTTTGGTGTTGTGACGCTTGAATAAGATGTCGACGTGAATTGGGGTGCAGGTATGCCAAATGAAGGGCAGAAAATGCCAGTATTTGGTGGAGGAGGGAGGGATAGAGGAAGGCTTCTTGAGGAACAGCATGTTGCAGCGCTTCGCACGCGTGGAGACAAGGCGTGAAGAGGGTGCGATAGGCGACTGCAGTGTAATGATGTATGAGTTGAGCGCAAGAAATGCAGCCAGAATCTTTGTCTGGGTCTTCATTCGAGCAAAAATTAGAGAAACAGGCAAATGTGCCAGGTATGGCATTTGCCGTCGATGGAGTTTTGGCTTTGATCAACGTGTCACATGGTTGATTTGAGCAGTTTCTTGCTGGTGAGACCAGGGTAGTTCGTCGCTGCTACAAGCGTTAGAAATGGAAATATATGTAGAGCAGAGTAATATTTCACTTTTGGCCTATCACCACCTAGGGCTTTTTGGGTTGATTGAGGACCTATTGCCGTGGACTGGAGGCTGCAGGAGACTGTGTGTTTCAAGCATGCGCCGCAAGGGATCTTTTCATCGCACTGCGGAAATGCCGAGTTAGCAGTGTAAAAAATACGGATGACGTGATGTTGCTCACTTTCACTCTTCTCTGTTTGCATCGCAAACATCCAGTACGGGACTTTCTGTACCCGAGTCGTTTCATCGCGTATGGGATGGATGATGGCTACACCACAGCACTGCTTCACTGCCGCCCCGACTTGAATGCCCTCTGGTGCTCGCGGAAACCTGCGATTGCGTAGTTGGTGGTTACTGAGGGTCGGATGTCCCTCAGGGTCGGATATCTCGGTCTGACCCGTAAGTGTACATGTACAGGAGAAGATTGATTTCATGACGTGGGCGAGCTCCTGGAGGCTGTGTCCAAATTGAGTTTGGCCACGTGCCAATCAAAGCTGCAATTAAACGACTGAAACCCACTTGCACTGGATCTACTTCGCACTACTTCGCACTACTTCGTACGTAGAGTCCATCGATCCATGCTTCTGAAGCTGCGCCACAGCATCCACGAATCAGGGGCGGATGCGAGAACGAGATTACTCCACAAGTTCCACCAACACAGCGAGCCAGGGCCCATTCATTTCCCGATTCGAGTCTATCTGTGTTGATCAAACGTGCTGTGTTGTTTCTCTCAGCCACCTGCTCATCGTCATTCACGCGTGTTGCTTTACGGAGGAAGCCTGCAAAAGTTTTGCCAAGACAAACCCACCCATCCCTTTTTTCTTGCAGAAAGATCATTAAGCACTTACGAAGGGCAGTGTCACATACCTCATCGACTCGGTAAATTGGCCCTGAATCCTTCCCCCACTTATTGCCCCCAGACTTTTTTATTGCCAATGATTTAGGAAGCCTACGCCTCATATAGTTTAGCCTTGGTCCATAAAATCAGGGCCAATTTACCGAGCCGATACAGTAATCCCGGCATACTTAGGCCTCAGTTACACTATGTACGCATGGAGTGATCATTCCACTTTTGCCGTACTCCGTATCCGTAGCCGTCAATGCGATAGACAGCGTTATAAGAAGAAGCCCTGCAGCGTACTCAGTCCACTAACTGTCGGTGCCATGTCCCGAATACCCTTGAATCCTTTGCGCATGTAGTAGATGATTGCTCGCAGCATGCTGATGAACAATGTTTCATCAGGTTCTCAACAGGGCCCAAGGGCCGTAGCATCCTCATCGTGGGCGAAGACTTTTGCAGGCTTCTACCGTAGACTTTGCGTTGATCAAAACGAACGGCTATCAAATCTCGTTATCGCATCATCTTCCTATTGGTTGGCGTCTTAGCCCAAGAGAGTCAGCAATTCTCGTTGTCGCATCACGTCTCTATTGGTCATCTTGTTGGGAAGGATGAAGCAGAGCAAGATACTTAAAGGTTGCCGTATCACTCTCTCATCAAATCTTCATTTCGACCAAGCATTTCACAACGCCCATTCTACCAAACCAGCACCGAAACAGTACGATGTCAGATGAACGATACAAGTATGACCCATCACTTGCAGCTGCGGTCATTTTTATCGTATGCTTCGGTCTTTCGGGAATCTATCACGTTTTTCAAGTCGTTCGACTAAAGTCATGGTATTTTATTCCATTCATAATTGGTTGTCTTGGTAAGTCGTCGGCGTTCCGGTCTTGAGATATTCTGAGGAAGAGCGTGCTTTATATCAAACTGTGACTGACATATATGCAGTTGAGGTAATAGGATACGTCGGACGAGCACTCAATGCATCCGAGAAGTCGGGCCAGTGGACGCAAGGCCCTTACATCATCCAGGCTCTCCTGTTACTGCTTGGTCCACCATTCTATGCAGCATCGATTTACATGGTTCTGGGGCGGCTGATTCGACTTTTGGATGCTGAGAAATATTCTATGGTTAAGCTTAAATGGTTAACCAAATTTTTCCTGCTGGGAGATATCGCCTCGATTCTGGGTCAGGGAGCTGGTAAGTTGTGGATACAGGCGATTTGGTGATATAGAGTATGACAATGGGTCCCTGCTAATACTGTACAAAGGCGGAGGCATGCTTGCCAGTGCTGATTCGAAAAAGAGCCGAGACTTGGGCCAAACTATCATCATCGTAGGTCTTGCGATCCAGATCATCTTCTTCACGTTCTTCGTGATTATCGCCATTACCTTCGACAAGCGGATCCGCCGCGAACCCACCAAAGCCAGCTTGGCTATAACATCACCATGGAAAAAACTTCTCCAAGTCTTATATGGATCCAGCGCCCTCATTCTAGTCCGATCGGTCTTTCGAGTGGTGGAGTATGTCCTGGGTAAAGATGGTGAGCTCATGGCGAAGGAGGTTTATATTTATATATTCGATGCGACTATGATGCTTTTGGTAGCGATTTCCTTTAATATTTTCCACCCTTCGGCCATCATCAACAAGAAAAACAAGCGAAACTCCGGGATCCCGAGTTCCGATGTCGAACTCAATGCTGTGGCATACACAGGATAAGACTTGAATGTTCAAGTCCAGTGCATGCCTCTTAGCTCGCCGCTTTTGTATGGTTATCAACTGCCGTTTGCCTTACGAGGCCTTAGCTTCAGGGTTAACGAAAACGGGCCCGGCATTAACAACCCTTCATTTAAGGCGGTTTTCTAGCTCAAGCAAGATTGCTGGCACTTGTGCTAGATCAAAGGATGCTGGGTTGTGAGTAGATGGTTACTTACTTTATTTTGGACAGTCAGATTATTAGACCTTCAATTATAATTTATCTCGCTGTGTAACTTAAAATTTCTTGAATGTGCAGACTCTTCCCTCACACCACCTTTTTTAAAGGATTTTAAAGGCTTCCTTTTAACACTAGTATAATACAGACATCTCTCGCCCTATCGATCTGTCTGAGCTGATTAGAGAAGAGCTTCCAAAAAACGTATTGCAAAAATATGTGAGAAAATAGCCCAAGCAGAGCTCACGTACAAAATGAGGAACAAATGATGAGTTTTCGGAGGGTTCAGAAACTTTGGACTTTGGAAAAACACCTAGATTATGCTGAAGAACAAGGTCCATAAATGTGCAACGCAATTCCTTTGCTGATGCAAGTTGTAACAATTAGCTGCGCGAATCTACTGCAAAGTTCACGTTAGAATGACTACCGCAACCAATTTTCGTTTAACATCCCTTGTTCGAGATGATGCTGTACCGTAGTTTACCTTAATGATCATATATTCATCCAAGCTTAATGAACAAGCTATCTGTAGTAATATTGGCCTGGGTCATTGAGTAATGCTCTCTTGCATTTGCAGTTTCTTTCGAGAAGCCTTCAACCTGACTGGCGGGTCTAGTTCTCAAGTTTGACGACTTGTATGAGATTTGTCTCATGCCATGGGAGCAATCTCCCTCTCAATTGAAGCTTGGTTCGCTATAGCAAGCGGCGTGTACTCGGAGAGCAAGTCTGACCGAACCAGGCTGTGTTCGTACTGGGCATAGTCTGAGAGCTTATATTCTCATTCGGTAATGTTGAAGTCAACGGTCTCACTGGTGGGTTTGTCTACAACTTCAGACTGACCTTGCCCGCCGTCTCGCAAGTTGCTGAGCCTTGTTCTTTGGAATGAACAAAACCACGGACCCTCCAGAGTCACTTACGAAATCGCTTTCAAACGCTGAAAGGTAGCAACAGTGGTGGTCAAACTTCGGTCACGATGACTCGCGACGAGGGGTGGTTGGTAGTGTCAGACGGAGATATGGACCACAATAATGCTACCGGCAAGAGGAGTGACCATCCCCTTTTGCCGTAGCGGCATGCGACAGTTATGAGCCTGGGAGGCTTTATCGCCTGTAACTTCCACTGAAATAGCTGTCGCATCCATATTCAACAGAACCTGTTCAACCAGATCATTCCTCTTGCCGGTAGCGTTATTGTGGTCCACATATCTCCGTCTAACAGGTAGCCAGTGTTGGTCTCAGGTCTCAAAACCTCATCGCATCATCCGGTGGCTTGTTAGCGTGTTGCTATCGGCAGGCAACACGACTCGCAAACTCGCATTTCGGGCGCAGCGTACTTTGCCGTCATATCCCAGATCGCTATGAGTGGTGGGCATTTTAACTTATTCGTTAATAAGGGCTTGATCCTTGTGATATTGAGCGAGCGGGCGAACCTTTCTATGCCCTTTCACCCTTTTGGATTCAATATCGATGTCGGTATTACGTTTTCAGCTGAGCCCAACTTGAGAGCGTATCATGGAATCCTCAAATGGACCCGTATGAAATCTCTGCTTGACTCGGGCTCTATGGGCCACCCTTACAAGGAGCCGGGTCTCAAAGACTTAATTTCACCCCAGTGTGAGCAAACGAATGTCAAAAATGCCGCCCTGCTCCATGGAGACGGTATGAAAACTCCCCAGCATTAGCGACAAATGCTAGGGAGTCGATCGATGGTGCAGCGAATAATGGATTCAAGGATTACTGTACTGCTGAATCCAGCATCCTTGGACAATCTCCCAGCTGTTGATCCTGTCCAATTCAACTCGACTCAACTCACGTGGGCAAGGAGGGTGAAAACAAGCTTCCACTCATGGAAGCAGCTGGAGACAGTAACCAGATGACTAAAGCGGGGAATCAAACGTAGAGTTTCAAGGGCATACGCACATCTGGATGTATCATCCTTGCCAAAGAAAGAAGGTATACAAGGGAGAGTTAGAAGTATTATCCAGGTCTGGTATGCATCCCAGTTGCCATGGCAAGGCTAAGGAGGCTATATTGAGGTTACATGTTTGCAATACTCCGTGAAGATTTAGTCCAGTTAGCTCATTAAAGCTAGCCAGAAGGAATATTGACCTTATGTAACTCCTGTCCTTGTAAGACTCTACCTAGTAGAAATACCACGGAGAGAGAAAAGATTTCGCCTACCCGCATATCTTACACCCATCGGCTAAAAACATGTCTAGTCCTGCACTTTGATAATCACCTTGCCGACGTGCGAACCCGAGTACAGATACTCAAAGGCGGCCTTCGAATCCTGGAACGGGAACACTCGATCGATGAGCGGGGCGAGGGAGATCTTCTTATCGGCCAGGAACTGGTTCAGCCGCACGTAGTCCACCTTGGAACCCACGGCAATGCCCCTACGTTATTGTCGGTCAGTTGGTTGTGTCTTAGATACGATTCTATACATTGGGGCCTGATTCGTGACTGACTGTATCTTGGCACTTTTCCCCATTAAGCCCATGATGGCATTCGGCTCCCAGGTGCCCGATTGGCCGGCCAAGAAGCCGACAAGTGACACGGTGCCGCCTCTGTGGCGCAAGAAGCTGATGTCTGTAGGAATGGATGCTGGGCCGGTATTGTTGACGACGACGTCGACGCCTTCACCCTTTGTCAGGCGCTGAATCTCCGCTGCCTGGTCGGGCGTCTTCTTGTAGTTGATGCCGCGGACTTGGGGGCCAAGCTTCTTGATTGTTTCGAGCTTTTCGTCAGACGAGGAAGTGATGATTGGTTGGATGCCTGCCGCGATGCAAATCAGGAGAGCGAACATACTAACGCCTCCCGTGCCTGTGCATTCTGTCAGTGCATGAACTGAACTAGCGACCCAGCAGCGGAGTGAGGAATCGAACCTTGGAGGAGGGCACTGGTCGGCCTGCATACGGAAGTCGGGGAGTTTAGAGAAGTCCACGCGGTGACTCCGGCGCAAGTGATGGTGGCTGCCTGTTGGTTGGCACAGCAGTATCAGCACGACTGGGTAAACGCAACGGTACTGAGGCTTGTCTGGGCTCCGCAACTAACCTCTTCCCACGACAGATGCTTGGGAAGCTGGACCAGAAACTTGTCTTCAAATACGGCATATTCGCGAAGCACGCCCGGGGCCTCCCCGCCGAGGGCGCGTGATGGTGTATTTTCATCGCCAGTGAAGTTGCTGAGGTCGAAGATAGGTGAAACATGATCTCCAATGGCGAACTCCTTCACAGCTGACCCGGCGGCGACAACCTCGGCGGCGCAGTCTGAGCACGAGATGCCTCCTTTCTCGACCTCGACAGGATAGAGCCCGTGCACCATGGCAACATCGCGGAAGTTGAGCGAGACGGCATGAATCTTGATGAGGACTTCGTTGGGAGCCAACTCTCCTGGCAACTTCTCTGACGAACGCTCAATACTCCCCGAAATTTCGCCCGTAGTACGCCTGAAGGCCGAATATATCTCGGGAGTGGTCATTTTTTGCTGTGAAGGTGTTCTTAAGAGGAAAAGGATGCGTTGGTAATAAAAGCCGGACATAGAGCAGGGTATTTATTTGCGCTAGGGTTAACTTAACACTGTAGGCTGTTATCCGCATTAGGGCGGAGTTTGACAAATTAATGCCGTGTTTATTAATCAGCCAAGATTTTTTTGGACAGCAAATTTACGAAGAAGGCTCGACTCCCCGACAAAAACACACCCGTCCCGATCCCCTACTGTATTTCCCGTCCCAAATTGAGGCAACAGCCAGTAATCGGGGGTTAGCATGCATAAAGTCGTCAATTGTAGACTCCATTGAGTATTCAATGGTGCCTACAGTTACTACCTAGAGGATGCTCGTAATTTCAGATAATGATCCAACACATTTGTCTCTACAAATTCGGTCTTGGCCTCAATTCCTACTCCCGTAGTAGATTTATATAGTCATCAACCTGCGGGCGTCTGGATTCCTCACTCTCTGCATCGGCACACTCCCCTGGGCCAGGCCTGCAGCCGCAAGAGCGTGGGTCCAACTACCCGCCTCAACCAGCAACCACTCAGCAGCAGCGAGCGATCGTGGGAAAATCCAGCCAGGCCTCGGACTAGAAAAGAAACACCACAAAGGCTCTGCTCGACTATGTGTCCAAGGACTACATCCAGCACAAGCCCAACACACTCTTTGACAAGCAGAACACAACCAACATCTTCGAGCCCGTTCTCTATTCAGATACTATTGAACTCGCCCTCCTGCACCGGGTCTTTGATTATAAGTTCCTTTTATTCACTAATGCATGGATCTTGAGGAGGACTATCTGTTGAGTTTTGAGTGTGCCTCCAGATATCGGCAGAAGTGGTAGTCAAACCCACTTGTGCCAGCGAACAATCAGTCGTCGTGCCATGTCTTGAACCTTTCTGAATGAACTTAGCACGCGCTCTAATCCGGATTGTCAAGAAAGAGTATCTTGCACTTGAACTATCCACTACCCTGGATTCAACTTGCTACTTCAACCTTCTCCAGATAATAGCACAGTAAACGTAATTCGCATGCATGTACACTCCCCGAGATTTATGATTCTTTTCTCGTTGTATACTATACAATGCAGTTCATCAAGTTATTGCAAAATGTAACCGATTGGACTAGAAACCTTAGTCTGTCTGGGTAAACTGTTGGCATTTGAATGGACTGGGTATATGATCTGTATTGTTGATCCTATTGTTGGTATCTTTTTAACTGTTGAGCTTCTCGTCCTCCCTCTAGATATGTGTGCACTAGGGCACCCTAACCTCTTGGTATACTATTCACTAGTAATTTTATCAACACATCAATGAGGTGCGTAGAGATGTCTCTTGAATACAATCTGTCTCTTGGACCGGACTCCCTACCTGCCCGCCGTAGTTGAGGAGACATCGGACCAACAATCCAGCCGAGACCCTTGACATGAAGGACAGCTTGGTCATATCGGCTGGACCCCGATTCGACGCTAGACTTGGTCTTCGTTAGCTACCTGCAGTTTGACGATTTCCGAGACTGCGCTAGAGTAGTCTCGACAAATAATGGCAATGTGATTGTGTAATACAGTCGGACGGATTACTTTATTATACTGCGTAGTAACGCCGGAGCTAGCCGCGCAGCCTGTAGATCTCGTTTCATTGGAAGGCTGGTCGAATACCATTCTAGCAAATTGCCGGGGAAACTCAATTCGAGATTCGACGTCACTAGGATTAGGACTAAACTTTGTCACAAGTATCGGGATATCGGATTTCTGCAGTATGACACCACTGAAGCTCTTCTTCCTTCATCATACATAGGCGTCCATCTCCACCCTCTACATCAGCTGTTTTATCCTAGGCCCGGCTTTTCATTTGATCAAGTCAATTGCTAACTGAAGCCAAAGACCCCGAAGCATCCTGATCGTCTTGGACGGCCGATCTCATCTTCATTTATAAGACTGACTCAAATACCCTCTATTAGGTAGAAAGGTTAGCAAGAGCTTCTCACACATGTAATCATTTCCATCTGCAAGATGCAACAAAGTTCCTGATTAACAACATATAACTGGGAAGGACTTTGCTGCAAATAGCGACGATGAACTATCATGACTTGAAGTAACCAATAAAGAAGCCTTAATCTAACATTGTCAACCAGGACCTGAAGGGATTACATGAGCCGCATTTCGGTGAACGAAGGTGCTTAGTATTCATTCTCCCGGACTCGGGTGATTATCGAATCCTTAGTCATTTGGAGTTCCTTTAGCTAGCACGTAATCAGATGATACCTTAACCCGATCTGGCAAATAGTGTCATCCCAGCCTAGGCATTCATGTCGTGTAAGCTTAGCAAGCTGTTAGATAGCGTACGGCACATTCGATCCAGGGATGAATGCTCAATGGGGTGTGGGTCCTGAATTTGTTGTATTATCTTGATCTACGATGCTCATGGCCCCCTCTTTTCTCGAGAGGGCTTTTATGTCATGTCACACCCCCTCTGACAAAGGTCAGGATCTCAATCTATCAGAGGTTTCTACAAAGTCACAATCCAACATAAGCCTAACTCAATAGAAGGCACCAACATGAGGCGCATAACGGGTGACATGCAAAACCGTGACCGGAGTTTGGCACAAAGTCCGCCTGTTTCTGCGTATAATAATTTCCGCCCGAGGATACAGCATCCCTCCTCTACTTGTACCTGTGCCACGGCTCTCGGATGAGCTTTCAACCGTCGGGCTGATTATTAATTGTTTCAACAGTATAGTGGGGAATCCAGGGGCGGCGTAACATTAAGAACTAGTCGACGGGGTCTTTTCTCAAGGCTCTTTACAAATCACATGCCCCCTCTGAAGTCCAGTGCCCCGCTTTTAGATTTACGAGGTGTGGCCACCTCCCACCTTTTTGTCTCCGATGTGACAGAACACAGCCCGGCTTGCTCTTTACTCTCATTCTGAAAGCGTTCCATTATTACGAAAGCCTCTTGTTCTCCCATCGCACAAAAGAAAACGGCCAAGACCTGTTATGTTCTCTTATATAGGATTCGTTCCGTTACCAGCAATTTATAATGGTATCCGTACCTCTCCCTCTCGTTTATTTTCTATTTATTCAGTTGGTAGCATCCCTAGAACCATTAGATTCTTCAAGGCTTGGGAGGTATTATGTCAATACAGGGGCTGGGTTACTAACAATATTATTATTTAGAGCCGTGGTCGAGAAGGACAGATGTGGTAGGAGTGATGCAAGAATGGTGGATAACGGTATTATACACATTGTGTCCGGCGTGATAATTACGACAAGATATTACAGACGAACTAATCTAACCTTTCTCAGCTTACGATGACGATGACTAAATGAGATAGGTAGTACATGAGGGGAAAAAAGCCTAACAGCCCACCCAAAGGTTGACGAGAGCGATGGCCGCGGTATCTTTGATAGCTGGAAAAGCTAAGATTGAAGATAACGAAAAGAAATAAAAGAGACATGAGAAAAGTAATACCGCTATAGGCATCATCTGATAACGATGATTCACAGGAGTGGGGTGTATTCATGGGCCGAAAATACTATCAATTGGACATTCTGTAGATAATAGCTGATGATAAACGCGGATGGATCAATCTACTACCTCGAAAACCTTCCTAGAAGAGTACAATTCTGACTAATTGGGTTGAGCCAATAGCCCTAAACAAAGCTGCATTTCCTGTTGAAGGTAATCTGCCGTGGCCTCCTTCCCGAAAAGGCAAAAACTTCAATATCCCCCTATTTTCTCCAAAAGACCTTAATCCCGGATTCAGTAGCCAAGTTGTAATTGATAGCTGGGGAGCTGGTGTCGCAGCGATGGCTAGTTCCTCGGGTTAGTATGCCATATCTTAAATGGGGATCCCTCGATCATGGTGGCGATCCAGGTGATCCGGATCGTGGGATCGTGGCAGTGATCCGAGTGGTTTATCGCTGATGGAAGTGAATTGGTGGGCCTGTGGGTGACACTCTGCGCCGGGGTTCGACACATCCTCTGGCGATTATATCCCATAAGCCTTCGCTGTGTCTCCGTAGCTCTCATGTAAGAATTTGGTGTTGTTCAAATACCATGTTAGCCCTTCCAGATCTCGACTTCGTTCAGCAACTGTCCGCCCATCTCCGAACCGCCCGAACCTATTCGCGTCTCGATACTGAACTTCGAAATCCTCCCACCTCACTTTCTTTAATGCTTTAATAGCGTGTAGACTGCTTCCAGGCCATAAGACTGTCACTCTTGCCTGCCCCTTATTTTCCAGGCTTGCGCCCTGTGGCACTGACTTGTATACCAGCTTGAACACTCATCACTAAAAACTGTGCGCTTGAAATAAGCATCACAATATTCGGTAAAGTTCTTGACTTCGTTCTGTTTCGGTTCCAGGGAGCGGATATGGCCAGCCGACAGTCTTTCTAAGATCTGACCAATGTAGAGGTGGATAGCTTCGATGACGACGAGAAGGTTGCCGTTACCTAGGCCAGAGTTTGGGCCTAGTGACTGAAAGAAATTCGGAAAATTGTCCACACAAAGGCCAAGATATGACTCTGGACGACCGCGATAGCGCTGCTGGAGGTCTACTCCGTTGCGACCGATGATGGGGAAGCGTCCCTGGTATGACACGTCGAACCCTGTGGCACAGACTATTACGTCCACGGCACGGTGTTTGCCATCGATGGTTGTAATTCCGGTTTCATCGATGTGAGAGATCTTCGCAGGGATCACATTGACGTTGTCAGCTGTCAAAGCCTCGAGATAGCCGGGGCCCGGTGTCAAACGCTTGCATAGTGGCGGAAAGTCTGGCACCAAATGTTGCATGATCTCGGGCCTTTTCTGTAGTCATTCCCTCATTGTTTGATCAAAGATGGCTTTGGCCATCTCGTGTTCCTTGGAGCCATAATGTGTCACCGCATAAGTCCCTTGCATTTCAACCTCAAGTTCCTTTCGGTACTTCACGTATGACTCGCGATCTTCGTTCCATTCGTGTTTCTCCTCATCACTGTAAGAGAAATTGCCGTCACGGCCGGCATTCCGCTGTTGTACAACATTGGCACCAAATGTGGTAGCAATCCAGGTGCGGCCACGGACGTAGTGATCCATCGACCGTACCGTGGGCTGCTGGGCCGGGACTATCTGGATACCGGAGCTGCCACCGCCAATAACCGCGACCGTTTTGTCCTGGACTCAGCGTGAATACTAGGGGCAGTCGTACTATTTCTCGAATAAACATACCTTAATGTCATAATCTGTATCCCATTCTGCGCTGTGCATGAGCTTGCCTTGGAAATTCTTTAAACCCTTGATGTCAGGCCAACGCCAATTATTCAAAGCGCCAACACCAGTCATGAAGACGTCCGCGGTGTCCTCAGACACTGTGCCATCGTGCAGTCGTTGGATCTTCACATGCCACTTGCAAGCCGGCTCGGACCAAGTCGCCCCAATACACTTGTGTCCGAAACGCATGAAACGTTTGACCTCATACTTCTCGGCAACACGTTGCCAGTACTTCAAGATCTCTGGAGCTCCTGCGTAAAAATGGCTCCATGTTGTTGAAGACTCAAAGCTTAGTTGATAAGAATGGGCCGGGACATCTGGAAAGAGATTAAAAAGTGCCGAGCAAGCATCCTTAGAAAGACGTTACCACAGGCGCAGCCGGGATACCGGTTTTCAAGCCAGGTGCCTCCGACATCCGCATTCTTTTCGTAGATCACGAGGTCAAGCTGAGGGACAAACTTTGGAAATTGGATGGCCGCATCGATACCAGAAACACCTGCACCAATATAGATGACTTTTAGCGGCCTGGATTCGTCGATCGAGCGCTCAGAAATCAGTGGATGGAGGAAATTCTCCGATGCTAGGCCAGAAACCCCCATACTCGAGACGTTTTGAGTAAATGGAAATAGAAGTCGGAAAGTACAGTCCGGGTCTAGGAGGTAGAGAGTACTGGGCAGTGGCACTTCAATTACAAACTGTAAAGGGCTATATATAGGAAAAGAACTACTGTTCTGTGACATGTTGGATCCCGAGCAGAGCAATCACCAGCCAAGGGCTGTTAGTAATTGAGACGAGAGAGAGAGAGAGAGACTGAAAATGCCGAGATCGGCAAAGCTCTCCACATTGCTCGGGCTTCGGCGAATCCATTTTCTTTCAGCCCATCATCTCCGGCGTATCCTCAATTTTCGACGCACCGGTTACCAGGATTTCAAACGTTAGTCCGGGACCTGATTTCGCTACCTTGCCACGGCCAGTGGCTCTTACTGTTATTTTATTGAGTTACTTAAAAATAATCAACTTGTTGATATTATTAGAATAGCATCTTCTGAAGCTATGTTCCTAACTACGCTTTATTTTCATTAATATCCTTAACAACCTCGGGCCTTGATTCTTGGGCGGGTAGACCTGTTTCCGGTGGATAACTGGTTGTTTCAGTAAGCCAGCTGCTAATAATACTTTGGTTTGTATCAAATTATCTCTACTTGGCACAAATTGTAGATTTTGTACCTGAACTAGCATTTGCTATCCCGGTAACTTGTATGATAATATATTGAGTTAGGCTTCGGAGGATCCTTTTTTCTAGTCTACCATTTCCGGCGTATCCTCAACTTTCGCCGTACGCTATTGCATTAGCTGGGCTTCCGCATAAGGTTATGCCTCGGCAGATCATTAAATTAGTTCTCAAGGTCTACTTTCTGTGTTGGCAGTCTCCCGAGCCGATTAAATACAGAGCCGACCCGAAGAATAAGAGCCGATTGGATCGGATTCGCCGCTGGGACCAGCTGCTCCATCCACAGCTTCCCCACACCCCCAAAATAAACCCGGTTGACTTTTCCAAATCTGAACAAATCTCGTCACACTTGATCCGGACCTGTCCAGCTAATATCCGAAGAATAACAGCTGATTGGATTGGAGGCGGAGTTGATATGTAAAACACTGTCCATCCCAATTCTCATGTTTCCGATGGCTGGTTAGGCATCTATGCACTCTGGAGTTTTTGGGTAGCTAAGAATATATATGAGTGTTTCGTTGGAAAACGTTGGTTTTCTAGAGATAAAGTGTTTTTTAAGGTCATTTTCACACCCCACTTCCCCGGGCGTAGATGACACATCTTGTAACATTTATTCAAATTTGCCTATCAAACTCCAACCTTTAGTCACACAGAATCAGCCCTTACTCTAGTCAGCCACATTTAGGAAACGTCAGACAGAAAATGGGTTGGCAGATACAGTTTTATGACGATGGAAGAGCTTGATTTTCTCTATCTATTGAAGGGCTAGTGATCGGTCTTATAGACGATGATGAGGTCGGCCTCCAGGCCCGAGGTCCGGAGGTCTGGGACCGGATCCAGACCGGATTCCTAGCAGCCGATCTGGAAGCCGTTTTAGATATCGTATTATGATCCCAAAATACAACAGACCAGACTCAAAGGCAGCTATAGCACTGATCCGAGCCTATCCAGCCGTCTGAAAGGAAAGATATTTATATACAAGACGCCCCAGTATGCAACCATTGCAAATGAGAGAGAGCCACATCTCAATAAACAGGATCGTCGAATGTTCGCACGGCACCGAATTGAATATATTTGCCGCAAGGTAAATAGTTGACTGTTTATAATGCAAAGCCAAAAGACACCCTAAGAGTTTCCAGTTCCCAAGCCCATATGTTGCTACAATCATCTCTCGAAGCACCCAGGCCGGGCGTCTTAATTTGCAAGAAATTTAGCTTTGTGTGTGACGATACCAATCCTATACGACAGCAATGTGAAGATGAGCACCAATGGGTTCAATACTCGAGGTACTGGCATTTCACATCCTAATGCCGAAATTGCGGTATCGAAATGGCAAATGGTGGTAAGAGTGTCCCTGAAAAGAGTTGGATAGTCTGTTATTGGACTACCTCTACGATAAAGCAGTGAGATAGCAATCGTGCAAGTACAGCTGCAACCCTGACCTTAATGATCTGTCAAAATCACTACCACATCTGCCCTTAAATCTGACTCTTGGCCTGCAAGCGACGGTACCGAGGAATAGCTCCAGACTTCGCATCTCGCTTGACTGCGTTCTTGTTCGCCCAGTAGTCTTTTAGAGCATCATCCACTGCATCAACATCTCCATAAGGATTCGCCCGCGCCATGCTCTCCACCCTCTCTGCAATGGCATCATCAGAGAAAGGTCCCGTCCTGTCATTAAGATCCGTGCGACCAAAGGGCTTTGCCCTCCATTTCTTTTCCATGGGGTCTAAGAACTGCGGATCATTGTACCCAAAGTCTTCCAGCGAAGTAACGTTGAAGGCGGCCATCATGTCACTATCTTCATGGATCAGATTGTGGCAGTGGAACATGTAGACGCCGTCAAACGGAGCATAGATGGCAGCAACGCGGACAGTTTCCCCCTTGCCAAGCCATACCACATCCTTGAGGCCGGCGCTCTCATACGGCATGGTTCCTCGTCGACCGTCACGTTCAAGAACAAGGAAGTCGACGAGATGAACGTGAATGGGGTGAGTCCAGCCGCCAGAACTGTTCTCGAGCTCCCAGATCTCGACAGTTCCACGGGGAACTTTGGCGAGGACGCGATTGGCCGCATCGGCAAACCCAACGCCATTGATTCGCCACTCGCCATTGGTCCGATGGAAGCGGAAATGATGATTGACACTGATTGTGTCCGGTTTGGAGAAGGGGATATCTCGAAGTTTCGAAGGCACAGTTGAGTCGTCGTTAACCGCGTCGGAGCTTACCACCAAACGCATAACCTTGTCAGTGTTCTCATAGTCGTCATCAGTGCCGATACCTCCGACCTTTTCGAGGTTTCGAAGCTCGAGTGTTTGGCCTTTGTACTGAGAGAAATCGAAGACAATCTCATAACGCTCGGCCATTGAGACGTACTGAATGCGAAGTCAGTTAGTGCCAATTTCCACTGACATTGATCTCTCAATGAAAAGGGTCAACTCACGATATCTGAAACCTGAACTGGTTCGCTCAAAAGTCCACCATCCGACGCAACAACTTGGAAAGGGAGCCGGGCATTAAGAGCATTCTGCTTGACGAAGTACAAGGCAAATGATCGCGAAATGGCAGCATTCAGGAATCGGAACCGATATTTGCGTGGCTCAACGTTTAGGAATGGCCACGGCTGACCGTTCACTTCAATAACGTCTCCCCAAAGGCTGTCCTTCTCCCCAGCAGTAGAGAACAGCGAACCGTCTTGATTATATTGCTTCGAGCTCAGAATGAGGGGGATATCGTAAATACCATACCCTGAGGGGAGCCCCAGCGCGTCTTCGGCAGAATCCGTCAGGATGTAGGCGCCAGCTTGGCCCATATAAGCGTTCTCGGCAGTCTGTAGTCGGCTGTAAGTTTGTGTCGCTTCCGGTACAATATATTCAATGACATTTACTCACCAGATGCATGGCGTGGTCATGATACCATTGAAGTCGAGCAGACTGTGCATTAGGATAGTAGTAGTCCTTGTACTCTCCTGGCTGTGTGATGTCCTCGGCCCATCCGTCGAAAGCGGATCGAGAATAGGAGCCGTGCAGGTGAACGGAGTTTTCATGAGCGGCATTGTTGATGAATCGGACGATGGACTCAGTCCCCCTCGGGATCATGATGGTAGGCCCGGGGGAAATACCATCATAACCTGTGAGAGTGGCTGGTCGAAGATTCGGGTACACAGATTTTGTAAAGGATTTGATTTCCATCTCGTAGTACCAGATGTCTTTACCAGTCACGGGGTTCTTGAAGATCCTAAGAATTTGTGAGCCGATGCCAATATGATACGGGACCGGTCTTACTTCATGGGTTTCTTAACAGGAGGAATTGGTAGAGCGTTCCGATAGATGAGAGAGTACTCTGGACTTTCGTCGCTCTTCATGAGCCTGACGATGTCGTTGTGATCATCTTCAACGACCGTACTCAGAGCTGCCTCTTCTTCTGGTGGAAGATCATAGGTCCATTTCTGGGCCGTAGACAATACATTCAGGCTATTCAAGGCCAAAGCCGTGAGGAGGAAGCGAGTCAGCTCCATGATCCAAATTACTTTACACTAGGCCAACGTGTTCAGTACCAAGAACAGCAGCCAAGAGGGTGAAAGTAGGAAAATTGGGACGCAAAGGACAATGGACAGTACCTGTTGAAGATCAACGACTGGTGATGTCCGATGGGTTGGAGAAACTCCTATCAAACGAGGGATTCCGTTTTTTATAGGTAACCACCAGATGCGGACTCTGATATGAGTCGAGTCCCACGGAGTCCCACGGATCGTTCCCCCTTTCCTCCGTTATCAGACATGGACGTTGAGAAAATTTCCGGTTCAGGGCGACATCTGGAAGACCCTGCCAGGTTGTCCGGAGGAGGCTGCTTACAATTCATTACTCGCAATATGCAAGGTGCTTCCTAACGCTGCCTTCGGGGCATGCGGACAAGTCGGGTATAGGGGCATGCAAACTAGCAATGCAACTCCCAGGCGTCATCCGGGTTGGTTTCTCTGAACTGGTGGAGAGGTGCACGCGGTTAACAGCATGATGCCACCAGATGGCGCCGACAGAAGTGGAGAGTGAATCATAGAAAGCGGAACGCCTATAGAGACTGCAACTATACCGAGCGTGACGAGATATCTTCCGATTCGGGACAGCCGCTCGCGCTATGGACAATGGACAACAGACCAATTGGGACTTCAAGATTTCTGTAAGTTAAAGGGGAGAGAACAAACAAGGATGGTAATGAGGTTCACAGAGACAGAGTCAAGCCATTACTACGCTGCAGGCGGCAACGACCATGGGTTATCTCCCCGTGATGCACGTGCGCCGAAGCCATTGGTTATGTTCAAGGTAGACGGCACATGATAACGCGAGTCATAAGGAGCTAGGACATATAGGGCTAGGACAAAGAGCGGCAGAGGGCAGAGGGTAGAGTCCTTGCCTGTGGGTGACGAGTCGTATTCCCGCGAGGACATGGTAACAAGCGTGAACCCGAAGCCGACAGAGATACAAATGCGTGACTCGTTAGTTTATTTAGCTTGGAGACAGGAGTCAAATATTTTTTTTCATATGCAGTAAATGTTTCCATTCAATAAACCCGAAATCAGCCTCATCCTCAGCTCTCTCTCTGCTCTTAGACATTATTTGCTCCCTTCCCACCGAAAGTTGTCTCCCGAAACGCCAATCTCATCCCCCTTTCCCTTGCCTTATTGGCTTGATTGCAAAGTTACACAGTTAAGATACCGGTGCTTCCATCAAACTGAGAATAGTCAGAGCACGAGTAAGCCGACGTCGTACGCGAGCGGGGGCTTGAGGGCAGGGGTCAAATGCCGGAAACACCGCCGGTTGAGCGGATATCTTCCCGCTGCAGCCAAACGTCCTAGACTCGGGGCAAGCTTCCCAATTTGCGTGTAGAGCCGCTCGGCTTCAAACATGGCTGCAGCATCTCTCGGTTAGCCATCCCGCCAAGAAGTTCCAGAATGACTAGGGTTCCCTTGCAACCCGGGGCTGAAGACAGGCAATAGGCTTTCCCCGGAACAATAAATAGAACCTGGGGTCACAGCGGATCTCAACGGACAGCTGAACGGGCCCTTGTCAAGAAAAAGCCCCGCATGGAAACAAGTCCGTGTCTATCCCTGCACCGCAACCGCACAGGATAGGCCCGCGCCCCTGCTGTAACTCCTGTAGTCAATCGTTGCCGGCCCATGTGGTTCGGGAGAGTAACATTCACAATGCCGACCGCCTGCAAGGACATGGCCGGCAGAGTTTGAGGGAGACAACCCCCTAGTTTGGAGAAAACAACGGCAACATCTTACATGGGTAGGGTGATGGAGCCGCCATCGTTGCATTTCAACTTAACGCTAAAATCAAGCTTCTTCGAACTTGCAGTATCAACATTTGCATTATTTTGTGGAGCCGGAGAGAATCAGGATCAGGGGAGATGGTGACATAATCTCTCCTAGGAATGGAGATTGGTCTCCTTTGTGGCCAGCTCCGCTACGGATCTCACCCGGCACATCCTGGTGCGCTATATCACTGCGGGACGACTCGCATCAATTCCGTTGCCTTGGTTGACTGAGGCTGATATGATCTGTCAATCTAACTCCGAGACTACATCTGTTTGATTCATTCAACAATGCTACCTGACCGATGTACCTAAGCCCGCTCCATGTGGAGACGGGACGCATTATTATGACAGAGAACCAAGAATTGCTTCAGGTCTGCTTAAATCTTAATCCCTCATCACATGAGTCTAGCCCTTAACGTAGCTGAAATCCACTGCCCGAGAAGCCAGGGTCTTAAATGGGTCATCAATGGCTGGGGGCGACCGAAATCAATGCACGGCAGTTGATGTCAAAGGCCACACCCTGGTACTGTTCATGGTAACCGAGTGCTTTATTCCTCCTTCTATTTTCTCAAAAAAGCTTGATACAACTGAAGGACCATCTATCAGGAATGCCGAACGGCCGATGTTTACGCCTCTAGGACCTAACCGTGTCATTGCCTACCATGGGACGACGCCTTGGTGTCCCTACTGCATTTAAGTTAGAAGTTTTGGTCAAAAGCAATGTCCTCGCCTTCAGTCCGAGCGGCATCCGCGCCTAAAATTAATAGTCTACCCCATTGAAAACCTGTCACTTCGCCTCCACGTTCCGACAGACCGTCAATGTTGCAGCCGGCCTTCAGCCCGGCATGCAGGCAGGGGTCAATCGCTGAGCTAGTATACGCTAAACCAAGATCTAGGCTAGAGCTCTCTTGCCGCCATTCCATTCAATCACCATGTGGCTCTTGCACCGTTCACCTGCTCAGTAGCTGACCCCTCCAGGTTCAGGGATACTGTAAGTATGACAGGATGCGAACGCGTCTCTGATAAGAGCCATTAGTCAGGGTCACCAAAGATACGCATGCCTCCGCGTAGTGGTATCGAGAGAGTGACAATCGAGGGATAATGGCCGTTCCTAGCCCACAATTAAGCAACTGGTGATCCTTTTGCTGAACTGCGCTGTAACCCTGAGACTCAATGAGGCAGGTGAGAACACTTTTGTTTATTCATCGATTTGAGGAATTTTCAGTTCTGTCAGATTTACTACCGTGAATTAATTTCGGCATTTCTAACCCCTCTGCGGTGACAGGTGCTTGCCATATGCCGAATGCCACAAGACAAGCATAGGCTGTCGTTATCATAGTGAAAGAAACTTTTAAAACTGGGTTGTTTGAGAGATAAAAGCTCCCCCACCCCAAGTGCTTTTACTCTCCTCACCATCACGCTTCACACACTTCCGAAGCTCCCACTCTTTTGTCGTTACCACTATCCCACCGTACACGCACTCTCCATCATGAACATAATCTCTTTTATTGTTTTTCTCGTCTTTAGCAATCACTTGTTTCGCTTGCCACTCCTCGCTTCTGCCCAAGATGCTCCTGTATTTATCCAAGGTGGATTTGAAGAAGCCACCGTGGATGATGAGTCCGTCTACAACACTGGTGGAACCATTACCGTCAATGGATTCAACATGATTGTCCCCAAGAATCTCCAAATACAGTTCCCAGCGGCCTGGGTTCCCTGGAAAGACTTTGTGGCTAGTAAGGCAGACTTTGCTGGCTTTGAGACTCTGGTATGTTTTCACTTAATTACACACATGAGTATTTCTCACTCATTCTCAACCCTCCAGGTTATGGGAAATACCATCAATGGGGTTCACCGCGTAGCCCAAGTTGTCATCTATGAATTTTTCGAAGGTCTTGCCAGCGGCTTCATCGAGTCACTCGATTATGCGGATGGAAGCCTCAAAATCCAGAACGGTCCTACTGTCCGCATCAGCGACCCCAATGGTGCATTTTCTGTCGGTTATGATGGGGCTCCCCTTATGACAGCCGACGACCAGAGTCCTAGCATCTCGTCTTTCTCTGGCTTTCCGATGTGCATCCCGCGGAACAGCTCTGATCCTCTTTGCCCTCTCAGCAACAGGCCTTTCAACGGCCCTGGAACCTTGTTAGTATACTATCCTCAACTGATTGTGCTTTAAAATACTGACTGGCATTCAGCACCGCCCCTGATCCCCTTGTGATGGCACCTTTCTTACCGGGAGACTTTATCACTTTCTCCGGCTTTCGTAAAGGAAGTGAGGTCGTTGCTTTTAGCATTGTGGCGCAAAACGTCCAGATTCTGACTCTCGGAGATATTGTCTATGTTCGGATGGAGCTGGGTCTTCTTGGCATCGATAACCCGAACCCAAATGCAGAAATTTCAGACTCCAGGGTACGCATTATCATACCCCATGCTACTTCCTGATTGTCGGATTACAAATGAGAGAAATAGTTAACTGACTTCTGATAATCAGTTCATTGGTTTCACGTCGAACAACCGGGCGACTGTTGCTCTGTACGCTATGGATGTCGACCCTTGCACAGGAGAGCCAAAAGACCGCCTTATCGCCACTATGGGCTTACGTGGAGGCCGCAACGAACAGAATAAGTTCGAATATCGAAACGATATCTTGCACTCTTACACTCGAGAGTACAGAGTCACTGCAGAGATAAACGGTGTTTCGAAAACACGCACCACTAAGAATGGTATCGTCGCTGGGACGTATGTGCAGCCGGTCAATGTTTGGGTTCAGGCCGAGCAGAATATTCCTGGAACGCCACCAGTTCCTAACGACTTTTCAGAGATGGGCTTTCTCACTAAGGGTGTAGGGCGAGATCAAAAGGGGAACATCTGGGGCCCACTTGATCCATTCCCCCAGACGGGTGTCTTTATTGAAGCACCTACTTGTGCTGATACTCGTTCTGTATGAAGTTACAAAGCACTTTAGTTTTAGGTGTGTGTAGAGGCTGGCAACATCTTGAAGTGAAATATACTGTCTCTGTGTCACTCTGTAGAAGGATTTCGTATAATAAATCTGCTCAGTACCTGTATTGCCTAACCAGAGCCTGGACATCTCAAACTCAAGTAATTAATCTATCTTAGACTTTACAGGTCTCGGGGAGTAAATAGAAATAAAACATCTCCAGAAGTTATACCTCAAGTCATTCGGTGAAGTATGAGACCGTCATAATTCTACGTTTTCCTCTTGGTCTAAATAAATTGGCAGGCCATTTCACGCAGCAGCCATCTTTTCTGTGAGAACCGGCAGTGCCAAACTTGGATTCATCCTAATAGAAGCTTTGGCCAGAGTCTCTCCGGAGTATCTGGATCAGACGTTGGCTTTAGAGCCGTCTTATACCGCCAAATTCGAGTCTCCATGACATTGTGCTCTTCTGGCTAAGTGCAGCATGTCGAGTTTGTGACTTATGCAGGGCCGCCGCAGGCTCGAGGTATGACACTTGACGCAGACATCGTAGTGTTCATTGCAGTCGACGAAGTCTTGACAATTGACTTTGTGGCGAAGTGACGAAATGCCCCGACTCAAGTCGGGTGATGAGACAACCACGCCAATACATGCCGCCTGCAATCCGGATGCACGACGAGACACGCCCAGGTCACTCCTTGTTTGGTTGTCCTTCTGCCCATATAAGCCATCAAATTAAGTCTTGTTGTTATTTTACCCATCTTTTGCATTGCTTGGTCATTCTTCTAGTCAATCCATCGCGCTGTTTTTGGCTTCATTTGCGTGTGGATGTTGTGGATCATCTCAATCCTCCATCTCTTACCACCACTTCGACCTAAATGAGAACTCTAACTTCAGGGTGTATGAAACACTCAGTATATCTACCACCATCCAAGAAACGACACGAACTTGGCTCACAGGTAAGGGGTACTCGAAACATACGAGTCAGTCCATGTTGGCGCATTCGCAGTCAGGCGAAGTATGGGATTCTATACTATATTTAGATTGTGGTCGCCGCTAGGGTGTAAAGTTTCCACCAAGTATCTTGACTTTACTACGTCTACCATCCAGATCCTCCTCCTCAGTCAAAGAACTTCCACTTCCTTTCAAACAACGAAACCCGCCAACATGCACTTCGCCAGCGCAACCTACGTCCTCTCTGCACTCTCCGCTTTAGCCAGTGTGGCAAGTGCCTCCAACATGACTTGGCAAATTCAGATCTTCACTGAAACGTTCTGCAGCGATGACAGCGAGACGGGCGACTGCAGGAGTGAGGGCACGAAGGACTGCGAAAACATCAACACCTTCAACAGCCCCACGTCGGGCATCAAGGTCGACCTCAGCTCCGAGGACGATTGCCGCACAGTCGTCGCCTACACCGAGCCGGACTGCCTGCACAATGGTAGCTGGGCCTTGATGGAGCGTTGATGTGCAACGGGCCTCAGTCTGATGGTTGGTCCACCCAGGACGAGCTTGCCAGCTTGAAGATCATCAATAACTGCGGTTAGGAAGCTATGATAGTGTGAGAATGAAGAAGCAAGGAGTGTTGGCTTTCATTCCACGATCGTGTGTTGAGGGCATTCCAAAATATGGGTTTACCCGATTTTCAGAAGACACACTGCTATTGAGTGCTTAGTATTATGTTTGTCGCTGATTATTACACCGGCCAATTCCCTGACTTATTTGTCCTTTTAAATTGCTTTCTCTCTAAGTTGTCATTTCATTGATGGGATAAAATATGCGCACCCTTTCCCAGACAGTGACGGAGCCATTCACTACACCCAATCCATTCCTACACTTGGAGAACTCACTCTCTCGCAAGCTTGGTAAGTGTCTAGGGTAGCCGCAATTGCCGCGCGCGCTGACAATCATTCTCTATTAGCAAAGAGATGCAATAACCCCAATATCAGATAATATGGCATTTATTCATCGATTCCAATTCAAAAAAGAACAGAGAGTCGGTTAGTAGCCTCAATTGGCACCTTCACCGTACCACTTTGGAAAAAGTTGTTGTTTGAGTTCTGAAGTTCAGATCTCCCAGCCGACACAGCCGATTTACCAAATGCAGGGAAAAGAAGCTTGTACCTGATTCCAGCAGAATGTCTGTTCGGCATATAACATACCTTCACTTTCTGTTTTTATTAGCTTCCCCGGAGATGTACTCTCACCATCAGCTAGGAGGGATGTCCAGTCGAGTTGAGGGTGCCAGCAAGCCTGTGTTGACGACGAGTAAGGACTCAATCTGGCCATGGAGGAGTTAGGTAATCTGGGAAACACGTAACAAACAACGGTTTTTGTGCTCGGAGCTCGTCACATTGTACGCTGCTAAAGATGCCTGGAGAGTGTAAGAGCTGTCCAGTCGGAGAAGAATGTCATGATCCACCACGCCTAGCTTAAAAGAGAGCAAATTTCAGTAGTGCTTACTTACACTCTTCTAAACCTGTCACGATGCGACGTTCAATTTATCTTCGCATCTGTAGTATCGCCAACACGACCGGGAGTAAAAGTGTCTTGGTAGTTGCTGGCATTCCGTAGAAAGCGGTTGATGGAGCCGCAAAGATGATTTATATTCTTGTCAGTTCCGGAAGTCAGCCGTTCAAGGTTGGTCTTCTCGACGCGGTAATTAGATAGGTGACTGCTGTGCCGCCCACCTCTCCTTCTCCAAACGTGAGCTCAGTCTTCTCTTGAACAGGTCTTGTTTTAGTGTAACTTCATAACACAAATGCACTTCCTAGTTGACTCCACACTTCACGGACCGTTGCAGTCATTGAGACTTGCAACCTTCAGGACGCTGTGATCCTGGGACTTGCAATTCATCTCTGAGTAACCGAGGGATATACCAGACGTTCATCGAAAAATGTTGTTCGGTGGCTCCAACCTTCTATTGTCGTAAGATGGCACCTTTGTACTGGTCTCTCCATAATTCCCGCTAAAGCAGTCATACATGAATGACCTGGAAAGTCCACGATATCCACGTGAATGTTGGATGGTGGAATTCACCGTCGTGTGTACCTAGGGGTTGTTAGGACCTTTGGCATCATATCGATCGGGTAGGAGTCAATGCACCGTTGCGTTTCCTTTTCTGTTCCTTGTCATTGTGATCCGACTGGTTAGGCTACGTGCTGCTCACCCTCGGTTGACAGGCCGTGGCAGCGTACCTCTCGTTCAAACCAGTGAAGTGTCAGTGTCGCACCTTAAAGCAAGAAGTTCATCCTCTAGCATCAAATTCGTCCCACCTGTAGAGTGTAAAGCAGGGATAGACCGGGCCTTCCGCGGTTGAGATTTGACGCATTCGTATGATTGGCGCGATAGAGGTTCTATAAATGGTATGCAGAAACCACGGGGTATCATGTTTTACATGGATGCTAGGGTGCCAGGCCGTTCTAGAACTGGATCTATTGGTGAAGTAGTAGTCGGTGGACAAAAGTTCCGAGACTAAGGAAGACATCCCCACTTCACCAGTTAACCCTTTAGCATCACTTCCACGTTCCTTGCCCAAATGGAAATCGATTAATTGGATTTCAAAAAATTTAAAATGCCCCATGAACAACAATCACTTTTGTTCAAGTGAAGTCTTTTATTTGCCATTATTAAGCGCTTTCATCGTTCTTTTAGCATCAACGAGCTTCCTGTGGGACGAAATCGGCAACCGTGCCGCAACTTCCGTCCCCCCCCTGTAGTGTTGGTTATGGTCCCATTGGAACGATAAGGTGCCGCGGATGGATTTGAATCCTGTTGTCTGTGGCGATTAAAGAATGCATACTGGACTGTTGCGTTGTTCCTAACGAGTATAACTGCGGCGTAGTTTGGTTACACAATTCAATCTCCCCAGCAAAAGATCCCTCAATTCGGCGACCTTTTTGGCCACGCGCCACTCGTCGACAAGATGTCCATGGCAGTGATGGACGCGTTTTCCCCAGCTAGCCAATGCATGCTTCGTGAAGCTTGGACGTATAATAAGTAGATAAGAGAGTTTCCTCCACATCTGGATAAGGGGGTAGTGGCGAACCTTCGTGCTGGGAATGGTGTCAATTGCGAGGATAATGGTGAAGTCGTGGAGCTAGACCCAAACTGGCAGGAGACCGGGCTCTCTGTGCACGCTATCCGTCCAGACCACTCAGTCTACTGTACGCGCGTGGTCCCCAGTAGATACACCCGGTATTAGGTGTAACAAAAGGTCCTGTCACCAGTCGTGTGTTATACGATGGCTCTCCGAAGCACCATAACTACATATGGCCATCTCGGTGTTTCGTGGAACCCAATCAAGATCCACCATCGCCACAGGACCCTACCATCGGATAAATCGGGTTCTTGGGACAAAAGGACACAGGCCTTAAGACTGAAACAGGCAATTCCCACCAATATTTACAAAAGATCCTGCAAAACAGGACATGGCCGAGTAATCTAGACGATCCCACGGACGGAAGGTTGATCATTGTACGCGCATAATGAGAAATGCCATGTCTACATTCTATCGCGTCACGGATGTACTGGATCTAAATGAGACATAAGTACTGGTTCATGGGGTGGCAGCTACCTGTTAGAGTTTCCTTATAAGAGGTGTCTTGCCGCTGTCGTAGGCTCACACAAGCTGTTGACGCGCTCCAAGACCTCGTCCTACCACCCTGCAATCACAGACATGCCATCCGACATCTCTCCGGTCGCCGAGGACCTCGGTCCTGCAGAGAGCAAGGCATCCTCGGTCCCCAGCCAGCATGACCTCAACGAGAAGCCCGCCGTCGGTGTAGACGTTGCACCGGTTTACGGCGATAAGGAGGGAGGAATTGATTCCAAGATCAGTCCCGGCTCTACCGACCATGAGGACGACCGCAACAGCGACGACGTCATCATCATCACCGGTGCCGATGCAGCCACTCATCTTCTGCCACTTCGGGATGACGGAGACCCGGCTTTGACCTTCCGCAGTCTCGTGCTGGCCAGTGTGCTCTCATGTTTCCAGTCTGTCATGTACCAGATTTATCAGGTAAGTGGGAACTTGTTGTATGCTCTTCTATATTGGACGTCTTCTAACGCACACTCTCACACAGTTTAAACCAACCGCTATTACGATCCAAGGAACCTTCATCGTCCTCATCGCCTACTTTGTCGGCAACGCATGGGCCGCCTTCCTCCCGCGCGGCGATAAGTTCGAAGCTCGATGGAGGGCTAAAGGAGGACAGGGCAAGCTTCCCGCATGGATCTCAGCTTTCAAGTTCATCAACCCCGGGCCATGGACTCTCAAGGAGCACGCCATCTGCTCCATCACCGCTACATCGGCTTCCAACGCCGCTGCCAGCATCCAGGTTTTCTCTGCCCAGGACCTCTTCTACGACATGCCGCTCAAGCCAGTCACCGTCATCTTGACTGTCATCTCCATTGGTCTGTTTGGCTACGGAATCTGCGGCATCATGCGTCCTATTTGCGTCTGGCACGTCGACGCCGTCTACTGGAGCACACTGCCTACAGTCAAGACTCTCCAGGGTCTTCACTGGCAGGCCGTGAAGGACTCCAAGCCCCTGCGGTACTTCTGGTACAGCTTCACGGGCATGTTCTTCTACGAATTCTTTCCTGCCTACATGTTTCCGTGGCTCAACTCCGTCTCAATCCCTGTATGCATCACCCTGCGGCTCTGAAACCACATGTTGAGCGAGTTGACTAACGTGAAAGATAGTGCCTAGCTGCGATGAAAGCAACTGGCAGCAAGGCGGCTACGCTCACAAAAGTCTTTGGTGGAGCCACAAACAATGAAGGAATGGGCCTTTTCACTCTTTCGTTTGACTGGCAATATGTAAGCGCAGGTTCGGCTGTGGGACTAAAGCAACAGAACTGACCAAGTCGATGTCAATCCAGATCACATCCTTCCAAACAGCTTTGCCTCTCAAGCTCCAGCTCCATCAGGGCATCGGTTTTGCTGTTTGCTTCATTGCAATGGCTGGAGTTTACTGGGGCAACGCCTGGGACGCTAAAGAACTCCCATTTATGTCGACCAGGCTCCGAATGGACAACGGCACAACCTATCCCATCGACGAGGTCTTTGTCGGCGGCGTGCTCGACACAGACGCCTTGGCCGAGTTCGGCCTGCCGAGACTGACTGGAACGTTTGCGTTTGCTCTGTTCATGGCCAATGCTGCTGTATGTTCTCATCTCCATGCTTGCCTCCTTTTGACGAATGCTAAATGTCTTCTAGATTGGCGCCTTGATTTTCCACGTCATCCTCTTCTGGGGAAAGGACATCATCAACGCATACAAGAGCGCGAAGACTGATCAGTTTGAGGATCCGCATCACGCCCATATGACCAAGCACTACAAGGAAGCACCTTGGTGGTGGTACATTGGCGTTCTTGTCCTCAGCTTCGTCCTCGGTCTCATTGTAGTGCTTACTCAGGACATCACCCTGCCGGTGTGGGCCTATATCGTGTCACTGGTGCTGGGGATCATAATTGCGCCCTTCGTGAGTCGCCCCAGGTCGTCAACTTACAAAGTGACTTGCTAACATTACGGCTATAGAGTACCCTCCTCTATTCTCGCTGGGGTAACGGCATTGCCACCAACAACTTGTCCAAGATGTTGGCAGGTCTTATGCTCCCTGGTCGCCCCGTTGGTAACATGTACTTTGCCGCTTGGTCGCACAATGTAATCCTTAATGCGGTCAACCTGTGCAATGACCTCAAGATGGGCGAATATCGTCAGTGCCTTTTTATCATCTTTCGTACCATCTCCGCGAGCTAACTCATTACTATAGTCAAAATTCCCCCTCGTGTTATGTTCCTCACTCAAATTTACGGTACCATCCTGGGTGGCTTCATCAACTACGCCGTTATGATTTCCATTGTCAGCAACAACCGAGCCCTGCTCGCCGATGGTGATGGCAACTCTTCCTGGAGCGGTGCCACCTTGCAATCGTACAACACGAATGCCACTTCCTGGGCATTAGCCTCTTATCTTTACAAGGTTGGCGGTCGATACCAATTGGTTCCAGTTGGCTTGGCGGTTGGTGCCGGCCTCGTCGTTGTTCATCGCATCTTTGTTCGCGTGAGTCCAGCCTACCTCGGTGTTTCTATATCCAAGCTGACTTTGTGTGCCCTTAGTTTGTCCCGAAGATCGGAAACTTCTCGACCTGGGAAATCAATATGCCTCAGCTGATCCAATACTGCGGTTATATCCCCTACAACGCCAGCCAAACTTGCGTTCTTTTCAGCCAGGTCATTGCTGGATTCTTCGTCCAGTTCTACCTTCGAAACTACCGCCCACGCATTTTCAAGGACTACTCGTACTTGATCACGGGTGCTTTCGATGGGGCCAGTCTCTCGGCTCTGTTTATCCTCTCGTTTGCCGTTTTCGGTGCGGGTGGTCCTTCAGTTCCTTTCCCTTCGTGGTGGGGAAACAACGTCAATGGAAACTACGACCTTTGCCCTGTGCCCGAATAGCCCAGCAGCAAAGGTGAGCGACATCGTCTTGTGTCTGATTCAGCGTACAGGTTGCGGGTTCTTTATTCACAACATTTGCTCAGTGTTCAGTTGAGATCGAGTGAGCCGCAATTCTTACCAAGATGGTGTCTTTTCTGTACCTTTATTGTCTGTAGTTCTTGAATGCGATGATATTTACTTATTCATGATTCTTCTATTAAAGCAAATTAGGAAGTCTCAAGTTCACACTCTGCATCCCTGAGAAGTGTCATCAGGACATCTTGCTTTAGCAGTCAGATTCCGTTGTCTAGTCCAAGCTCTCGGCATTTGGGCAGATATCGTCTCACATTCATCCACATCATCTACCATCAGAATTTGTATCGTAGCAGTCTGAGCATGTAAATCTGCAGCCGCGATCAAATGAGTGCTGAGTGCCTGTCCGATCATGGTCTCTTATCAATTGACGGTCGATGTAGGGTAGGGATTGTGGAGTCGGCACCTACTACGTAGTAATTATTCGGGGTGTGACTGTTGGTCCGGCTGTCGGAACACAGTTCCGACATGTCCATTTCAATGCCTGAGATGCTAGGCACAGAGCGACAACGGTGAACGCCCCTGCGACACACGGTCTGTCGCACATAGCTAGGTAGCTACCTAGGTAGGGAGTCATCATCACTCATCACGTAGTTCATTGGGTGATAGCATCGCACCTGTGATTCCTACTAGTGATTCCTACTAGTGACTCATCCGGCGACTACCCCTCTCAGCTTTACGTGCCCTTTGTTTCCTAAGGCCTCCCCGCAATATTCCTTCTCACGCACTCCTTCGGCAGACTCTTCGAGCAGAGCACCAAGGTGTCTAAGTCCGCACACAAACCCCAAAGTCGCCATCTCCGCTGCTTCTACTTTGCGCAGTCGCTATGGCTCACGAGCCAGGAACTGTTGGTGGACATGAACGAGCGTCTGCAACTCGGCCGGCACCGTTGGCAATCTTCCCACACGAGCCTTTACACCCTGGAGTTGTGTCATCCATCGAAAAAGATCGATCCGGCGGGTTTTACGGTCCTTTCAACAGCCACCTGCTTGCCACCCAGGCCGCCACTTTCATCAGCTCAAATTCGGACGCGAACGAAGAGCTTCTGGCACCAGTTTTACACAGATTCTTAGCTCTAGCCTGGAAGGATTGCACAGCTGGTGCCTCGATCTCGAACTCCATGGTTCAAGAAGCACACTCCTGCTGGCTGTGCATCCGTATGACGCTACCGACAGACGTATGGGCTGTGCCGCGATGGCATACAGACGGTCCTATGTTTGACTGCACTTGCTCTGAGCCCAAGATTCCCCATTCTAAATACGCCTTTACGATTCTCGGCCCATCCACTAGGGTTATGGCAACAAACCCGGCCGTCCACGCAGTGTTGGAGACGCTATCAGAGACTGGGCAGCCTTGGGACCAGAATGACCCTGACCCCGGCCTTGCGAAGAAACTCGCAGAGTATTCGGAGGCCGCAGTCGAACTCGGGCAGGTTATTCGGTTCAGCTGGGGCCAACGTGACTCACCTGTGCATTCCGAGCCAGATTCAACTGGCCTGCATCGTGTTTTCATAAGTCTTCTTTTTGGAAGTGAAAAGGAGATACGGAATATGTGCGAGATGAGAGACGAGGAGTATAGCTCTTGGAATTAAATTGCTACAGGCATAGAGAAAATAGCTGGCAATGTAGAATTAATATCAGAGGTGAATCTTTAAATAAGGAACTGAAATAGCTAGATTTCAGGGAACCAATATCTAGCTATACATAACTATTACAATTAATTTCTACTAAATGCTTAGTCAGCAATTCAGTACTATTAAATACTATCGAGGTTTCTTCAGACTCTTATCCCGCTCCATCACCCACCAACAATTCCAGATAGAGTCATTGAAGCTGCAACACAATGCGACCTGTAAAGGCATGCCTCCAATGCAGAACTGGCAAGCGAAGATGCGATTGGATAAGGGACTCGGCGTGCTCTCAATGCCTGCAGCGGAATCTGTCTTGCTCGGCCGCCATTCCCGCATCCCAGTCTCCCACAGCCGCGCAACCTCTTCCCCCCATCATCTCAACTCGCTCTCGTGAAGAAGTCATACACTTGGTAGACTTGTACTTCCGATTCATTCATAACCAACCTCACAGTCTCTTCCATATGTCAACCTTCAAAGCCAGCGTCGTTGCGGGAACAGTCTCTCAGCCTGTCCTTTTGAGCATGATTGGCATGTCGGCACGGTATAATCGCCCGGCCAGCATTGGTTCTTGACGTTTGCCAGACTAGTGTTGACAAAGCTCCAGATTCGCAACACACCCTGACATACGGGCCCGCGGACCTATGTATTGTGCCAAAGCCAAGGCGGCGCTGAAGGACGATCTCGAGCACGTCTGCATTGAGAACATCCAGGCGTGTATCCTGGTGGGGAATAATTGCATGGGCGACTGCAACGCAGATGCCGAGTCGTTATACTTTGGTATATTTCTGATGGACCTGACCTGGGCCAGATGGGGAGCGTCGAACTAACTGCATCATCAGTGATTGCCATCCGCATGGCTCAAATACTCAATCTCGGAGCTCCCAGCGAAGCTGATGACGGAGTCACCCGCGAGACAAAGAGGCGGATCTTCTGGACCTGCTTCATCATCGACACATGGGCTAGCGGTGGCTCAAATTTGTCGCGACAGTTTGAATGGCAAGCGAAGGGGCCCCGAGTCCCAATGGATGAGGCTGTCTTCGCTCTGATGAAGCCGGGCGACCCAGACATCCCTGATGCAGAATGGCGACCCGGACTCTGGGGCCATATGGTAAGACTGGTCGAGATCTATGCTCAGATACAGCAGTTCCACAAGGAACTCGCCGAGATAGCTGAGTGGGACGAAGGTTGGATGGACGAGTCGGTTCAACGCCTTGAATCCCAACTTGCCGCTTTTGAGCAGCAAATTGGCCCCGAAATGGCATTTTCATTGGAAAACCTGGCAACATTCGTGAGTCGTGGCCTAGGCAGTGTCTTCATCGCCTTCCATCTCGGCCATCATCACTACTACACGCTGCTGTTCTACCAATACCTCGACCAGCGACGGCCGTCTACGAGGAACGGGAAGAAATACGCAGATCTGTGCAAGGTTCATGCGGCTATTATTTGTGATGTGCTGAAGGCATCGCGGGAGGTCCCTGGCGCAGACGCTCTGTACAACATTGTGGGCCACGTCACGATTGTATCATCATCGGTGCTGCTGCACACGTACCTGTTCGGAGAGCCCCATGAGCTTGAATACTCGAGAAACCGCCTCGAGTCAAATCTCGCATCGCTGGTACAGCTGCGCAGCTACTGGTCAAGCGTGGAGCTGATGGTATAGAGTCCGTTTGGGCGATATGGTGTATGTGTTTACTGACAGGTCGCAGATTAACCGATTGGTCGTGTTCCAGAAGAATTGCATCCTATCTCTCAGCAGAAACACGCATCGCTTCGACAAGTGGATGGTCAAGTTTCTCATTGCACATGCACTGGCACTCGAGGACAAGGTGGACGATCTGTGGCCCGACTTCGACCTGAGCCAGGCAGCTGGCAACGCCCATCTTGAGAGAAGTCGCATAACTCAATCGATGATCATGGGAATACAAAATTCGGATGCATTTGGACCAGGGTAGACTAACAGGTACGCGTGGAAGTGTCGACAGGGGCGAGATCATCTGGCGTTGGCGGATGGAATGTCTGGACCGGTTCACGTATGATACGCAACGAGCCTCGGCATCGATGTTGTCCCCAGTGATACGCAACTTGGCGGCAACGAGCGAGAACAGTTAGGAGCCAGCATCATTTGCTTCTACTTCATGGAGCAGCATCAACCCAATTGTACATGACGAGTGGTCTTTATTAGAATTTAGTGTTTGATGGCGTTGACAGAGTCGTCCTACGCCAACCTTGTAACCCAACATAACAACAATTCCACTGAATGATCAGTATTAAGCTGGCGCGGGCATTGGGCTGTCAGTCGGGTCTGGCCGAGTGTCTTACGAAGCGTCCCGGGAGCTCCAAGACTTCCCACGCACCATCTTGTGCCGGCGCCGAGTGTTGCAATATTCTGACTCAGGTCGTGATCAGCCATACAAATGACCACTGTGTTCTAGATCCCATTTGCCTGTGTCCCCGGCCTCCCCCTCCTGCGTCAGTCCCGCGTCTGGGTTGCGGGGAGAACGTGGAGAAATGAACCATATGGGAGAACACCACGAGGGGGTGGCGTTAGCTGAGGATCTCAGTCGTGTCTCCACCGCAGTGAGGCCGCGTAACCAATAGAACAAAAACAAAGCCGGTGGAGAATACCAATCAACCGCTTCAAAGCCGGCTGATGAAAACTTGGAGATGGGGTTCTGAGGCGGATCCGTACGGCCAACCAGACAGAAAGTTGGCCGGTTTGTATCACCAATCAACGATATTGAAAGCCGGCGCTAACTGTGACCCATGCCGGACCCCGGAAAGCCGGTCATCTGCAACTCCACCAGAACGAGTTTATTGCCCGGGACAGATATCGGGTTTTGAGGCTGGCTCGTATGTTGTCGGGTTGACCGAGGCCGAATCACTCAGGACCGCGACCACTTTTGTTTGCCGAGTAGGACAAAAATTTCGCAATACCCCCCAGTGAGCATGGGTCTAGATCAAGGGGGACCGGACCGGAGCCTCCAACCATTGGGGTCTCAGGTTGTGGACGCTACGAGAAACGGGCCAAGCGAGGTGACAACTGCCCCTAATATCTCGAGCATTTATTTGGGATGCTTCATTACGCCCTCGGTCTATTGACTGCCGAAGTTATTGTGTAACACACCAACGAAGCTTCGGATGTAGTCTCTAGGTGACCCCGGAACCACCGAGTCCATGCCGCAATTGACCGAGGAGCGGCCAGAAGCCGGTACGCCGTCACCACATGCTGCGTCTTTGCGAGGTCCAAATATATGAAGAGAAATAGTAGAGGCATCCTATTGTGATGCAGAGTAGACATGTCCATCTAAGCTGTAATCTCTAGTCTATATTGGCCCTGGAGCATTTCCAACGTCTTGCCCTTGAACCTCTGAGCCTCATCGACCGGCTGCCTCTGTATCTCTACCACACTTGTCTCGCTCGGAAGAACCAGCTCGCAGGTAGTCCCAGTCGGCACACTGACATCCACCACCGCCTTTCCATCCTGTCTCCCTCTACGGTCGAAGCAAACCGCTATCAGTCCATACGGCGACTCAACCTTGCCCTCCACGTAGTCCAACTCGGTCTTGAAGCACGGCCGCAGCCTCCACGTGCGGTACGCATCTGTCAACGGCTTCACGCCCAGCGCATAGTCGTAGAACCACTGGTAGATGGTGCCCAGCATATCATGGCACTTGGAGCGGCACTCGTCCTGCCAGAACTCCAGCAGGCTCGTCTCGCCGCGCCGCAGGAAGCGCATGTATGACGGGTGCTCTTCCTGGCGTATCATGTTGAACACAATATCTGGCCGATCTACATCTGGGTCGGCCAGCGTGTTCCACAGGTACTTGAGGCCGATCTCTCCCGCCCGCATCACGTGGCCTGAGTCTTCCGCGGCCGCGATGAAGGCTTGGATGATGTCGGCGCGATGTTCGGCGGGGATGAGCCCGTGCTGGAGGGCGACGGCTTGGGCTACCATTGTGCGGTCTTGCGTTCCAGGGGCGTCGCGAGATGTGTAGAACGCGTAGGGATACGTTGTCTTGTCCGTGATGAGGAGCTGCTGGTTGTAGACGGTGTATATACGCTCTGCCCACGAAGTAAATCTAGCCTCGTCACCTGCGTACCCGAGGTGCTTGGCCATGAGAGCCACGTTGCGCAGGCACTGATAGTAGATGGCCGTTTCGATGTTTGCCTGGTGATTTCCGTATGCAATGCTGTAGCCCCAGTCCCCAAGGCCGTGCTCAATGAGTCCGCCAAGTCGTTCTTTGTCTTGCATGTATTCCATGTACTGCACGCATGGCTTGTATATCTTTCTGAAGACACCTGTGCAGCCGTAGTAGTGCTTAATCTGTTCGGGGAGTAAGCACACGACACCGCCCCAGGTGATGGTGTCATGCATAGGGCCACACCTAACTCGTGTCAGTCTTAGAACAGTCACACCACGAAGGGCAGGTTCATCACTTACATGTATCTGACCAAGGGTGCCATAGTAGGAACCAACCCGGAGGGCTCCTGTGTGTCGATGATATCGTCTAGGATCTTGGAGTAGACAGCCTCCATGTCACGGACATACTGTGTGGCGGGAAAGAGTAGAGCCGACACCTCCAGCCACCCAAACTTTTCGATTTGTGGGCAGTCAGTGTGATAGCTGAAGATGTTTGAGCTGAAGGTCCAGTAGCAGGCGTTAATTAATGCGTTCACATCCTCTTTGTCAGTCTTCACGAAACCGAGTTGCGGAGCGCCAGACGAGACGTGGCGCGCAGTGAGTGAGTGGATGACAGGAAGGCCGTCTTCCCCATCCAGCGAGGCGCCTTCGATCTGGATGTATCGAGCACTCGTAAAGCTAAAGTCGGGCGTCCAAACCTCCTGCTCTCCCTGCCCTGCCAACGTAATATTCGAGTACACACCCGTTTCGAACTCCTTGAACAGAGGATCCGGCATAAGCACAAGGCCATCTTCACCGATCGTCTCGGAGTACTTGACGCGATACTCGGCCGCAGCGGGACCACTGGCTTCGACTCGTACCATGATGGATGCATTCTGACCAAGGTCGTACATGAGGACGCCAGGTTTGACCGTGCTCTGCTTAATGGGCACGAACGTGTTGTGCAAAATAACTGGATGCTGGCTCTGGTATCGCAACTTGCCTCTTGGTCCCGTGAGCGCCTTGGCCGGCTGCCAAGTAGCATCGTCAAAGCCTGGTGCGTCCCAGCCAACGGGATATGCCCGCCGGTCGTGGTTTTCAGAGGCGTAGATATTCGCCAGTGTGGTGGCGCTCTTACGGACCGTCCAGCTCGGGTCGGAGACGATACACTCGTGTGTGCCATCGTCGTAATGCGCATGGATCTCGGCAAAGAAGCACAGCTCGTTGCCGTAGCGGACGTACGTGTTGTCCTCGTACATGGGCCAGAAGAAGCGGTCCCCTTGGTCGCCTGCGTAGAAGCCGTTGCCGACGTGGGCACCAAAGGCGTTCTCCCCGTCCCAAATAGTATCCGTCACGTCGTACCCGACAAACTGTACTGTCCGGTGGTAGTTGGTCCAGCCTGGGTCCAGGACGTGGGACGAGGCCGGCTGACCGTTGACGGAAAGATTGAAATGGCCCAAGCCTGAGGCGAATATAATGACGCGCGACGGTTTGCGCTGGAAGGTAAGGCTTTTTCGGAGGTAGATAGGCTTGTCACCTCCATCACCAATCCATACGGCCTTCCAGCGGTTTGCCTCGTCCTCGAACCAAGTGCGAAAAATAAGACTGGAGTGCGGCATCTATGGAGCATCCGGTCAGTAAACTGAAAGTCGAGGCTCTGCGGATTTGAGTCTTACATATTTCTGGTTCATGCTATACGGCGGCAGGAGCCTGGAGGATCGAGGGTACGACGTGTAGAACTCGCTGACTGAGCTGGTCGCCTCGTTTCCATTCTGGTCCCAGACCGTCACGGTCCAGTAGTAGAATGTTGTCGACTTGAAGCCACTCTGCGACTTGCACAAGACGTTCCGCTGCTCGCGGCCTTCGACGCGGCCGGTATCGAAACAGATTCTTTGCTGACCATGCCCGTCGATGTCTTTGCTGTCCGACACCACTAGGCGGTATGCCACCTGGACAGCATGCTCATCGGCGAAGTGAAGCTTCCAGAACACGCGTAGCTCGTCAACGTCAAGACCGATGGTCTCACCAAAGCCGTGAATGCCACAACTGACGACTTCCATGGTGGCTGTTGGTGGCTATTGCTGTGTATTGCAGAATTGGAGTTGACGGTCGTGGCTCATGAGGGGTGTTGGTCTGGGTTCTGCTGTTGGTCTAGAGCTTTTGCACCGCGTTCGTTCTCGGGTCAACTTGGCCCGTTGGGCGGAGCAATACTACGGGTCTAGGTATCATGCAACTCGTGAGCTATTACCTGCCTCTGGCCTGATTTCCAAACAGAAGGACCGAGGACTCCAGTCGGTTGTCGACTCCAAATTACGGCGACGGTGTGGATGGGGGGGGAACTCCACATCCATCCGGAGCCAGGGGTTGTGGGCGTGTGTCTATCATTCCAAACGCACTCCAAACATGGGGAATGCATCATCCCCACGACTCCGAGTTTTACGCCGCGTGGACGAGGTCGCGACTCGGGCTGAATGATGCCGAGATCCTGGGGCAATTGGTGCTTTCTGCTCCCTTCTTACGCCGAGAGCTGAACCCAATCCTGACCGCTTGTCTCTGGTTCCGGGGAACGCCCCCTCAGCATCTGTCTAGTCGATCTCTCCGCATTGGAGTGGCAAGGCACATGTCTGGGGTAGCGTTATATAAACCTCCTGTGTCCCCAGATTCTGGAGTCGTATCCATCACTACCACCTGAGTCGTTCTCCCAGTTATCATAATTGGGCCCTGCTTAACTGACAGCAGCCATGCCCAAGGGTAATACCATCACCATCGCCTCGGCGGCCTTCCTAGCCGTGGGAGGTTTTCTTTTCGGCTACGACTCGGGCATCATCAGCTCTACCATCGCTCTGCCGCACTTCAAGGAATACTTCAACTCGCCCAGCGATGACACTGCGGGAGGCATCGTCAGCTCTTTCCAGGGCGGTGCTGTCCTGGGAACCATGATCAACATGGTGAGTTTCGCACTCCTCTCCATCGTCTAGTCCGCGTCGTTGCGTCCAGGTGCTGACTCTTGACTCGCTTCACGATAGGCCGTCGCCGATCTACTTGGTCGCAAGAGAACCATCTTCGCCGGATCCGTGGTTTCGCTCCTCGGTTCTGCCCTCCAGGCCGGCTCGACATCGATGGCCATGCTTATTGTCGGTCGATTCATTGGCGGCATGGCCGTCGGCATGCTCACCAGCACCATTCCCATGTACGCCTCGGAGCTTTCCACGCCCAAGTGGAGAGGCGCCCTCTCTGGTCTGCTTCAGTGGTTCCTCAGCTGGGGTTTCTTGGTGGCACAATGGCTCGGCTACGGCTGCTCGTTTTCTCACACAGCCTTCTCTTGTTAGTAACAGCCACGTGGGTCATGTATCATGTCATAGCTAACATTCTTCACAGGGCGATTCCCCCTTGCCTTCCAGTGCATCCCCGCCCTCATCCTCGTAACAGGTATCTGGTTCCTGCTGGAGTCACCACGTTGGCTCATGGAGAAGGATAGACACGAGGAGGCCCGTACAGTCCTTTCAAAGCTCCGCAACGGTGAAAACCCATCACGAATCGACCTCGAGTTCATCGAGATCCGCGACGTCATCGCCGCCGACCGAGAGATTGGCAAGGTGTCCGCCATGTCCATCCTCACCAAGTCCTCGTGGAGGAAGCGACTGTTGCTCGGATGTGGTGTGCAGGCATTTGGGCCGCTTTCTGGCATCAACGTCATCAACTAGTACGTGGTAAATTACGGCATTGTTGGACTCTTACTAACACTCTGCCAGCTACGGGCCTCGTATCTACGAAATCCTCGGCATCGACACGCAGACCTCCTTGATGATCATCGGTATCAGTGGTGCCCTCTCCATTGTCTACTGCACCATCGGCCTCTGGATGCTCGACAGAGTCGGCCGTGTTAAGCCGCTGATTGTCTCAGCCATGGGCCTTGCTGCCGCTCTCCTAGTCAATGCGGTTCAGGCGCAATATATTAACCCCGATAATGCCAACCAGTTGCGATCGATGGTCGCCATGAACTTCGTATTCAGCTTGTTCTACACCCCTCTTGGTATTATCTCGTGGGTCTACCCGGCTGAGATCTTCCCTGTCGAGGTGCGCGCTCTGGGAAATGCCATCACCACCTTCACCAACTGGGTAGTGAACCTCGTTTTCGCGCAGTTCTCCCCCAGTGCGCTGACAAAGATCGGCTTCCGCTACTTCTACGTCTTCTTCGTCTTCAACCTCATCGCCCTCCTCTGCTACTGGTTCTTCTACCCCGAGACTAGGGGTGTCACCCTGGAGCAAATGGATATGTTGTTCGGCGACCAGCTCGTTCCTCACGCCTTGGATGATCCAGAGGGTGCTATGGCTATGAAGAAGGATGCCACGTTATCGGCTCATGTTGAAGAGCATGTTGAAGAGCATGTTGAAGAGAAACAGGTTTGAATACCGTGGGTCCGCGTATGGAACTCGATAGCAGCTTGCTGCGAGGCTATGTCGCTTGCTTGAGAACACTCATTTGCATGCAAACAATCTTCAAGAGCGAGTGTAAAGGAGAGATATCAGTTATGTTCTGTAGTGGAGAATATCGAGACATTAACATTGCTACGACTTGGGTTGACTATTGCATTCACGCCCCTGATATACGCCTACCCGACTGAGATCTTCCCGTACTACCTCGCCCCTATATTTAACTTCTTTGTCAATCCCATCGCTATGAAAGCAATCTCATAGAAATCCTACATTCTATTTTGCTATATGAACGCCTGCATCTCTATTGTCATTTACTTCTGTATCCGGAAATAAAGGAGCAGTCACTCGGAAATCGCCGAGAGATTCAAAGAAGAGTCCTCGGCAACGCAAGCTATGGGCAAGGATGAGGAGGTCCAGAATACTGAGCATGTGGAGGTCGAGAAAAGAAGTGAATATGGTCTTGAATCGTGATCTATATTTATACTCGACGTTGGGTGAGAAGGCTCTCAAACTCCCGAGCCACCATGGTGTGACGCTTCGGCCCCTTCTTCTCGTCTGCGTCCCAACATTGACAATCTCAATCTTCCAAATCACGCACTGCTTGTCTCCCTGGAGCGTATAAGGTGGAGCCGGGGGAGAGCCGTCGATACTGATATCTTCGCCCCCGAAGCCGGCGTTCTCATCGGTGTCGGGGTTGGGGCCTTCCGTCTGTATGGGAACGACGTACACGTCGGTGACGACGACGACGGTGTTGGGGTCGGAGTTGGAGATGATCCCCATCAGCTGGTTCTTGACAAGGCGGTCCCAGACCCTGTTCACTTCGTAGTTGAGCCTCTCGTAGGACACGTAGATGGCCATGGCTCCGGCCACACAGGGGCAGGCCATGCTGGTACCGGACATCCATGCGTATTTTCTGTCCCCCTTGTAAGAGGAAGAAGTAATCGTGGTACCAGGCGCAATTATCTTGACTGCTTGGCCGTAGTTGTTGGATTTGGAAAGCTTGTAGTCGATGTCTAAAGATGCGACACAAACGCTTGATTCGGTATATATGCATGGTACGGTGTGAGCCGTACTTTCATGGGAATTGCCGGCCCCAACGGCAATGGGAATACCCGCGTCGAACGCTTCCTTCATGGCGCGTCTTAGGGCTTCCGAGTCCTCTATCGTCAACGACAAGTTGATGACAGAATCTTTCCAGCCCGGCATGGACTCGTCGTTGCCGTTCTTGAAATTTTTATGCTGCGAATATGGGACCAAGGGTTAGCAAGCTTCGGCACGAATACGATGGACTACTGGTACTCGACTCACCTCTGATGTTATGTCACTGATTGCTTGGGTGAGTCCTCCCCCAGTACCGGCACGGCAATTAGGTTCCTTGATGGCGCACATGACCTTTACGTTGACGATGGTTACCCAAGGGGCCATGCCTCCGCGCAAGCCGGCTACATGCATTCCGTGTCCACGGATATCATGTGTATCTCGTCACCACAATTTTGTGGCTTTGCACATCCTTATCCTCTCGTAGTGGTGCTCCACCGCTGTGTCCATCCATGCAAACGTTCGAAGCAGCACCAACAAATCATCCAAGCCGTCTACATTCAGGTCGCGGCAGAGCTTCTTGAACAGGGCCAGCATCTGTCCAGAAGAGGCTGTGTCTGACGTGATCAGCGCAACGCTGACGCACCACAGCAATAACGGCCCGGAAACGCCTCGATCCGCCAGTGATTGAATCTTGGGGCATAGTAATTGCAGAAGCGGCCCTCTCACCAAGGTTGACCGCGGAATTGGGAACGTGACGTGAGTGGCATGTAAATACAATGCAAGACGGCAGGTCAGGTAGAGTTCTCGGGATAGTTCAATGGCTTCTGCCGATTGGTCTGTACACTGCAGAATTTGGTCGGTGGTATCATTCTCGTCGGGCGTAGAGAAGAGGTGGTGGTGCACATAATTTCGACTATCACCCAGGAGGTCCAGAGCTTCTTCGCTACAGGGCTCCCTCGAGTAGTATTGTAGCACACACGATAGCTGTCCGATGTGGGAGAATGTCGTAACGAGCTTTCGCTGTACTGGGGGATCCATAAAGAGGAGCCCGTCAAAGCCAGATCCAGCGGTATCTTGAGCCAAGTGAAAACCATACGGCGCAAACAACAAAAGAGGGGGTTCCAAGACCAGTCTTTTGCCGTCAACGCCTAGACACGGATATATCGGTTTCTGGAGGGTATGTGCCGCATTCATGATGTCAGATAGGGAGAGCAGCCAAGCTAGTGCAAAGGTTTGAAGGACTTCGACTCCGCCCCATCTTCGGAGCAGGTCCTGTATGACGGTCCAATGCAGAGCGTGATAATCCCGACTACCGTAAATATGCAGAGCGTGCAGACGACAAAAAGGGGGGTTGAAAGGGCTCAGGTCGCGAGAAAGTCGTGTGCCATGCGTGTCGTTCACAGCAAGGAAGAGAATGCACATGATGATGCTGTCTATGGGCTTCGCACCAGTATGTGTGCTCACTTCTTTTCGCAGGCATTCCAGGGCTAGCCCTTTTAATCGGAATTGTTCCTTTGATCCAACTCGATGACCTGGGCTGCCGTAGGTCAGGCGGAGAACATCCTGGTGGTATGACGCTGACCAGAGCACCGCGTATAGCTTCACCTTGTCGTCGAACGGGAATGCCCACAACTGATAGCACTTGGATGTATACCCTAATGGGCGGAAATTTGGCCAGATTGCGGTGCTTGCGAAATTCAAGATATCCTGCACTCTCAGCCGAGAGGTCGTATCGTCAATTGGGATCATGGGGTCGAAGCTGCCGGATCCTATATCCCACACTTGCGTGGCGGGAGCTTGGGTGTGGCGAGGTTGGGGTTTCCCACAGAAAGAACATAGCTGGCCTTGTCCTAGTCTTCCGGACTCAGGCGCCTTCGGCTTGATCGCTTGGTATCCAGTGTTTCGCGGTTCTGAGTAGGATTGCGCTGCCAAGGGAGAAGGCTCATCGGAGCAGGTGCACTGAGTGTTCCTTTCACCCTTCTTCAGTGCTTCCAGTTCGGCCGCCGCATCGTGCCTTTGCTGAAGCTTCTTTTTGCGATGTGCTTGCTGAAGAAGCTTGGATCGAACCGGACCTTTCTTGTCTGTCAGCGACGGTCCCCCGACGAAGATAAACTGGTCCTCTTGTCCTTTTTTCGGCTGCGACTGCATTTGGTGCTAAATCCGACCACCTCGGGAGAAAACGTAGGTTTGGGCGCAGGGGGCGTTCGACACTGAAGCAGGAGCAGCGTTTCCTCCCGCGAGAAGCGACCAAGGGATGCAATCGCGAAAAGTGGGTGTGAAAATTGATATCGGCTATCCTCCGTGCCCAAAAATGAAAGCATAGGGTAGATAACTAGCCCGAGTCGTGGGGCGGGGGAAGATCGACCAAGTCCGCCCAACAGCTCCGGACATCGAAAAATCCCGCATCCTCCACGGCTTTGGACGGTGACTGGGAGCCTCGGAGGAGCAGTTGCAGGACGGTCGTCATCAGGCCCTGTTGTTGACGATGGTCCTTGGCCTCGGAGCGCAGTGCCTCGTTCTCCATGAGGAGCCGGGAGACTTCGGCGATGCTCTTGGCGTGTTGATCACAAAGCGCCTGGCACTCTGCGCGAAGGTCGTCCGTCTTTTGCTGGAGCGTCTTGTGCAACTGATCCTTGCGAGTACGGAACCGGCGTTGCGCTTCCCTGTTCTGCACTCGGCGTTTCTATTGTCCGTACGGTATTAGCACACGGAGACGTAGACGTAGACCTCGACAGACAGGACACGTACATTCACGTACATTCTTAGCGGTTCGGATCATGGCCGTGCTCCGGTTACGATCCAGGCCCTCTTGTGATAGGTCATCCATTGGTGGTGTTGGCAGTCCCGCCACTGGCTCCCCCCTAACGCTACCATCGCACTCGGATCGCGCCCCAGATAGCCCGTGTATTCATCCTTGCACAATTCCATCAGTATGCGATTTGTGATGTCGGGTTGTAGAAGCTTACCGATCTATGGATAATCCCCAAGGGCGTGGTGGGCTCTCCCCTCCAAGCATGTAAGTTGAGTAGAAAGGGCTTGTGGCGGGACTTTGCCAGGTCAATCGTGGTTCGTACGGCATACCTGAAGCAGACTCCATTAGGGGGGCAAGGAGATACAGAGAAAGAAAGATAAGTTGAAAGAGGAAAATAAAACGCCTGCAATAAAAGATTATTTCTCAAGTTTGCAATCGGACTAGTATCAGTCCCCCTCCCCCCGAGGGAATCTTCTCATATTTAAATCTCTGAAGCTCATCTTACCAACTTATGAGCTCGCTCGGCAGGATCTCGCACTGGGCTAAGTTGACCAATTAGAGCACGGCCCAGCACCTCCGAATGCGTTCTAGCCTACATTAATCAGCAGAGAGTTTCTTACCAACCGTGCTCTAACCCATATCCAGTTTATTTTATCTGACAGAGGCTCCATTCATTCATTGCCCACTCAATTATGTCACTTTCTCACGAGAGGCAAGCTATTTAATCATCTTATTACTATACATATTATCGTTAATATCGGAATTATCTGAGGCTTGCCCCCGGGACTTTTACCTACGCTCTTTGGGAGCGCGTTTGTGTCTCGCACCACACCACCAGCATGGTCACCGCTACTATTAAGAGGCATCTCCCAATCTCCAACCCTTGTAACGTTTAACTTTATCCGCTAGACTCCCCTGGAATAAGTTGAGCTTGCGCATACGAACCGTAACGCCTCGCGACAGCCACTTATTCGATGCATACGCTGCCCGTTGCTATCACATGAAAGTGGTGTTGTATGCGATCTCTATCATAGGAGGTTAAGGCGACGTAGTCGACGAAGACTGAGCACTATGGAATTGCACAACGGCCCGCGACACCAGCGTCTGGCCAAGTACTTGTCCGCGGCCTCAGTGTGGGCGCCCCACTATAGCGGCGTCCGGCCATGCGAATCTTTGCCGGGACATAACTTACGGCCAGTTTAATTAGATATGTATTCACTGCCAACATCGGACTGCCAAAAGACTCTGATGAGGCCGAGCATTTGAAATTTATGAACTTGTGCATACTTAGTGAGATCTTCTAAATCAAACTTACATCATACAGCCGCGCAGGCCATCAGGGATAGGTCTTCTGGGCGCTCACCGAGGCACCAGCACATGGGGGATGTCACGGCATCGGATACCTCCGTCAAAGCACTCGACGCACAAGTAAAAACCCCTGCTGTCACACACTCTGCAAGAATACCCACAGCCTTCCCCGATGCTCAGTGTACAGGTGTCGCACCAATCGGATTCAGGATCAAACGGAATAGAGGTGGCATTGACAGGAGCAAGGTCGTCAGGAACAGGACTGCCAGTCTTTTCGGCATGCTGCAGTAGGAGCTGAAGGACTCGAAGATTGCCAGTGCGCCGCGCCCACCAGAAGAGACTCTGGCCAAAACCGTCTTGGCCCTCAACGGTCATGCCTCCGGCCGCGAGTAAAAGCTTTGCTCATTAATTATCAGCAGCCCCCGGCGAGGCTATGGCAATCGTCATCATCACACATATAACTTTAAGAGTCCTAGCAATACCAGCTGCAATACGTCTCAGGGGCATTTTATTGACTATGCTATCTTTCTGGGAAAGTCGTCAGTCGAAGGAGGCTGTCCTGTAGGACAGTGCACTTCTCATCCCTACTTTAGGTCTGATTGAGATTTGAACGATAGGCTTCATGCAGGAGCGGCTACTGCGGATATTCTCAAGTCCAACAAGCAGATACGTTTGTATAGTCTATATGATACCGGAATCTGTTGGGCAGATGCCGTTAAGAAAAAGACAAGTTTAGGCCGGTATGAGACCAAAGTCCTATGTAGGTTAGAGACTGTTAAGAGCCCTCGCTAGAACTTGGCAGCAGGCTTGGACGAACACAAGCAAAGAAAAAAAGTGGCGATGAGCGACTCCTTCGTTATTATTGAGCCTCGGAACCAAGCTGGAGGACCCCTGACCCTGCCTCCGCGCCTTAGACTAATTCGGGCATAGGGAGTCCTAAATCATCTCCGCAACTTAGACTAATTCGGACATGAGTCCGCAAGTTTACATGACGCTTCCACCGGTCTAGTAGAGTTTCAAACCCAACTACTACAAGTCCCCGCAACGAGCTAGTTTATATAACCTTTGATTAATACAAAAATAACTCTCTTAAGATATATAACTTGTGCTTGTATATATAGAAATCTATATATCTATCAGGAAATATAAGTTACAGATTAATCTAACCACATATAGTCTGATACAGCTTTAGGATTATTAAAGAAAATATCTAACTGATACTTCTCTGTCTACTCTCTTAACAATAGCACATCATTTAGGTGTTGGCTATTGACCTTTTCCGCCGCTAAAGAAGTGAGTCGGCACTTAACGGACACTGAGGCTACCGGTCCGCGGACTTGCTACCAGTCCGCGGGCTTATATGCGGACTTGTATGCGGACTTTTAAAATAAGTTGCGGACGAGTGGAGCTGTATTGACTCAGTAAACCAGCTAGACCTCAGAAACTCCGCAGAGACCGTCTTGGCAAACACGGTGCCTGTGCTCCACAAATACGATTTCCCCCCAGCCCGAACATCCAGCTCGCAAATATAAGATATCTCGATACCTATAAATTCATCAACCTCCAGATCTTCGAGACCGAGAATTTCCCTCGTGCAACACACTCTTATGCCAACCTAAGAACAACCCCAATAACTTCAATCAAGATGGCATTCGACATTCCAGCGCAACAACAAGCCTTAGTTCTCTCCAAGGTCGGAGAACCGATGACCCTCGAGGTACGACCTGTGCCCAAAGCGGGTCCTGGCAGTATTGTCATCCGCGTCCTAGCAGCATCCGTCCGAGCCAATACACCACATGTTTACCGAAACCCGGAAAGTGGGCACCCTTTGCCTCTTCCATTCGTGCCTGGTTTTATGGCTATTGGGAGGATCATCGAAGTTGGACCTGACGCAACGAAATTGAAGCCCGGCCAACTGGTGATTTTTAACCCTTATATTGTGGGCCGGGACAATTCGGATTCGCTCTACGTTTCTGGCCTCATGGAGTGGTTCACTGAAGGTAGTAACATTCTCTCGCGTGGGGAGTGGCGAGACTCAACCTATGCGGAATACGCCAAGTTACCACTTGAAAGCTGCCATCCGCTCGACGAACAGCGTCTTCTCGGAGGCCTAAAGGATGGGGGCTTAGGGTATACACTAGAGGATCTCACCCACCTCTTCAGTATGCTTATACCATTCAGCGGGCTCACGGAAATCGACATCAAGGCCGGAGATACCGTCATTATTGCCCCTGCCACAGGGCGGTATGGCAGTGCTGCTGTTCACGCTGCCTTGGCTATGGGAGCCTGTGTTATCGCCATTGGCCGGAATGCCACTGTTCTTTCACAACTGAACACTATCAGCCCGCGGCTCAAGACGGTACAAACCACGCAAGACATTGGCAAGGATACAAATGCATTGCGCTCTGCAGCTCCTGGGGGTGTGGATGCATTCTGGGATATGTCGCCAGCAGCAGCTGGGGCTTCAACACATTTCCGCACTTGCCTAAATGTTCTAAAGAGCGGGGCACGAATAAGTCTTATGGGAAGCGTTGTGTCTGGGTTCAGCTTTAGCTATATGGACATACTGATGGGTGGGTTCACTATCAAAGGCTCACGAATGTGTACCCAGGAGCAGACAATGAGGCTTCTCAGACTAGTTGAGTTAGGTGTGTTGCAACTGGGAACAAAGGCAGGAATGGGGCCTGTTAAAACTTTCCAGCTTGTGCAATGGGAAGAGGCGCTGAATGCAGCTGCTGAGAGAACTGAGCCTGGCGAGATAGTTATTACCCCTTAGTCTATTCTTAGAATGAGTTGCGAACTAACACAATAGAAATTATGCAAATATTATCCTGGTGAAGACCTAAAGAATAGGTCAGAACTCTTATATTTTGACTTGAATAGTATCTGTGTAACTATACTAATTCCTCCCTAAGCTAGTTGTAAGGGGACAGATCCGTTATGTCACGGCCCAGGTTGGTACCAGGTTATCACAACCAGCAGAACTATTGCGCCCTACCTTTACTATTACCAAACTGTGACCTGTATTGCTCACTACGACGTTCTGATATTCTCGCTTATAAATTACACACCTTGGACCCACCCTAGACCCCTAGGATAAGCCCGACCGTCACAGCGCCGTTGCTGAATATGATGGAGAGAAAGCAGGGAGAGGAGGTACTGCAGGAGATAAGAATCATTAAGCGGGAGATGGGATTATTTAATGGCATGCGGTGTGACGCAGGTCCTGCGAGTGGAAGATAAGTGTCGAATGGCGTGTCCTTTGCGAGTATACTCGACGACACATGATATCAAGCACATACGATAACAGCTCTTGGAAACTACAGCGTCCCGCCAAGTTCCCTCATACATGTCAATAACTTCTAGTCCTAGTGACCTGTGCCTTGCGTACAGAATCAGAGGTCTAAAAGTCTACTAAATGAGAATTATATACATATACAGGCTATCTTCACCCTTGGCCCCCTATTCTTGTGCCCACTCCCTTTTGTCTCATTTTCTCACTCAAGAAATATATTTTTAGTAATCGCCTCAGATAACTAAGCATAACAACCAGGCACAAAAGCCGGATCAACACCCCTGGATATATCTGTAGTATTAGACGTGGTATTTACTCCTATTGCCAATATATTTGCAGCAGATCCGTAGTGCTTAAAGGACCGCACGCTGCCAGCACGTGGGGTGCCCCGCGTAACAAAAGTCGCGATCCAGCTCTGTAGGATACCTGCGATGTTAATCTCGGCCGGCGTTATTAGTGGGGGAGTAATACCGCCCACCCTGGTCTCCGGGCTGTTGTAAAATATATAAGGAACGTTCTGTATGTATATACCCAGTAGGGTAGCGAAAATATAGTTATATATACAGTTTTGCAATTTCTATAATAATATCAGCAAGTTATATATAAAGAATAACTTCTTGAAGGTAATAAGGCTATACTTAAATTAGCTTATATATCTATATAAGCTATTAAATACCTTTAGGTAAAGTATCTCTTTAATATATAAGATACTGGTATTTGAGATTCTGAGTATTATATTATAGATATATATTAAGTAGGCAGCTAATAATTTAACTGCTGGATTTAAGAAGAGGATGCCTTTATATAAATTTATATTAATAATATAATAGGCAGTTAGAGATGCTTGAGCTAGCTGGTTGCTAGTGGGGATATCTCTAGAGTGGCCCGGATAAGGTTAAAAGAGGAGGTCAGTACTGTTACAGGGGAAAATTATCGTCTTTTCATTTATCAGAGATTCTTCCTGGAAGTCTAAGAGACCGGAAAGGCTCGAGGCTGCTAGGAAGTCTATTAATTGATTGCCTTTATTTTTAAGAGATTCATTTAAGTCTATTCTTGCTGTTACTACATTCCCTGTTCAACCTCCGTCTTTAACCTCCCTCAGATATCGGGCTGCTGCTGTTGAATTGGAGGCATGGAACACCAGGGCTCCAGGGTGTCACGTGAGGAATAAGGGACCTATTCGGGCAGGGCTCGCCGAGCCCCCTGCCGGCTAGTCCGTACTAGGAAGCAAGGGAAAACTAGTCCCCCCTGACCGTAAGGGGCAGGGCACACACGTAACAGCTACACACACAATACACATACGCGTTCGAGGTCATTAAGTGGTCATTGAAGCTATCCAACAGCTGCAGGCCCTATTAATGCCTTGCCAGCAAACTTTCCTGCAACCGACCCGATATTCTATCTTATAAGATGCTTCCCTATGTGGAGATATAAGCCTCAGATTGATCCGATCTTATACGCGTAATCTGGTGCAGCTTCGGGCTGATCGGCCAAGACGCCTGTGCGACAACTCTCTGTGCATTTCCCCTAGGGTAAGTTAATGAGTTGGGTGTTGTTTTCCGTCCCTTCCTGCTGCTAAATTAAGTATAGAGTTTCCTTACTCTTTCCTTCGACTTTCCTTTTATAGAAAGGCGCAGTCTTGGAAACGTATTGCGCTGGCCCGATCATGATGCCCAGAGGACTCAGTGTAGCAGTAAGTGTAACCCAAGCAATCCACCATCGTCGTGTTGTGATACCCCCCAAGCATCGCATCAACCTAGCCACCCATCAGAAAACGCCTTCACCATAGGTTCTACGGAAAAAATGCTACTTCTAGGAGCTTCACAGCTTAATGGAAACACTCCCCGCGCAAGATGACCCTAGGAGTCTATTATTCCGTCATTTTGACTTGCGACCCGACGGTAAAGTTTTGACCAGCTGTGGGGTAGCAGCGACGTCGTGTTGAACCCACCTTAGGGCCAAGACCTGACCCATAAGGGTAGCAAGCCCTGGAGCGGACCTAGAAGTGGGGGAGACCAGCGGAGCCGGGAACGCGGCCACTGTCATTTATAGGGGACCGCACTGCTAGCTACTGCTCAATACCACCTTTGTATCTCACTGTATAGGACCCTTTGTGAACGACCTTCAAAACGTCGTCCTCTTTCGGCTGACACTCTTTTATTTCTGTAGCTCAGGCTCCGACCTATTGAAAAAAGCTGCTTAGCTAAGTTTCTCTGTCTCTGCGCTATATCTAATTGAATTAATCGTGAGCCAAGACTTTTAAAGTGGGACCGCGCTATACCCTTTTGAATTAATCGTAAGCCAAGACTTTCCACTGAGGAGAGAAAAATATGGGACTATGCTCATTCAGTTGCGTTTCTCCTGCTCTATTATATATCTCACTTTTGTTCTGTTTCGAATAACTTTTGTCCTCCGAACTCACGCGGGAACCCTAACCTCCATATTTTGATATGATCCGGGTGAATGCGTTGGCTTCAGCAGACATCGCGGTCTTCGTCTTTTTGGATCGAATAGGTGTATGGATCGTAGCGCAGATAGCTTTTTCGAGCACCGTGAGACTCTTAATTGATAGATCCGTCATGGACAATTCGATCATATCGATAGTCTACTATAGGGATGTTCTTGGGGCAAAAGATTGATCATTGTATTGAACTCTGGTGCTTCCCGCGAAAGAGGGGTATTTACGTCATGTCTCGTCACCCTTCCTGACTAAGGTCAGGATATCAATCTAGCGGAGGTTTCGTAATACAGGGTCACAATCCAACATATGTACCCCATTAATAATCAATGTGGGAAATTTAACTACTTTTAACCTTGGTTGGAAAACGCCCAGTTGAACAAGCCACAAGACATCTCAAGAAAACCTATGGAGGGCGAGGCACCGTGGGCGTTAGGTGTTATGTGGACCTTGACATCCATAACTCTCATCTTCGCCATCCTTAGATTGTACACGCGTGTCGTCATTGTCAAAACCTTTCGTGTCGACGACTTTATGTACAATATTGCCTTTGTGAGTCGAGTCCGCCCTGAACTCCATCGCTGCAAAATAGTCATTTGCTCATTGAGTCTGTCTAGTTTCTCCTACTTCTATACACAGTTTTTATACAATTGTCGGCAAACTATGGCTTCGGCCAGAACATGTTCGAGATTAAAGACGTTGAGAATGCGGTTCGGGCAGTCCTGCTCGAGGTAATCGGGCAAACCTTTGCTATTATTGGTATGGCAGCCGCGAAGTGGTCTCTCGGTCTTTTTCTCTTGCGCCTTGTCGACGTCAACATGATATGGCACAGGATGGCAATCTGGGCTGTCATGGTAGGTCTTATGTTGACTTCCATCTCGGTCGTCTTCATCTATTGGCTGCAATGTACTCCGCCCGCGTACCTCTGGGATCGCCAAATTCGGGGGGGCTTCTGCCACATTAATTCCGTGCCGGCTGCTTTCACACTTTCCAGTACGTATGTGCCTACCGAGGAAGTCGGAATTACCACGATGGGACAGTCGAAGGTTTCTTGTTTAATTGCTAACATGATGTCCATCAAGTTTTCTGTATCTTCGTCGACTTCTTCTTCGCCATTTTCCCCTGGATATTACTCTGGAACCTTAGCATGGACAAGAGGGAAAAGTTTATTATTATGGGCAGTATGAGTCTCGGCGTCTTGTAGGTCACGATTCCCTTCTTAACCAGGCTTGTCGTTATTGCTATGCTGACTTACGCACAACATAGTGCCGGCGCCTGCGGTATCAAGAGGACAATGGAGTTACCCAACTTGACCAAGCAGAATTACCTAAGTGCGTAGTTCCTTATTATCACTGGCTGATTGAGGCACAAAAGTGGCCGAGAAGCATTACTGACCAACCCACCTATGAGCAGAGGAAACCGTCAGCGCGATCGTTTGGTCTGCCGCCGAGATCGCCGTAACATTGATATGTATTGGTATTCCGGTCTGCCGGCCACTCTACAAGCGTATCTGCCAGAAGCTGACGTCCAACGTTGCCGGCAGCTCCACAAACCCTCCCAGCGCCGTGGTCTTGGCGGTACGCACTGTTGGCGGCCGTGTGGTAGTCAGACACCCAAGACAGTGATGCTCTGCGTTGGCTGGATAGTTGATAATTAATTTCGGTAAGGAAAAAAAGGGATACTAAGATTACCTGGTAGGTTGAGTAGTCCTTACGCCCCCACCTCTCTAGAAAAGAGGTGGCATCAAAATCCGTAGATATATACAAATTGTATGTCTTACTACTAATGTACTAATATATTTTAATATTATAATATTATTCAATTTAATTAAAAAATATTATTATATAACATATATAATCCCTCGATAAGGGAACCTAGTGTTTGAATTTACTGCATTTTCGTTGCGCGCACGTCACAGTTGCCGAGGCCCAAGTTTTGGGTTTCAAGCTGCTTTTTTCTTCTCTGCCGGAATCCTATCTAACTTTTTCAACCCAGTCTAACCTTGATAAATACACTGAAAACTCCCACGACCCGACCTCTAGAACGCCCCGAGATCCCCAACGCCGATGATGACCCGTTTAAGTCATTCAAATCCCCCCTCTAGCCAGCACCCTATGTGGCTAGCATCCGTACCAACCTAATGCAACACAACAGCTCCTGGAACTAGGGGTCGTATTGGGCCCCGGTAATATCCTAGAGGAAGACTTGACTCCTTGGATTGGGATTGTTAATATTTTCGGCTAAGTTGTAAAGTATAGCTATTTCTATTTAGATATATAGAATAAGATTATAAATAAGAATTTAATTTTTTTACTTATTAATTCTAATTTTATTATTAAGAAGTAAATAATATTTAAAAATAGCTAATATAATCTATTAGCTTTTATTTAAATATTATAAATAGTATAGTAATAGCTTAAATAGATTTTTTTTTTAAAAAAGCTTAAGAGGAAATTTAGCTTCTATCTTTCTAATTTATCTTTTAGATTCTAAGAGAATTTAAGATTATATTAAAATTAGGATTTATAATATAGATATAATAGGTTATTTCTAGAAAAAGCTACTTAAGTGAAATTTGCTATATTAAAAATTAGTTATAATAGGATAAGTATTAAAAGGGAAGTTAGTCTCTTAATAATAGGAGATATTAGTCTCTCTTATATTCTATTACTTAGAATAAGGTTACTATCTTAAGGTTATTAACTGTAGATAGTAAGGTTATTAATTGCAGATAATAGGGTTGAAGTTAGAGGGGTTAAATAGAAGCTTTAGGCAGAGACTAGTAGGTAATAATCTTATTATTTAGCTACTATTTCTTCTAGTGCTGGGTAAAATACTTATTATTTATTCCTACTATTTAAGATTACTATATAGCTTTGATCTATCTGATGATATTAAGTAAAGCTAAAAAAACCAAATAACGTATATAATAAGCAAGCGGCGCAAACAAGCAAGACCAAAATGCAAATAACTAGATCAACTTCAAGCGTCTCTTTCTTCCGTCTCACTACTTACTTTCCAGAGAAGTTTCCCTGTATATTTGTGAGCGATATACACTCTTCACAGAACCTTGGGCGCACAGAGTATCTTGTATTTAAATCAGAGATGCAGGACATCGGCAGAACCTGCCGATTGTCGGATAATTAATTCTGCCGGGGCCGGATATGACGGATGCAGCATTAGGAAAAAATGCCTCATCTGGCATCTATCTCGATACGAGACACTTCTTAATACCACAATGGCGCCAAAACAACTCAATTTTATCACAGGAAACAAGAACAAGCTCTCGGTAGTAAAGGCGATCCTAGGCGATACGGTCAGCCTGCAGAGTCAGTCGTTGGATTTGGTGGAAATCCAAGGGACAATCGAGGAGATTTCAGTGGATAAATGCCGAAGAGCTGCAGATGCTGTTCGTCTTCCGATCTGACAGTCCTTTGAAACTGCAGCTGATAGTTTGTAGATTAAAGGCCCGGTGCTAGTTGAAGATACATGCTTATGCTTTCATGCATTGAAAGAGCTTCCGGGTCCGTATATGTATGTAGGGCATACCTTGTTAATAGCTTGAATTTACTAATCTATGTTCTATAGCAAGTGGTTCTTTGCAAAGCTTGGGCACGAAGGACTTAACAATCTTCTCGCCGCGTACCCTGATAAGTCTGCCCAAGCAGTATGCACGTTTGCTTACTGCGAAGGACCTGGCCATGAACCCGTCATCTTCCAAGGTCGCATTGATGTAAGTTCTCACCGCCATCTTCTATTTCCCTTCCTCTGTCTGACCAAAATAGGGCAAGATAGTATCAGCAAGAGGTCCAACAAATTTCGGTAAGATATGGAATCTTGCATTTTTATTTTACTTTTACCAGATGCTCAATCTTTACAGGCTGGGATCCGATATTCGAGTACAAGGGGCAGACGTATGTCATGAAAATTACCCTGCTCTCACACACTCTAAAAGGCTAACTTTGCAATACATCAGATATGCCGAGATGGACGAGGCAGAAAAAAACAAGATCTCACATACTTCACGAGCATTGGATAAGCTGAAGAGGTGGCTGGAAGAATCGTAGATGTCATACATATAACTGATATATATCGAAAATTTGGAAACTTAATTATCTAGAGAGGTACAGAGGTTAGGCTTCCGGTCTCGGGTTGGGAACACGGATTACGGAGTGGCGAGGTACCCAATTAAATAGACAGACTCTATTGATACGCACCCAACTCTCAATTTAGGCGCACCCCCCCTTCCCCCACATTCAGCCACAATGCCTCCGACATCGCCCCGTGAGCTATATCTCCGGCATTTCCAACAATGCGGCCCACAACCATAGAAAATAAGACAAGACTAGTCCTAACTTAATTGTAGCTACCTTTGGTGCTAAGGCAGTATTGAACTACCTTGATTGTTAAATTCCTCCCCGGGTAACTTCCTAATCTGTTGTAACAGTAATGCTATTCCAACTTTTTCTTTTCCTATTTTCTTTCCAGGCGACGACTCTCTTATTTCCGGGTTTTCTTCTACTTCAAGAGTAATATACCGCTTAATTAGCTTATTTGTATCTTTCTATCTTTTTACCTATTAACAAGCAGCTTAAGTTATTACTAAAATAGTAACTTTACGCTATTTTTACTGAGGTTATTAGTTATATAAGTTAGCTATATCTTCCTTATTAAGAGTTAATTCTAGTTTAAACTGGGAGTAATTTTAATATACTAACCTCTATATACTACTTTATATTAAGCTTTAAGAGGCAAATTCTTATTCTGGAATTGTATATTTATTGCTAAATAGTTTGCTATTTTATAGTTAACTCTTAGATATCTCTATTAGAGGATGTTTTATTTAAAGAAGAGGATTGTTAATATCTTGTAATTATTTAATATAATAAAATAGATTTAAGTCTTTTTTCTTTAGTAGTTTATTTTAAAAAGCTAACTTTAAGAGTCTATAAGTATAAGATAAGCTATCTGAGTTTTTATAGAGCCTGTATAAGATAGTAATATTTTCTTAAAGACCTTATTTAATTTTATAAGCCTGTGGATTTTATAAGCTGATTTAATATCTAATAAGTAATAATTAAGAATAACTAGCTAAGCTATTCTCTTTTTAAAAACTGGTTTTAAATAGTAATATTTACCTGCTATATTTTATCTTTATATAGCTGATATTTATTATCTATCTAACTAGCTATTACTACTTTAATATTAGAGAGATTAGACTAAAGAAATAGATAGTAGGTTTTTAGAGAATAATAATTTAATTTAGCAGGTACTGTAGTAGTTGTGATGAATTCTTGGGCCCGCTCATGTAGCCACTACAGTATAGTTACTCAGATCGCTTATTGAAACTACCATCGACCCTCCAACCCCTTTTACCACTGAATGCACCGACTCCCGTGAATTCTATTGTCGATGACTTTCCCGTCTTTTCGCACATGTGGCTAGAGGTGATGACTAGAGTCTGCTGTCAAGACCACAAACGGTGAGACTGTTTTTATTTATACGCCTGAGATGCGGCTAGGAACGTTCACCGGGGAGTTACAATATACAGAGCTGGACTGGGCTGTTATAACGAGAGTTCCCGCCGTGACCCTGATTGGTAGAGAGTCAGATTTGGGGCAATCAGGTGAAACGAATGATGAGAAGAAAAGCTGGGCTACGAGGAGACGAGAGATCCGAAATACTACACTCGTTCCTGTACTTCTTTTAGCATAATGCTTACAGCTGGGTTCCTCGGCAGGTAGTCTCCAGGAACAGAGGGGAGGCGATTCAAGGGAGTCTTCAAAATTGAGAACCACAAGGCGAGGGTATCTTGGTTGTTGTCGGCGGCTTTGTCCATGTCTGCTCTCTTTATCCAATCCGTACCTAGATGCTACCCGTAAAGACCTCGGCAATGGAAGCTTTGCAGATCGACTTCGGATATTCTCAACGGCCCAGATGCTCCGATACTGAGAGCTCATTGCCCGACACGGCCGAATAACTACGTGGGCGCCCAAGGACGCAATCCTTGCCGACAGTAGTCCCTCCTATAGTAAACAGGCCCTCAAATCTAGCGGCTCTGGGTTATTATACGGCTGAACCAGTTTGACGTCATTGTCCTCAGACGGGAAGTGGAAAGGGTCAGTGTCCAAGTGGTGGTTTTCAACATTCTTTTTGAGGAATCTTTCTGTATTGGCGAGCAGATTCTGTGGAGGGGATAATAAAGTCATTACTGTAATAGCAACACATCTTGTCACCTCCTTTATCTCTTTGGGCTACCTTCGTCGATACAGAACGACTGTCATCCCAGATCAACCCGATGCCGAATCTCCGGGTGACGGCTATATTGTCTAGATTTTTCCTTTTTAGCTTTACTCAATATCATCAGATAGATCAAAGCCATACAGTATTTTCAAACAATAGAGACAAACAGTTAGTGCTTCACCCAGCAACAGAAGAGACAGTAGCTGAACAATAATGTTGTTGCACACTAGTCTTTGCCTTAAGCTTCAATTCAACCCTTCTGACTTCAACCCTGCTGTCTGCAGTCAACGACCTTGCTATCTGTAGGTAACAACCTTGAGATAGTAACCTTATTCCGAGCAATAAGATATAAGAGAGGCGTCTCCCGTCGTCGAGAGGCCAACTTCCCTTCCAACAATCATCCAATTTCTTCAACTTCAATCATCCGATTTCAACTTCCATCGCTATTTATTCTATAGATTCTAAGCTTTAATATATTTTGAAATTACTGGACCTGTGGCCCCAAGCCCCATACTTTCGCTGAACGTACGAGGTGACTATCTCCTTCGCTAGTTAAGAGTGATGTCCAGCGAAGCTAGGCCACCGCACAACTGCAGGGTCGTATTCGGTTATGGCGCATACTGTGGATATGCGGCGTACTCCCAGGGGATGCTGTTCTGCATCAATCGAGTCTGAAGGCCATCGGTACCAATGCCAACGTATAGGAACTTAGTGGCAGCAGCTGAAGCATAGAGGTGAATGGTGTGCCCGACGGGATGAAGACAAGATCGCCCTGAATCAACTTCGCGGTCTCACCGTTAATAGTAACCACGAGTTGGCCATCCTCCACTTGCAATGAGGTGTGCTCGGTCAACATCACCTCAGAGGCTGTCATGTTGGGTAACAACGGGCTCATTGTAATGGTGCCCATAGTAAGATTGCCAGCGCTCGTGGTATCCGTCACAAGGGGCGTAATGATTTTGTAAACGCCTTCTTCGCTGTTGAGATACTTCGGCCCCCAGTTCTTGGCGATGTAGAACGGAGTGACCGAATCTGAGGGTTGCTCGTTGGGTCCGTTATGCCAATTACCGGAGCCTGCCATGCCATTCACGTCATCCCGGCGAGGGGAAAACTCGTGCAGGACAAAATGATCATAAGCCTCTAGAACTTGACGAGAGGGAGTATTTTCGGATGGAGGTTGCTCCGCGGGCAAGAATGCAGACCCAATTTCCGAGGGATATGAGCCGTCTTGACGGATCAACAAGAGCTCTTCGAAGCCGCCAGGCTGGATGACAACTGTGTATGAAGTGTCTGGGTCGACCATCTGAAAGGTATGGATTGTGTTGTGGGCGACGCCGCCGAAGTCGCCCTGTGTCAGGACACGAGTATTTTCCTCCGAGTCGGATTCGTTGAACTTCGTCCACAATTGCACGCGACCCCTGGTGCAGTAGAAATTCTCGTAAAACCTCTTGTGTATATGTGGTGGGACGGCTAAGGTATCTGCCGTGAAAGAGTTCACTTGCAGCACGCTGAAGGAACCTGCAGATGAGTTGCCAGTTACCGAGAGTCGAGTTATCTGATTGACAAGCCGTGCACTTTTGCCGTAGTTTTTGGACAGTACGTATGGACGAAGGTGGTCCGGAGCCTCTGTGACACAGAGACCTGTGTAGGAGGATGTCTCATCCTCTGTCAACGGGGCAGAGGTGCCGATAGCCGACAGAGACAACAACGTTGCCGCTATAGCAGCTGACTTCATGGTGGGCAGTGAGTAACGAGGACAAAGGGCAGACAAGTGATAGTGTTGCATCTAGCAGATGGAAATGATCATATATATGAGAAACTCTTGATATTCTTCCTATCTAATGAGGGTCTTTGGGTTAGTCTTATAGACGAAGAAAACGATGATCACCTCGGATGACTTCGGACAGCCGAAACGCTCCGGATGCTTCGGGGTCTTTGGCTTTATCTAGTTATTGACCTGAATGAAGGAGAAATTAGGCCGCTGACGAGGCCGCTGACAAGGCAGGCGGCGATGGACGCCTATGACGATGAAGGAAAAGCTTCACTTCCGCAATAGCCGTTGAAATCCGATAGCCAAATATGTGACAGATAGTCTGGCAAGGTTCTTCTAGGAATAATGCATAAATCAAACCAATGATAGTGTTGAATAGTACAGCCCTCTATCGACTTGCAAGTCACTTTTAAAAAGAATTGCGGTCGGGTTGACTGAGCACTCCGGCGCCGACTTCTCCTTTTCCACGTTCGGGATCGGGGCGTTCGGTGCGGACATAATGCTAGTAGCGAGAGGGGTCTTATGATCTTCACGTTTTCACAGAGGTTAGTCTTTATGTCTCTCGTATCCTCACCTCAATATCTCCGAATGCCGGAGAAGATTAAACGCCAATTGGTGAGCCTTGAATCGGGCCATCCCAGTCCCCGATCCGTGCAGGGAAAGAAAGGCCATGCGCCATCGGACATAACCAGGACCCGCTTCCGCGTCGCCCGGCCATCCGGCTTACTGTTCCCAGAATGGCCACATATATGCTAACAGTGATTTATCTCCGTCAACTAACTCATTCGTGCTGCATACAGTTTAGGCTTCGCGGACATACGGTATTAATTTTAGCTCTATTGCTGCAGTTCTCTATTTATCTCAGTTTGGTAGCGTCTACTCTATGCCTCAGCTTATACTGTTCCCTTCCTTAGATTCTACTTTATCCCAATTTGTGTAGATATTAGTATTAATACTATCCTTTGGGATACTGAGTGTAGTTACTTTTATCTAGCTAGTATTAGAAGTCCTACTCTCTTACCTTTTATAGCTTATATCTTATTACTTTATTAAGTAGTAAAGAGCTTATTTTAAGCTTAAATAAAACTCTTATATAATACTTCTTATTAAGTAGAATATATTTTAATAGTTTTCTAGAAGTAAACTATATTTACTAATTTAATGTTTTTTAATTTAACCTAAAAGTATTATATCAGCAGCTAGAAAAAGCTTTTATTAATATTATTTATAGTTAGTTAATATAGAAATACCAACTGGGGCTCGGATTTATTAACGCCTATATAGGCTAGCTTAGGGCCCACCTTCCGTATTAAGGATTTCTGCCCGCATTAAATATAAGCAGTCGGAAACCGAAAAGCAGAATTAGTCTTAACGGCAGAATTAAGAGAGGCAGGCCTCAGATGTACCGTCGACCCCAGCTGCTTCTCGGTTGTGGGAGCAATCTCCGGCCCCTTCCCGTGGCTCTTGGCGCATACTTCCCTAATTTTAGAGTTTGGCGGATAGGGCGGGCCTCATGCAACACCCGAGCGGACAATTAAGTCAGTTAATGACGACTCTCGCGGGTTATGTCTATTATAAGAGAGCACCCAATACAAACGTAATGCAGGCCACAGCTCCCACGAATCCAAGACACCAGAGGCTTCAATCATAATTACAATGTTGTTCAACCCCTTCATTTTCGTTTTGGGAGTCGTGTCCAGTGGTGCCCTCGTGCGCTGTGCCCAAGGCCCAGATGATGTCCTGGTTGCTGGCATTGAAGCGCTGGGTGGGCTGGACAATATCTCACGGATTCAGACGGTTACTTATGTTGGCGAACGGTGGGATTTCCGGGTAAACCGATGACTCGAGACATGTTTTACTGACCAGTAGCAGGATTTACCGAACAAGGACATTGATGGAGACATACTCCCTTACAGGCCTTGATAGGTTCATTTCCACCACTGGACGACAAAACATTTCTTTCTCCTTCGATGGGCCGGACATCAAACAACGCATTGACAGATTCCACCAGTTGGATGGTATGGAAACATGGCCATTCTCTTCGATACCAATAGCGACGTTACTGATGCTTTTTAGCTGTCTGGGCATTTGCTAGACCGCTACTTGAACCCTTTGACTTTTCTCTCGTTGTTCGAGGTGGAGAGGAAGGCTTTGCAGCAGTTGTCGAAGGGAGTTATAACCTGTACGCGCCTGGGGCCCCGCCGTCCGGCTACACAGATGGTTAGTGCGCGTCGCATAATAATATTGGACTTTGACTAAGAAGTTCCTCTAGGATTGCAAGCAGCGTTTCACATAAGCGAGGCGTATAAAATGTCACCACTTCTGTTGTCGACCATTTTCTCCAGAAACTACACCCAATTCGAAGAGGAGATCTCGACAGGAGAGAAATTAACTGCTGGTTCGTCCAGAATCTGGCTTTACCCAACCCTGCGTCTATGCCTACTAACATTCTTGCTAGTGTACGATGCTGTATTGGACCTCACAGTGATCTTCAACCCTAATACCAGTCTTCCTTACATCATCCGCTCATATGAGAATCACAAATTCTTCGGCCGATCCACACACGACCTACTGGTTCATGAGTATATAGAGATCGCAGGCGTTATGTTTCCCCAACGGCTCAAGACCATCTACAATGGGGATTTGCTCCTAATGGATTATGTTGCTGACGAAGTGTTGATTAACCAAGTCGCGGATCTGGCATTCTTCAACGGCCCTGAAGGCTTCACGGCATCAAACACACCTGCTCGCCACGACTCCTACGACTTTTCTGAGATTGGGGAGTATTCAGCCAGCTACATGTGGACGGGACAATATACCGGGACATTGGCAAATCTTTCTGCAGCCAGTCCGTACCCAGACCTTCCAGGGGCATGGGTTCTGACCTTCCAGGACGCACCTACGTATCGACAGATGGTTTTGGAGTTGGACGACTCCGTTATCGTATTTGATGCACCAGCGCATCAAAGCATCTTAGTGATACAGTGGGTCAAAGAAACCCTGGGGAAATCTATAACACGTGTTTGGGTAATATCCGATAATCCGGGGCTTGTGAGAACGATTTCAAGGCCTTAGCTAACTTCTAAAGCCATCCCATCACCACCACGATCACGCTTTGGGAATAGCAGACTACGTAGCTCATGGAGCGAAAATTATCATTATCGAACAAGCTCGGGATTACTATTCGAACATACCAGGGAGCCAATTTCTTACTTACACGTACGATTGAACTGAAACTTTACCTAAAACCTGCTCAAACTAACTACCCTTTAGAACTAACACTCCAATGGTTCTCAATGGTACCACCATGCAAGTGACTTTCACGCATATGAACGGATCAATCCATGCTTTCGACCACAGCTATGCCCACATCTCACCATCGTGTACGATCGTCAACAGCACCTCGCTGATCTTCGATGCGGATCATGCAAATCCACTCGTCTTGGATGTCGGAGACCATGGAGGTATACTTGAATTAGTTGATAGAATGGCAGATGACCGAGTTGCCAGCGAAACAATGTAGGTCTTAGTAAATCTTGGAGGTTACGAATGCCAGCTAATCAGTAAACTAGAGTTGTCAGTGCTCATGCTGACCCAACTCCTCTAAAGGTCTTCGTCGAGGCAATAGGATACCGTTACCCGGATTATTCTACACTAGAATACAAATTCGGAGTTTCTGTATGCTCTTAAGACAGGGTAGCAAACTGGGGTCTCAATAATGGTAGGCGGAAACTGCCTGTATATTTGTATAGAGATTATTCCGCTCGTTTTAACATGACCTAAGAAGATAATAGTAAGCTACGTACTTCTGTTGCCTGGAATTTTGCACGACTTTATTTAACAGAAGCCCTCGAAGTGTATGAAGTATGCTGAGCAAACACTCGTCCGAGAACCCGTCTCCTCGACAATCTTCGAAAGTGCTTTGAACCGACAAGCTACCCGTCTATAATTGCCCGCACCCTGGTTCGGCGAGTCACTTTAGAGAATACTTGAGACAGGAGTAGGTGTGGGAATGAGCCTAGAAACGGTACACAATGAAGTTTGGACTCGTCGGCAAAGGCCGCAATGAGAGCCTCGGTGTTGTTCATCATTTCCTCAACAGAGTGAATTGGCTTCCTCTCTTGTCGGACAACCTTTCCATCAGTCTCATCTAAGCACTCGTTGAAGACCGAGTCCATGTACCAAGTCACCTGGCCGCGGTATTCTTCTTCTTCAGGGTTCGCGAAGTCGTCAATCAGGGACGGCAACTGCATGTTGCCGTGCAACCAGAGCAGTCCATGCGGGTGCAGGCTCCCTTGTTCGTGCTCATCAAGTTCTAGCTCTCCACCTATTAAGCTAAACTTCCAAGATCCGGTCCCTTCGTTACTCGGCTTTGGATCATCTAGATGGCAATCTTTAGCAAACTCGCTCGCTCAGCTGGACACCCGTCTACTACTAGTCATGCACATGAGTGAGCCCTTCAGTTCACTCCACCTTCGTAATTTTGCCGAGTATGTGTGTTGATTGCTACGCTAGCATGTACAAGCGAATGAAAAGACCAGCGATGTGATAATATGCCAACCCAATCTCTCAACATCCACACCACGGCCGTGATCCATCACTAATCCACCCCACATCGTATCAAGCAAAGATCGAGGGAGACGCGAGCGGCAGATTCAAGTATACAACTTTGTAAGGTATTCTCTGCATCCTTATTCGCAATCCTAACTAACCTCCTCGACACTTAGATCTGTCGGAAGCGAGCTCAGGTTAATGAACATCTGCTCTCTGACAATTCCTTAACATTCAAACACTATTAAATCTTAGTATTAAGATTCTGTATAGCTCAAACTAATAGCAAGATATCTTTTATTCCACATAACAAAACATCTGCTATTTTAACTATCCACTTATCAATAGTAAACTTCTAGAAAGTTTTACACTCTAATAGAAACTGCATAGGTTGCCACATCACTCTGCAATAACCTAGCACTCAAGTGCGGCATCAGAGGTCGGACGCTCACGCAGTGGCCACCTGGGTCCTCTGTTCCACTTCGAGAAACTCCTGAATAGAATCCCTCACAGTTTCTTCCAAGGCACGGTATTCGACGCCTAGTACCCGAGTAAGTTTAGTCCCATCCACCTGGTAAATGTGCTCCAAGGCCTTTGGTTTACCGGTCCCCGGCTCGCCAACAGGAATACGATGTTTGATCTCGGGAAAAGCTTCTCTTGTGGTATCAGCAACACTTTGCCAGTCGAAGTGGTGGGCCACCAGAAACCTCTCGCCAGCGGCCTCAGGAGTTTCCAAAGCTGCTACCGTAAATGCACCAACATCCCGGACGTCGACGCCACCCCCGAACAGGAGGGTTGGGATGGATTCAGCGTCAATAATCGACCAGAGCATCGCTCCAGTCGAGGCTGTCTTGGTTGAGTCGACTTGACCCAGGTGTGGACCCACGATGAAGGATGGATTGACGCAGACGACGTCGAATTTAGGGTTCTTTTTGCTGACCCAGTCCCAGACGGCTCGCTCTGACAATGATTTTGAAGCAATGTAGAGCTCGGAGTGATTATCCAAAGCTGCGGCCTCGTCAAACGTAACCGGATTCCAGTCCTTTTCCGTATAGTTGTAGCCCGGGCGGAACCCTTTGGCGGGATCTAGGATACTGGAGAAAGAGGACAACTGCACCACGCGTCTGCATACAGACGATTCCAACTGCGACACAGCATCCAGGATGGCTGTCGCGCCTTTGATAGCAGGGCCCAGCATATCACAGACATTGTCCTGGACATCTCCATGCACTGGGCTGGCGGCATGGATGACGCCCGCAATTCCCTCGTCAAGAGCATCGCGGTAGGATTCGGGTTTGGTCAGATCCGTGACGAAGACGGTTTCGAGCCGAGTACCCCAGTATTGAGGCAATGCAGTACGGACCTTATCAGCTGCTTTTTGGGATCTCACAGTGCCACGGACGTTATACCCTTTTTCCAAGAGCGATTTGATGACGTGAAGAGTGACATAGCCGTTCGCGCCCGTGACCAGGATTGTCTGCGCTGATGGTGGAGCCATGGTGCCGTAGGTGATAGAGGAAGTAAAAAAGAGGAAATAAAAAATGTAACATGTAAGTTGGTAAATATGTCAGTATTTGCAAACTACCACTAGGCTCTCGTTCTGTTTTTAAAATGGCAGAATTTAAAATCTCCTGAGGGCACAACGGAATTTACAGTTAACTCCGCTATTATAGGTATAGTGGAGATGAAGGTTTACGCTCAGCAAGGCTTTACGCAAACCCACACACACCTCGCGACTCAGCCGTCCTGGGTGAGTTTGGATTTTAAGCTTAACTCCGATACTACGAATGCTAAAAGAGCTGAAAGGCAGACAGCTCAGCTGCAAAAGGCGCCTCGAACTAACCAACTGTAACATGCGCGCAACGCCAGGCTATCTGAGGGGTAGCGCCGGGCTAGAATACTGGTTGAACCATTTAAGTAGGGGTCCTGACTTTATCATCCTAGGTATATATATTTTCTAGAAGAAGCTAAGGAAAAAGGTAGCCTAGAGAATGTCAGATAAGAAAAGAATCCCAGTAGTTATTATAGACTTCTTGCTGTTATATTACTTTTAAAAGCACTTTCTGTAACTTAATTTAATAATATTATAATATTAATTCTAGCTTACTTTAAGAATCTTATAACTTTTTAACTTAAGTAGTAATTTAGCTACTGCTTTTTATTACTTTAATAAGTATTAAATAGCTTAAAATTTATTATATATTTACTGTATATAAAGTATTATCTATTTTTCAAAAATTATAGTTTATAATATCATTCTTTATTCTTTATTTAAATACTTAAGCTTAAAGCTAATAGCTATAACTTGTATTTCTTATACTTATATAGCTTTATCTATTACTATTCGCTATAATAACAGTTGTAGAAGATCTTAAAAGGGACTTTATAAATTCTTACAGCAGGTAAAATATATAATTCTCAGTTATTTTAAAGGGCTTAAAGAGTAAGAATGATATTTGCCTCTTAATTTAATTGTGACATATTTTGTAGTTGAGAGATTATTGGTTAAATGAAAAGAGAGGAGGTTGAGGGATTTTTGTCCGACTCGCTTATGCGTCCGACTCGCTTGTGGAGTACATTACTCTATTATCTCCGTGATTCAGACCATTCGGAATTATATGGGTGTGCCGAGGCAGTTTAAACCTATCAGTTAAGTTTTCACTACGTGTTTTCTTAATCCCCCCCCCCCCCCATCCAGGCCACATGCCAGTATTCCAGCGAGCCAGTCTATATCCGACACAAGTTAAAGGTCTAGAGAAGCCCGAGATTTGGACTTGTCGGACCCAGATTTAGTAAATTGTCAATACTATGGAAATTGATAAATGTGTGCGAGACATGATACAAGTCGATTAACTGGTAGACTGCAAAGTTAAGAAGAGGCAAAAAGAGAGGTAGTAGGTCACAAGTTAAGCTCTCCAATAATGCATTACGTGTTAGAATGCCGTAAATCGGAATTCTTTAATCTTCGCCAGATACTAACAAAATATTAAGACCACACGAAATTTCCATAGTCTGACATTAGAGTATATACATAGAGAGCTAGCTTTCACTTGCTTCATGCAGCAAAGAATGTACATCCTCCGGCCCAGGATACATTGTGAGCAAACACAGGCTTACGCCACGATCGAGGCACTCGCAGCGCCAAAGGAGTAATCCCGCGTCCAAAGGAATTCACCATCAGTGCCAGACGAGCAGGAATAGTAAATAGCGTCGAAGGTGCCAACTTCGGCAAGAGGGATAATCTTGAAGGTCACGGCCTTGTCAGTTGTGTGGGCATTGGTACCCCAGTTGCCACCGGGTGAGAGCCATGCATTCGACTGGGCACAGAACAGACGACCGGTTGGAATATTCTCCGAGTTACGCTCGACTGGACAGGGTTCGACCTCACTCAGCGCATTGCCCTCGGCGTCTGAAACGCGTGTGCAGGCAGCCCGAGCCTGTCCGATGAGGGCCACACTAGCCAAGGCAAGGAAGAACTGCATTATATATGGGTAAATTGGCTGCTTTGCTGAAACTTTATGTTAGCTTACGACGGAGAAGGAATATCTGCAGAATAGAGGCGTGTATGACTCACAGGCTTTGAGGGAAGTCTGGGCACGCTGTAGTTTGGTGTGAGTAAATTTAGGAATGCGTTGCGCGACAGGTGAGTAGCTTTTTATATTTGATGGGCAAGACGGGCCACTTCAAAATCCGGTAGCCAAGTCCGAAATTATTGCTTGATTTTGATCTCAGCGGTATATTGATGAATTACTATATCCTTAGTAAGCTCCTTTCCTGTGGGATAAAGAATAAACTTTGCCTCTGCATTCTGCCCTGTAGGCTCACGGCATTTTAGGAAACTTCAAACTTACGCCTTCTCTTTTGTAAACCCTAACGTACTTACTAATACACTTAGTTCTATCGTATTAACGATACTCTCTTCTCTGTTTATTACTTAGGGATCTCAGTTGTTAATCAACAAGCTAAGGAATATCCAGCACACATGTCACAAGTCGCGGGGTACGCTAACAGACATGGTTACGCGCCTCCCCACGTCACCGTGTCGCCAAGTGGACTGCCTTCCCCATGTAGTAACTATTCCAACGGAGGTAGTAGCGTCCGGCGGATGTTTATCGTGTCAAGACTACATTTAACATTGAGCCTCTAGCATAAGCCACTTCACGCCAGGGGGTCCGGCATGCACACGCCGATTTCTTTTCCTCGTAGTTCACTTCGGCTTTGAACATATGGACCCAGCTCGTTCTAATAAGATACCATGTTACGCGAGGCCTGATAGACTCAACCTTGACTTCATCTACGCACTGCGTATTCGCCTTGCATACATAAATCCTATAATTGTTATTAATCTCCATAGTTACATCAGCTCCTTCTTTGCCCGAACTAAACATGGGTCGGTCCCGACGGGCATCTTAACTTTATTTTAGCGTCTTTATTTACAGGGACTTATTATCCTCGTGTCTAACACTCTCCGCACTGCACCGGAGTTAACCATACGTACTCCGTCAAGCCGGGCATGGAACCAAACTAAAACTAGGACTAGTAGCCAACCCGCAGCGATGGCATCCAGAGGTCATAAGACTTCCATTGGAGGAACAGATCTCTACTGGCACAATACTGGTAGTTAGCCCCGCGTAAAATACAACATCGGCATTTTGATAGAGCCGAGCCCGCGAGTCCGAGGCCCGGCTAGGCCTGAGCTGACGAACTAATGTGACGAGTCTTAGCCAAGAACAGCCGTGTTGGGACCTCGCCGCCCACCCGGCCCATGCCCATCGTACTATGCCCATCGTACTCCGTAGACGCGACACAGACGCAATGCAGCGCCCATGGCACTGTGCTTCGTACCATGTCAGTGGCCGAGCGACCATGATCCATGATGGGATGGAGACCCCATGGAGACATGGAGCCACGCCCCTACATACATGGAGGCATCCCATGCGATGGGGGAGGGGTGTGTGCCCTAGCCGGCCTCACGTTGTTCTCTGGCTTCTTCCCTCCATTGGCCTTAAGCCGTCCCTCCAATGCTCAATGGCTGGTTGGCTGACGATAAAGCCCCCTTTGCTGCTGAGGGTTGTTGCCCCCCCCCCATCCCCCTCGCCCCTCACTGAAAAGCCGCCATAGCCCATGGGGATTACTTGGTACCAGGCAACCAGATCCCCCAGGGTAAGGGACTAGGATGCTACTCTAGCATGGGCCGTGGCTCCAAGCGCACATGTTCATATACGCAAGGGTTCGGGCGTCGTTCGTTCGTTAGCGGAAAGGATGTCAACGGATCCCCGAGGTGGCGGTTCACATTAGTAACAATGGATGTTTTTCTCATAGAGATGCCGTGCTTGGTAATGGTACACTGATGCAAAATACATCCGCACCCTAGCCGTGCTCGGGACAACATGGTGCTCCAGACGAACGCCGTAAACTCCGGCACTATTTCTAAAAAAAAAATAAAGCTACTTGCGGCATTCTAGAATTCTCTCTGTGCCTACTTTCCTCATACGGTGCGCGATCTGAACCTGGTCAAATTGTTGCGTCAGGTCGGCTAGGGCCGTCATCTCTCGTCCAATTCTCCCTGGACTCCATTGCAGGGGATCAAGGGAATCCTCCGAAATAAAGGGACGAGTAGATGTCCGGTTCGTAAAAGGCCCGTTGCAGAACAGCCTTCCAAAAGGCCGACGACTTGTACTCAGCAAGCGCAGGACGAGGTGGAGGAGAATTGTATCGAGCCGAAAATCAGGCAGCGCATACCCAATAGAAAATTACTGCCAAAATAGCTATAGAAATCATCTGATATCTCAATATGTGACAGAAGGGGGGCCAAAGTATTCTTGACGGTCTCTGCCGATGTTGCCGGATATGTCGCTCGGAGCAGTTCTGAGGGGTGGTCACCTTTGTGGGAATCGTCAATAGGACATGACAGGAGGGTCATTTCTTGGTGACGGTAAGTTACTCGGTTGTAAATGGCAAACTTGGTCGCCGATCGCCTTCCGCAGTTATTGGAGGCTTTGCTAGAAATTTGCATCAGTGAAGGGTCAGAAAGCTGAGATTTTCTGTTATTTTTGTTAATTACCTAAATAACTAGCAGCCGGAATAAGTTATAATTAACTACCCATTCCCTTACGTATGAAGATTTCATTTTACCGCCACTCAACTCATCGTCACAAATTCGACTCAATCATTTCCCTTAATTACACGTTTAATTACATATCTTCTGTTCAATTAAAAGCCAGATATTGGTCGAGAAGGTTCTATAGTTGATTAGCTTATCCCCGGTACTGTTCCTCAAGTAATCCGCCAACTTACCCAGTCCAGGTTTGTAGGATCATTCAGGGCGCTATCAAGGGGCATAAAGTCAAGCAAGCCGAACGTAGAAGGCCCCAGGTCATTCACCTGAACACAGTCGCTTGGCGGCAACTCATAGCCAGCAGGCTGAGACTCAAGCTGACAGGGAGGATCTGATACTGGTGTAGGCATAGACCTGTCCACCCCTGGTGCTGAATTCGTCAGGGTTTGCTTCGTCAATCGTCGCATCATCGCCCTCAAAACGATCGAGGCGCGCCTTGCATCGTGAGATTCCAACTCACGAGCCTTCCAGATATTGTACGCTGTTTGGAGAGCGCATATACTCCTTTCTCGGTCAACAATACTGGAAAAAGATTAGCCGTCCAGATATCCGATACTGCCATCTCTTGGACAAACCTCGTATGCCTCGATTCGTTCAAATCTAGACAAATCACCATGGCTGCGATCTTGAAATCATGCAACCCTAAGCTGGATAGCATGTACTTATCCTCATACATCCTTCCACCTGGCTTGATTTCCCGATCGAAGTCGGTATGCAGGTCGAGAAGCCTAAGTGCCGAGTCTCGGCATATATCTCGCGATGGCGCGTACTGTCCGTTCTCTTTTTCAAAACTCAGATACGGTCTATGAAGCAGGCACAAGGCCTTACGGTACACCATCTCCAGTATGATCCGATGCATGATGGTGAAGTTTTGGTCGTTGAAGCTAGTCGTCCGGATAGGTCTAATTTTGAGACTCGCGGGAAGCTCAGCATACCAGAGGTGCAGCTCGTCGTTCAAAGTGCATGTTTCATGATATTTCGGTTGCTTCATGTACAGTACTTGTTGCATGACCTTTCTCAATATACGACACAGCTGGCCCTTCGTGCGGTAATACAGTATCGGCGTGGGGTCGATGGGCGGCCGAGGGTGTGGCATCACCACGGTATCCTCATCGAAATCGTCATCGCTATAGTTGCTCGGCATCTCGGTGTCGCTCCCTCCATGATGGACGATGGGAGGCATGCCGAGCTGGCAGGAAAGTAAAAGATCAAGGACCTCAATGAAAAACCAGGCCCGCCGGCGCAGCTCTGTCTCAAAGGGCGAGAAGCGCTCAGGTAGACCAGTTGGGTCGCGATGATAGCCACTACGCTGGGCAAGGCGTGTGGTGAACCCGAAGATGGCCCAGAGAACTGAGTCAGAGTTCTTGCTGCAGATATTCCGCGAGTGGGCATGTATCAGTAACGCCTCGATGGCATACTTCTTGTTCGTGAGATATTGGCCAGCGACCAAACTCTCAGCCGCTTTCCCCATGAAGAAGCATGGATCTCGGAGGTCCAAGTACATGGATTCCCCGTAACCTTTCATATCGGCGACGATGGAAGCAATACACAGGACGGAGAACAAAATGCTGATCCACATAAAGCTAGTAGCCGGTGGGTCCTCCCAGAAAGCCTGATATTGTCTCTGGAACTGGTGTACGTGGATGAATGGTACGGTGGTGAACTTGGAGCTGAAGTATAACGACACCAGCTTGTCCGAATCCCGGCGGGATGGCAAACTGTCCATGACGCCTTCCATTGTGAGCGACGCCAGGTTGCCAAACAGCATATCGGGACGGTTGTAGTCAGGAGATTGCTGGACAGGTGATGTCGCCGCCGTGCTGATGTCGGTTTCGGCATCGAGTGCGACCTGGATTTCCCGAATATGGTCCAGGAACGCAGCCCAGTGAGTAGCGCCGTGATACACTGTATCCGTCCGGGTGGAGAGAGAGACAGCCGAAACGGCCGCTGAAGGATTGTAAGCCGCATGCTCGGGGACGGAGCCGGAGCCGGAGCCGGAGCTGTCGCTGGTAGCTGTAGCTTCCTGCGACAGTCTCTTATCCCTTGGTGCTGCGCCTGGGGGAGGTTGGGTAATGGACCCAGTTGTGTTGGCTAGCTGCTCGACCATACGTTCCAGCTTATGCAGCCGAATATGTGCCTCCTGCCTTCGTCCAGGAGGCGCAGACGAGGACGCTGATGTCCTATTTCCGGTCCCAGTCCCAGCCCGAGGAACAAACTTGCACGAGCCCTGGTCACCGCGCTTGGCGCAGGCACCGCAAGGCCGGAGTCTGTCGCACTTGAGCTTGCGCGCATGGCAGTGAACGCACGAAAGGGTTAGACGGGAGCGCTTGGTGACCTTGGCCGAGTCAGAGCCGGTTTGCGTGTGGAACATAGAAGTGAATTGCGAGATGTCGGCCATTGCGAGTCTACTTCGGAGAAGGCCGGGGATCCGCGTCTAGATTGCTCGGAGAGGTTCCGGGGGGAGCGGACGATGGGATTCGGTTCTGGGACCTCGATGATTGCACCTCTGGAGATAAAAAAGTTAGGAGACATGGACCGGTGATCTCGTTTTGTGGCGTCCACGCCGGATTTAACACTTCCGTTTTAGGCAACATAGCTCCGACACGAATGCCCACGGTCGCAGCGAGATTGGCAACCGACAACGAATGAGAACCTGGCAAATGTTCGAGACGGCACACTTGGGACTTGGGACACGGGTTTCTGAAATGGACTGATCAAGATCAGTGTCCCGATCTCTAGCGGACGGATAGCACGTCTACTCCGTCTCCGTGATATTAGGCAACAAGTTGCATCAAGCGAGGCGGGACCCATTAGCGGACGAGGAAGAATGTGCGGCTTCTGGGAGAAGCTAACGGTAAAATTAGGACTGTAAATAGCCTCGCGCAAGCGGTTAGTCCTCCCCGGCGGAACAAACTTCATTCAACAAGCTCTCCCCTCTCCTCTCCCTCTCTCGTCCCGCGTGGCTAGATGTCTGTAAAGGTGACGTCTCGATCTATTTCTCTATGTAGCGGAAAACATCACACGCTTTCTCAAGCTTCACATTGGATGCTCAAGGGCGACCTTTTCCAGGCTCACGTTGCCCTGGCTAACACGCTGAATCTCCCGGATGCCTGCTTCCGCCCCCTGTACAACCGTGATGTTTGGCATCTTGATATGGGCGATGTCGCCTTCCAGTAGGTACTCCATCACACTGCGTGTTCGGATTGGCCATTCTGGATCCTGTTGATTCCCAGCAAAATCAGCATCACCGTACGGCCGATAACTCGTGCAGAAGCCGTATTTCGGGTCGGCAGGGACCGGCCCAGTAGACACGAGCCTGAGCTCCTCCGCGGGGACGCCGTCCGAGCAACAGCGCCTTGCCAGGGCAGGAGAGCTGTTCTCAATCGCATTGGGGCCGAGTGCGCCCACAGAGACACAGTCGAAAACAGTGCCTAGCCTCACTCCTGCGCTGGCCACTGCCTTGCGGATGTCGTCCACCACCGTGGGGCTCTTGTAGTCGAAACACTCAGTGACGCCAAGGCTCTTTAGAATCTTGTGGTTCTTGGGAGATGCCGTCGCAAAAACAGGACCGAAACCCGCAGCCTGTGCGATCTGGATGACAGCTATCCCAACGCTGCTGCCTCCCCCCCAGATGAGAATTGGCTGGCCGTTTGCATCTGCGCCCCTCACCTTGGCAGCCGGGAAACCGTAGGCTAGGCAGTTGAATAACCCGTCAACTGCGGTGTGTGCAGACAGGCTCAGCACCGCAGCGTCCTTGAAGTCGAGAGTGTGTGGGAGTCGAAAGGAGGTCCGGGCTTCCGCAATGAGAACGTCTTGATGAGCGCCGAAGCATGACGTCCTCCCAGGGCCAGCCTTGCTCATGCCGAAGATGGCATCGCCGGGCTTGAAGGGCGAAAGTGGACCGGACTCGGACACTGTGCCCGAAAATTCGTAGCCGGTAACGAACGAATGCAATCCAAAGTAAAAGCCTTTTTGGTCAAGAAGATTGACGCCCGAGTATTTCACCTGAACCAATGCTTGCGAATCAGTAGGCTTATAGCTTTCGGTGACGTCCTGCACCGCCAGCTGTCCATCTGCCCCCAGATAGATAGACTTAGACATGGCTGCGGCGATGTTCCGTTGTTTGGATTTTGGGTTTGTGGTTGAAGATGTTAGATGCTAGAGACCGGCGGCCTCTAAAGTAGCTGTGTGTTGATGCAGTAAAGATTTAAAGGTAGTCAGAAAGAAAGATGAGGAACATGGTTTCGTTCAATCTCTTTTTCTCGTCGACTAGGCAGGTACATAACTAAATTAGCCACCAAAAAAAAGCCCATGGCCGCCACAGACCCTTCTTGTCGTCACAACTGATCAGGCCAGATGGTAATGCTATCTCCCACCATTTCGGCCTTATGATACCGGCTAGTCAGCGGGTCGTGGCACGGACCTGAGCGGCCAGTCGCTGCTGAATCGAGACTCCTTAAGTCCGAAATTCGTCCCAGCCGGTAGCTACGCTAGTACCAAATGCCGGCCCGCATCTATGGTTTCCCGGTCCGTTCAATGCCTAATTCCGACGCGAGAAGTCCGAATCTTTTGTCTTGGGTCTACTTCCGTGACCTAAGTTAGCCACCCAAAGGTGACTGGTCCAGCCCGCGTTCCATTGGCGACACCAAACAAACTTCAAGGCCAGCCTCCGGTACTTAACGCCGATTCACCGGAGGAGTGCGTGTCCTTTCTTGGTATTTTACTGCCTATACGGTATCCCGGCAGTTACTTAACCTGACTAGTTATTCTTTGGGACGGCGGGTGCGTTCGTTCTATTGTAACAGACCTGAGGGCACTCTTATTTCTGTTTTGCCAGCGTCAGCACAGTTGTATTCTGTCAGACGGAAAGTCCCGGGGAATTATACAGGAAGGCCTTCTTAAGAATTTGCTGAGAATCTTTTCAGTTAGATAATTAGAGAACTCTTAGAGAACTATTAAATTAAGAGGAAAAATCTAACTAATTAGGCTCTAAAGAGGAAATTAAAAAAGTTAAATATAACTTAAATTTTAAATAGTTAAAAGAATATATGATTAATATATAATATAAACTTAAAAAATATATATCTAAGTTATAATATAAAAGATTAAAAATTAAAATAGCGATTAGCTTAAAATAAATTAATAGAAAATATAAAGCTAATAGAAAAATAACTTAGTTTAAGTTTATGTAACGGCAGAAAGTCGCTGGGCTTTCGGCACGTTATTTATAGCGATGTGGTGGCACAGCGTATTGCGGTTACAGTGTTTACTGCTTGATCTTTTGCCAATACGGTCTTTGCCGTAGCGGTCACTAGTCAATTGTATAAGAATCCTAGTGCCCCGGATCCTTGTTACAGTTTTACTAGAAAAAAAGAAATAAAAAATTATAAATAGTTTAAAATAATAATAAAAAAACTAACTTATATGTTATTTTTAAGATAAAATTACTAAGTTAACCTTATTAGTATTTATCTAATTATATTATTTTAATTTATTACTAACTTTAAACTCAGTTTAATTAGCTATATTAATATAGCCTTAAGTCTAATAGAAACTATTTATATAGCTATAGGCTCTTAAGGTGAAACTATAAAGAGAAATCCATGATAATGCAAAACTCAGCCCTTCAGTCTGAAGAATATTCGAGAGCGCTCTGTAGCATTTAAAAGAGCCCGTAAGCAAAATGGGCACTCTACAACAAGGCAGGCAGATATAGTTCTAGAATGTTCAAGTATAGGCAGAGCTTGCAGATCTTACCAAGGCTGCACTCCCTCTCGGAGAATAACTCTACCTACGTCTGCGTCCCGCTGTCCTTCCAACACTTCCTTGATAAATTCGCCACCAAGCGCAGGATCGGCCCCGCCAAGCTTCTTATTCATCTCCGGGTTGCCTCCCAGACCGGTCGCCAGAAAGCCAGGAGAGATACCCCACACTTTGACTCCATCCTCCTGAAGTACACGATACCATTCCCTATTGCGCAGCACAAATCAGCTTTCGATGTCCATCGTACTCCGATTGACCGCAATGTTATTTGTGTGTAGACTGACCTCATCATCATGTTCATGCCCGTCTTAGAACTCCTGTACGCCGGAAGGTTGATCTGGCCATCCTTGGGCCAACCCTTGGGTGGCACGCGATTGACAGGCAGAGCTGTATTGCCCGTGCCCGCGATGGTGGATGTGCCGCTCGTTATGAACAGTAAGCGCGGGTCCCTAGACTCAAGCAGGAGTGGCACAAAGGTGTGCGTCATGATGTACGTTCCCGTTGTGTTGGTGTTCCAGCTCTTGTTCCAGACTTCACGCATCGTCATCTGTCCAGTCCGCAGCAACGGATCAAATTGCGCCCCTGCATTGTTCACAAGAGCGTCCAGGCGTCCGTACTGGGCCTTGACCTGCTGGAACGTCGCTTCGATGGAGGCGTCATCTTCTATGTCGACTTGGATTGGCGAGATGCGTCCCTTGATAGACGGGTACTCTGCAATGGCCTCCTTGACTGCAGCTTGCGCCTTTTCGAGAGATCGACCAGCGAGGAGAATCTCGTAGTTGATTTCTGAGCGGCTTATGGCTCTAATAATTTGAAATCCGAGGCCGGTGTTGCCACCGGTGACGAGGACAATCTTTTTATCCGTCATGATGATCAAGATGCTTTTGAAGGATGGAAGAATGCGAGTTTCAGTGATGGGAAATTTTGCCAATCGTGCTCCTTCAAGGGGCCTTTTATGATTGTTTCTGTAATCTTAGGTCCGATCCCCGAACAACAAAGAATTAATACATTCGCAATTAACGGGCATAGAGGGAACGAAGTGGAGTGCGGAGTAGCGACACTCCGGCTTTTAAAAATACCCGAATAAGATGAGCCCGGTGAACTTGGAACAACCCCCAACTTGTGTCAGACAATACGGGGATTCGGACAAGTTGACAGACGGAGGATGCCGGCCACAGTGTTGGGCTGAGGCAGGAAGGTGGCGGCAGCCTGATAACGAGGAAACCGGAAGATCTGGCTCCCCGAGATCTAAAGGATAATAACGTTGAACAGACAGCTAAATTTAATCAATCGATTAACCAAAATAACGGCTGGTCAATAAAATGTTATCTTCATCTATCTGATTAAGCCAATTCGGGTCGCACGTGGCCACCGGCGTGTCTGACACCTGTAGATGCCTTCTATTGAACAACAGTCTCGCCTGACGACACCACGACGTAGCTGCGGGTCCCTTCAGATCAATCCGCTGCTTGGCCCGTGATGGACAGGTCCGCCGATCACTTCTGTAAATCAGTCTGTGCAGTCTAGGAAGCCTGCTCAAACGCTGCAATCCCCCGAACCGGTGGCGGGATGTGGACGCAACCGTTGAGCATGACTACTTGCGTCGTGGGAAGAATCTTCCGCGGCAACGTATATATCTACCTGTCTCAATACTATCTACGGTGTGCTCATCTCAGCTCATTTGCACTTGCCTCCGAGTGTGAGCCCTGAAAGACCGACAAAATGCTCATTCTCATCGCTAGTATTACCGGAATAGTAGGACAGGAATGCGCCAGGGCGGCCTTCAGGGCTGGCTACCAGGTCCATAGCCTGGCCAGGAAGCCCAACAAGCTGTCCAAATTCTTTTCCGAGCAATTGGAGACTTTCGTCAAGATGAAGGACATCTATGAAATCCCCGCCCTGGATGAAGCAGTCAAAGATGTTGACGCCATCATATCTGCGGTCCGCTTCACGTCCTTATCCATAGTTGACGGGAAAATTCTCCTTCTGAGAGCGGCAGAGAGGGCCGGTATGAAGGTGAGACTACGTTCCAGCACTTCGTGTAATCTGATCTAATGAGTTGCTCTCTAAGATCTTCCATGCAGCTTCTTGGAACTACGACTGGACGAGGGTGCAGCTTGGCAACTGCGAGAGCTACGACTCTTACATTGTCTTCCACAACCATATTCGTCTCAGCTCCTCCATCAAACCCATATATGGGTTCACGGGGCCCGTTGTCGATTTCCTCTTTCACCACGCGTCGCACAGAAATCTGGTCCATGCAAACGCTAAGACCCTATCATTCTATGGACTGGTGACGAAACATGGACTTTCACCATCTGGGAGGACCTCGCCGCTTACACCATCCAAGCAGCGTCAGAACCCGACGCGACCAATGGCGGCTTTTATTACGTCGACAGCTTCCGATGCACTACACGCTAGCTAGGCCGAGCGTACGAAGGAGTCTATGGCGTCTTGTTGGAGCCCAAACACCTCGGAAGCATCGGGGACTTGGACCGCATAGTGGAGCAGGCTCGCGCTAGCATTTACCCTCAGCGCTATCTCGAGTACGTCGGCTGGGTATCCCTGAGGCTTCAGTTCAGGGGTGTCTTGGACTATGAGAGCGTTGACAGCCAACGCTGGAACCATATTAAGCGGACCGGACTGCAGGAATGGCTCGAAAAAGACTGAGAGAATGTCCGTCAACTGTCGGAGCAAAAGGGCGCTTGCTCCGAGACAGATTTCACTCAAAGATGAACTGACGATCGCTTTCCGTCGGGAAATTATGGCCTCTGCTTCTCTGGTCATGAACCAAGACTGGCAAAATAGAGCCGGGCCAAGAGGCGGACATCGGCCCTTATGCAACGAGCTTCCCATTCGTTTGTTTGTCTACCTGCGACACCCCAGACTCGAAACACTTGATTTCTCTGGTCATCAGTGTCGCTGGTAAATATCATGGAGCTCGTGCACTATGTACTACTACGCAACCGCACCCGCGGATCAGTAAGAACTCTGAAGTGTAGCCATTCCTCATGCCGGTGTAGCAACTGCTGTCAGACAAGTCCGCGCTACGTTCCACTCAGATGATCGGCCTTCCTCCTGTTGCTTAGGCTTGTATAGCACATACCTCAAGGTCTTCGACATGTCGATCCGACATATAGGCGCTGTATTAGAAAACATGCTCTAACGTTAAGCCAAATCAAGTGTTGACTCCGGCAAGAACCCTGGACTCGTTGAGCCCAATAATAATGGAGTTAAGGACTAAACGCCGCACAGACAGGATGCCGGGCATGGGATATCGTGAATCACTTGTCTCAATTACTGAACTTAGTAAATCGGATATCCGAAGAATAGAGTGCAGAGACACGGGGTGAATATCCCGATGTCATCATCCAACTAATGTGGGCTACTAGCAAAGTGTTGACTCCGGTAAGAACCCTAGACTCATTGAGCCCAATAATGGAGTTAAGGACTTAACGCCGTACAGGCGGAATGCCGAGCATGGGACATCCTGAATCACTTGCCACATGAGCTGCTTGAGCGTCGAAGCTAGATCAAGGCCGGAGTATCCGAAGTCCCACGGTGCGGAGGAAGCATATAAAAGCACAACGATGAGAAGATACTCTGGTACCATTTTCATAAGGCATCGACACCTCTCTCAAATCACAGTCGAAATCCCGAGGCAATGCACTTTTCTCGTGTTCTCGTTTCTACTGCCACTCTGGCATTGTGCCATGGCGTCGAGGCTAAGAACACTTACGAATACATCGTCGTGGGCTCTGGTCCTGGAGGCGGCCCCCTTGCCGCCAACCTCGCCCGGCACGGCCACTCCGTTCTACTCATCGATGCCGGAGAATTCCAGCTGGACAATCCCAACTCCTACACGACATGGAACAACACGCCGGCTATTAACGATCCTTTGACTCGTTGGGATTTCTTCGTCAGTCGAGACCTGCCTGAGATTGAAAAAAAGTTCGAATTCACGACCTGGCGCCAGACCGACGGCGAGTTCTATGTTGGTCTGGATCCTCCGGCTGGCGCAGAGCGCCTGGGTGTCTACTATCCCAGGGCGGGTGTAGTCGGGGGCTGTGCTATGCACAACGCCGCTACTGTCTCCCTACCGGCCGACGTTGACTGGCAAGATATCGCTGAAATTACTGGAGATGACTCATGGTCTGTGGAGAATATGCGGCAGTATCTCGCACGATTGGAGAGATGCAATTATCTCACGAACGGCAGCACTCTAGATCATGGATTCAATGGATACCTCGACACTTCTCAGGCGGACCCCTCGTGGGCTCTGAACGAGTCTGATGCTACCACTCTGGCTCAGATGGCCTCGGACGCACTGGAAAGACCTGAGAGCGACTTGAGTTTGTTCGAGCTTCTCAGCCGTGACGTAAATTCGGCAGATCCGAACAGGGATAACACCCTCGGTCTCTTTACTCCTACCACTCATTCCCGGAATGGGGTGCGATCCAGCCCAGCTAACTACCTTCGTGCAACTCTTGACGACCCCAGGGGCTACCCACTTACGGTGCAGGAGAACACGCTTGTCACCAAAGTCTTGTTCTCCAGTACCTCGTCAGGGGGCAAGGGGAAGGAGCCTAGGGCCATTGGCGTGGAGTACCTGCGAGGCAAGAGCCTTTACTCTGCCGATCCCCGACACGACAGGAACTTCACGGGCACTCCCGGAAAGGCCTTCGCCACCAAGGAGGTCATCCTCGCTGGAGGCGTGTTCAACACACCTCAGATCTTGAAGCTGAGTGGAGTTGGCCCGGTCGATGAGCTGAGGAAGCTCAAGATCCCCGTTGTCAAGAATCTCCCCGGCGTCGGTACCGGACTGAGCGACAACTACGAAGCCGTCCTCTATGGTACCTTTGAGCAGCCTGTCGTCGCGTTCTGGGACATGTTTGCGAAAACGTCGGTTGCTCTGCGCACTCGAGATATCCACTTTTACTGCGGCAGCTTCAACTTCATCGGAATTTTCCCCGGCATGCCTGGCTGGAACAAAAACGAGTTCGAGTGCGGCTTTATGCAGCTTCACCCGCGCAACATCAACGGCACTGTCAAGCTGCGGTCCAAAGACCCTCGCGATATGCCCGATATCAATCTTGGATTCTTCAGAGCTGGTGACGATAAAGACCTGGACTCCATGGTAGAGGCCATTAACTTTGTTCGGCCTATATTTAATAACTTGACGGAC